GCCCTGAACGGTACTGATTTTACACTGTTTTCAGTGGGACTTGAATTAGTGGACTGTACCCTTAACATCAAGGTAAATCCTAGATTCCGTGCAGTGCTGGATAAGAGGCCACCATACGCTTGTTGGCCTAAGTGGAAAACATACTCACGAAAGCGAAACGAACCCTGTATCATGGAAATAGTCTTGCTTCTGGCATCACGGGGAATATTTATTTTACGTTATGAAAGATGACCTAGTTAAGGTGCTTGCTTAGTCGTATGAATTGAGGAGAACAAAAACCCGCTACTTCAGGAAGATCTGGTTTTCAAAGAAATAATACCTTACGAAATTATAAATAGAAATTCTGATTTCCGAGAGTCCAATCTGTTCAACTGTGAGCAGTTCCGAGGGGTGCACCCCTAAGAATACATTCCCGTATACACAAATGATAAATCCTTATACTTCAAACTTATTTTGAAAATACTCACAACTCTCACAATTGTTCAGGCTGGACAGAAAAATGATGTTTGACATGTCCTCTTTCATTTTACTTTCAATTTTTAGTGGGTTGGCCGATAAATTTTTGAGAAATTTTCACCCAATGCAGACCATCCCTAAAATGAAGGAAATATACTGACCAGAAAAGTAGCCATTTTGAAAATGCATCCCTCTGCAAAAACGGCTAAATATCGCCATTTTCGGACCTGATTGCATCCAAATTACTCAGTATTGGAAGCCAGGGGTTCAGTGCCATATTTCTTCAATCCCCCAATTCCATGGCTCTCAGGATTCTCTAACATAAAATATTTTGAGTGTATAAATTTATTAATGAGCTTGGCAGACATATTTCTAGCCCATTTACGTGGGTGTACTCCGAGCGTTGAATCTTCAGCACAGTGTTACCAACATCGGATGAAACACACACCCGCCATTACACCCAAGTGAACAGAACACACAAAAGCGCATCCCGAGTACAGTCCGTGAAACGTTTCCGAGGTGAGCGAACCACATAGGTGTCAAAAGACGGTCCAGATTTAATTAAGGATTACCCCATCGCGCCGGCAGCTTGAAAGGGCCGCGGTCGGGCCCTGTTTTGTTGCGCCTAATTGAGAAATTCTTGCCGGTTTAGCTGGCTTATTCAGTTCCCCCTTTTGGGACGTATTATACCCAGAGTAAACTTGTTATTGCTGTCTGTGCAAAAAGCAGAACCATAACGGGAGCAACAGGTCGGCAAGTTGATCGGCGTATAGATCGTCACTGTTCCATTCACAGAGCTGGGAAAGTTAAGCCCGCCAATTTCGTAAAACCGGAACTGATGTCGTCTTGTTTGATAATCTCAATCTTAGGCGAGGAATGCCCTGAAGGTTGATGACTTGCGGTACAAGGGAGGAAAGAGATGGAAGGGGTCATGTTCGTCCATGGAACTTTCTTTCAAGAAACGTGCGACAAAATCAGCGATTGGGTCTACGTTATCGTGATTCAAAAATAATTGGTAAATGAAAACACAAACTGTCGAACGCATGAGTCTGTGAATACAGTGGCTCTAATATGACATTACAATTAAATATAAGGCCTACGTATACGTAACGATGATTACCAATGATAAAATACATAAAACATAGAAACAAAGAAAAAATTCTGACACAACTTAATTTCATTACAACTCAGTTTTGCTTGTGTGTAGTTGGCCATTGCAGGGTTTCCCAGACGTTTATCATTTTCGAAAAAGAAAATCTAAATTTTCCCACATTTCCACTTACACATGTAATTAAGAGGCAATGCAGTTGTGCATCTGTTGGCAAAAAGTAGGAAAGTTCTCTAACTCTAAAGTCCTGCGGACCAAGTATAATGAGCTTTCTTCACATATTTTAACAGAAATAAAAAAGACACCCTGCTCTTGTCTTACACAATAGTCAGCAAATTAGACTACTAAATAAAAACGTCCACTGAAAATAACTATACATTTTTATTATTTATTGAGTACTGAGTGCTCGGATATAACAGAGCCTAGATTCTACCTCGATACGCTGTTGTCAGTAGGCCTACTTCATTGATCAGATATTCGATTTATCCTCAAGTTTCTTCCATTGAAGCGATTCTTGGTGTTGATACTTGTGCCACGAGGCCTCATACTTGCATTCTTTAGCGGTAACCGATTATTCAGACCACTCAGGGTAAAGTCTTCCAAAAATACCGTTAACTGATTTTTGTTTGGGGCCCTATATGAATTTTCTTTGACAGATCGGTAATAATTAAGCAGGCGTCATTCTGCACCCCCAGCGAAGATTTCGGAAATATATTTGTTATGACGTCGATTGCAAGAAAATATGAATGATAGCTGTCTACAACCTCGTAACCAACTAGAATCTTGGTTCCCTTGAAGTTACATCAATTCACAAACGCACTTTAACGATTTGTTGGTAAAACAACGGCAGCTAATCTTTATTTGTTCTTGTCACATACACTGCACCTTTACAAATGGCGAAACACAAATTGTTTATAAGTACCGTTTCCAGTCCAGACGACATAAACCGGCCAAAGGACATATAAATGGCCCTATAGAACTAATTATCCTGGGGATGCCCAGCGCCTCTTGAAACAATATCCCCGTAGGTCATACAGTTTGGACAGGTAAACCAATAATAATTATGCAAACAAAAGCTTTCAGGTTGCGCTGTCGGCACCTCAGAGCGGCCGAACAAAGCCCGGTGAATTCCGACATTACCCGGCCAAACATGGGGTGAAAAACAGGGGGAGTATTACAAAGGAGGCCCAGCACGAGGGCAAACGGTGATCGCGCCTCGGAGCAAACGGCGCGCCGAGTCGGGATACCTTTTTGAAGAGGCATGCCGGGGTTTAGGGAAACCGCACACAACCAGCCAATCACGGGGAGTGTTTGGACAACTCACTGCCTGCTGAGATAGCCCCAGCTTTTCTAATCACTAGGCGGACAAGACCAACAAAAAAATCTCAGTGCTCGTAAATTAGCCACCGGCATTCGATCAAGCAACGTTGCGCTGGAAAGCCAGTCGCCAGTTACAGTGTCAAAGGCAAGCATACACCGCCGGTAGTCTCCAAGCAACTTTGCCCTCAGAAGTCAACCGAATGGAACTATAAACCTACGGGTAGCCATGAAATATTTTACAGCGATAGTTGTTCTCTTTCTCACGCAGTCGGTGCTACTCAGAGGCCCAAACGTCATGTGAGTAGTGAATATGTTCTGTTTAGTAAAAATGGTTAACGATAACTCGAGACACTCGATTTTGAATTCGACAGTTAGGAGTTGAAAATTAAGGTATATGCGTAGCCTGATGAACGCAAAATGAAGGCAATTTATCACGTGGAAATGCATACCCTGACTCTTTCTTTGCACGAACTGGTCGAATGAGGTGTCATACTATAAACCGACAATAAACGTACACAAAAAGTTCTAAAAACTAACTAATGCGGTTTCGCAAGCAGCTCACAAGCACAGTAGAAGCTGGTTTAGGCCAAGGTTAATCCCTTGGACTTTACAGTCAAATCTGTGAAGTGTAGCTGGCGGTGAATTGAGCATGCGGCTTCAGCTTTGACTGTTTGTTTGACTTGTTACTGAAACATTCGCTCTAAAACCAGTGATTGTACGAGCAGCATCGTTTCTTATGCAACATACCGTAATCCTCCATGATCGTATCTAACGAATTTGCTTTACAAGCGGCCTCTCACAGCTGCGGTGTCCAGCTTCAAATGCATGTGTCCAAATGGATGAGATTTCACCGATCATTTTTAAGCATCGATAGATAGCTTAATTTAATTTCGTGCCGAGTTAAAACGTACGATTCCATAGGATCTAGTTTACCAGACAAAGATTAGCATAAAGAAAATGGCTTCCGTTTATCAGTGCAGAGAAGTTTAATGAACAAACAAATTTAAGGCAGGTGTGACAGGAGATTATCGATAATTGATTGTGGTTCCCCGTTAAATCGTTGTGATCGAGCATTGATTCAGCTCCAATTGTTTTAAGAGCAGAGGTGGATTGTCTACCGAGCTTCAACTGTTTCTTCAAGAGTCTCTGAATTGCATCCGAAGAAGTAGACGTTGGTTCCGGATATCTTCCCCCCCCCTTCGAAGGGAAACACTGTTGAGAAGTATTCACTGGTAATCTTTATGTCCTTCCCACCCTAAATCCTTTTACAGGGCCTTGTCCTCCGTGGTCGCCCTGGGAGCCAACGTCATCTGCAGTAAGATCCCGGGCCTGAGCCCCCGCCAGCGCTCCATTTGCCAGAACCGGCCCGATGCTATCGTGGCCATCGCCGAGGGAGCCCACATGGGACTCTGCGAGTGCCGCCACCAGTTCAGGTACCGGCGGTGGAACTGCACCTCGGACGGCAGCGGGGAGACGTTGTTCGGCCAGCCCATGCCGTCAGGTAAATATGCCTAATTCTAGGCCCAATAATTGTTGCACAATGTGAACTACGATCGGGTGTTCGAGAAACGAAACCAAAGCTGGCAGGATTAACGGACATCTAAAAGGACAGCACCTCGTCGGTCATTCTGACAAGATGACATTTTCTTCCTTCTTGTCAGAACGAGCGAATCCCTGCTTTTATAACGTTGTACAAATCTTTTTCGGCAGACCCAGGTACTGGGGCTGACAGTCTTAAGTCAAGGCTTAGTAAATATGTTGGGTGTAACATCTAAGGAGGGGGGTCTTAGGAAGGAATCCCAATTTTCAATCAAGGGAAATGTCGAGAAAATGACTCCCAAAATCGCGTCTAGACAAATCACTGTGAAACTCTGCCCCCGACAGTCCTACCCAAATGTCTGTTACTCTTAGAAGTTTTTTTTTAAAGGAAATCGAATCGGAGGCATTGTACCAATAAAATGTTCATTTGGAAATGTGCACTCAAGTATCTTGGAGTCTGTAGGGGTTGGGGTAAGCCGAGGCCTGCAGGTACTGCTATCAAAAAAACATCATCAATTGAAAGTATATGCTTGCGAAAGCATGGAATGGAGGAATTTCACTTCGAGGTTTTTTTCTTCAATGGTTCCTTTGCCATGTTAAAGGAACTACATGTATTACCAAGTACCAACTGCAAAAAAAAGAACTGATAACAGCTCTGAATTTTCCATATAACTACCTTAGAATCACTCACACAAAGCTTGGTAACAAACCGGCGAAGTTACATGACTCCCAGCTTGAGGGCTCAGCGCATTCTGTGCTCAAGGTGGACGGTTGAGCCATCCACTGCTCTGTGGTCAACGTTAAGTGCATTGACCCCCCCCCAAAAAAAACAACTCCATACACACACATACACTGGCGGCTCATGGGCAGATATAGGGAAGCAGGCAGCGCTAGAGAGGAATATCAAAATTACATGGATGGAGGCCGGATGGCGTTAATCGGTTGGGGACGGGGAGGGGGATAATATAAGAATTGGTCCTTCACCTTTTTTTAAAAACTGAAATGAAAATGTATACCTTGCAAAGGCATTGGTTAAAAAACTGGCTAAAGTAGCCAGAAATTGTCTCAGATAACACGACAGAGCATCTATACTCCAAAATTCCCCGGGGCCCTTGAGCGGGCCCCGGACCCCACACTGCTCAGGGCTTTGCGCTTCGGGCTCGCATTTGTTCTAATCAGGGCTGTGTCCCCCCCCCACACTTTTCAAAATGGATTGACACCGTTGACGTGGGGCCTAAGTTGGGAAAGTAAAAATGCCGTGCATATTGCTGAATAGTTACGTGCTTACTTTGAAAAAGATAAGTAAACAGCGAATTGATAATTAACTTTGCCCAAACAATACAGCAAACAGAAACAGCGAGCCTTCGTTGCCAAACGGTACAACAGAAAAATAAAGACTAACAAGATCACCAGATGTTTAGAACAGAAGGATAGGACTACATTTTGAAGTCTGAAATGCGAACTGAACCGCACTAGCGTACATTGCATGTCGCCTTAAAAAAGATTGCATTTCTCGACGATCTGCACGCCGCCGCTTTCCCCTAGAAATACACACCAGTATCAAGGAGGCTTATACCGAGCCGACACATACTTCTCGGGCATGCAAAGACCGATCAGTTTTCAAAGTCACTCTGAAAACACTTGTTGGTTTCTCTACGTCCATATTTAAAATCATTCTATATTCTCCACAGACCTACGTTTCCCCTACCCCCGTAAACAATTGCTGACATTGTTTCGCAGGGCAATCAAGTGGCGGGGACAGGTGACTCGATCGGCCCGTGTCGGTTACCAGTGTGTTTTCCCCTGAGCTCATAGCGCAGGGTTATCGGTGTTGAACCGGTGCTTGGCGACCCTTGCAGTCTTGTCGTCAAAAATAACTGAAGGTAGTCTTTAAAGCAAACTCTTGTTGGTGTGAGTAATACAAACCATCGGTTTCCAATTCTCTTCTAAAAGGGGAACATGCAAATTCTACGCTACGTCTTTGAAAATTGCAAAATAAGAGACCATAGCTATAAAGGCCCAGATCTACAAAGTGTTCAAAAATTTCCATAATAGTTGTTTTATTTTATGATAACATAAACTCATTTGGGGCAAATTTTCAACATAAGCGAGGATACATCCCAAAACCACTGGCAGAGAAATTGGTTTATATGCGACAGTAAGGTGGGGAAACGGTTTTTAACAACATTGTAAGCTTTGGACAATAGTAAACGGCAAAGTTCAACTTCGACGTGTAAGTAAGTCAAATCAGTCAAGGAATACAATTTTCCATTCAAACCCCGGGAACTGCTTCCCGAGTTCAGTTGACGTTTAAGCCCGGCACGAACTTCTTGCGCGCGCACAATCTGGAAGCCCGCGGGTGAGGAGCTTGGGAGTATATAATGGAGCGGGCTGAGGGCTCGTCAAGAGCATACAAGATGAAGGCTGACAGGTACGATTGATTGGGTTCAGAGGGGAGGTGTGTGAGTCTGATGGACAGGGGAAAAGGCGCGCCCCCAAGTCAAGCTTTTCCACCTCTTTTCTTATGTGACGATCCCACTGAAGCGTATAAAGGCTACTGAACAGTGGAGAAAATAACCAGGAACGTCAGCAGTTGCAAAGAATCAAGCTGTTTCTGAGCCCAGAAATAATCGATGAGAACATTTTTTCAACTTTACACCCGTGCTTACCAAATTTGGTCTTAGACAATATCTAGATTAGCTTTTAATCCATCCCCCGGGAAAAATTCAGGTCGGTGTTTCTAGAAGTAATATCTATGTTACGAGTATGCTTGCTGTTGGCTGACTTCTTTCCCTGTAAACGTTTGTTTGCTCAACGAAAAAGGGCACAAGTCTGGAAAGAAATTAAAAATGTTTGAAATACATTATGAATAATGCCTGGTTTGCACTAGAAATAAATTTGCACGGAAATGTCAAGAAAAAGATTGCCTTGCCGTACAGGCATCAGTTCAAAGAAAGCAATAAATGTGGCCACGTCTGAGCAGTTTGACATCCGTAATACCACCATTTTGGGGGTTATAAAACACCTGACCTGCGTTTAAATGGTTCAGCACTCCTTAACGAACAGAAACTTTTTTTATGAGCCGGGATGACACTCGACCCATAGCACACCATAAAGTCGGGAAGCCGATTTGGGCTCGTTCACTTCAACTGCATGGGTTCAAACAGAGACTGATTATTAACTCGCACAAAGATGGTAAAATCTTCTGGTTAATTCTCCATAGTACTTCAAACGGACCGATCGAAATCTAATGCAATATAAATGTGCCATTTATGGGATATTCTTGTCGAATTAACTACGTTTACGAGTGCAAAAACCGGAGTGGGAGTTGCTCAGATACAAATAAGTGTGCAAGCACCATATACATGTACATGGAAGTAGGCCATAAGAAGTTTCTGAACGAGTGTAAATCTGAAACAAGTAAGGCAGTGCGATATATCGAAAAACAAGTATGACTGCATAGGCTTTTTTGGGGGGGGGGAGGGAGAAAGCGGATGTAAGGGATCACCTTTCTTCGAAATATATTCAATCAGACAATTCTGCAAAATAAACTTCTTAAAATGTACATTAATTCATTGTGAGCCACAGCGCAACTGTTGTAAATAATTCATATTGCAACTTCAACTACTGCGTACGGAGCGAGCTTCGTCGCAGATGCAACGCCGTCCATCATGGAAATGGCGTAAACGGAAAGTACCACATACCATACGTACATGTACTAACGTATTTTGCTGCCACATTCTGCTGCATTGCAGTTTTCACTGATTCGATTCTCACTTAGACCACGCAGGAAGGAAACACCGACTCTCAAGGTGATATTCTTCAAGCCATGTCCTGTCCGGCATCAGGCCACAGCCCACCGAAGGGGAAAAAACCCAAAAAGAAAAGCCCTGTCCGTGTGTAACCGGTGTTTACCTTTTGCCGAAAGGCAACTCGGTAATAGGCACTTCACACCTCCGATTGTAACCTCTTTCCCCCCACAATGAATGCCAACATATAATAAGTCTATATACTCCATCCCGGTAATGAATACATGACACGTTTTTTCGCCCTTCTCTGTCGGCGCGGGAATGGCGGGCCGTCTGGCCGCCTGATCGCGTGAGCAAACATTGTCGCCATAACTCGAACCACTATGGCGGTCTTGGGCAAATTGAGATTAGCAAAGAGTGCGTGTTGTAAAGTGGGGGATTTCTAAAATTTGTGTCAATAAAAAAAAGAGTCTAAAACTACAGCTTGGGCCAGATAAGTATTTGTGTCGAAGGCCGATTGCTTGTTCGTTTGTGGTCGTTAACATGGTCTCAATTCGTCAAAGGTTGCTTCAATGAGTTGCACCTCGGCATCCTACATTTCATATTATACTTCAAACCCACAGATCTGTATAAAATCAATAGAAATTTACAGAAACTATATAAATATAAGAATAAAGTACAGGTCTAGACTTACACCTTTCTATAAAAGGAGAAACGTGTTGTTTTTCAAACCCAGCTTCTTTTTAAAGTTTTCTTACAATTATTAACTTGTCTGGTGTTGGGGTTGCGAAAACATGAGACTATTTTCAATATATACAGGACCTGGTCTCAATTTCGTGCATAGGTCAATTTCAACTCGAGCACAAATTATCGGGATGGTAACATATGAGTGTATTGGTTGAAAAATATCGTGTTCATGTATTTACCTTCTGTGTGTATCTATGGCGCTTTGAATCTCGTTCCCAGACAGTAACATAAAGTAGGTTACAAGACTATTTTCAATTTCTGGGTGTAGATGTTAAACCTCCTTAACACTCACAACTTTTATTTTATAACTAATGAGGGTAATCCCAACGTCATGTTAAGGCATGAATACGCAACGCTTAAATTAGGGAAACATTTTTATATCTTTTTATTCTTACTCTCCAATGTTACATTATTTCGAAATTTGTATAACCTCCGTGACGCGGATTTTACAACAAAAATTCACAACTTTTATGAGGTGTTAAGTAAGTGCACAACGCTTTCGAATATTTTAGAGTTGGCACTCTAATGAAGTAATAAATTGTATGTGAGCATTAATTGCTGATTCGCTTTAGATATACAGGCTCTGTGAGAGGTTGGGGTATCTGATGAAAGGAAGGTATAAAATCATTAGCTGATGTGAGACTGGTAACCTAGGAGGCAAGCAGAATTTTGGAACCTCGGGCCGTGTCCGAAATGGGCTTCCAGAGCTACGGCTAGGTCTATTGTCTACGCGTCTCCACTCATTTCTAACGGAGTGAAGACCTAAACCTAGCTCTAGACAAGAGATTCGGATGCAGCCTGAGTTAGCCGCTTACAAACGAAACTATCGATATGCAGAATTTCAATTACAGAATTTTTCTACTTTCACCTGCACGCTTCTAAATGCACGTGAGCAACCAGCAAGCACAACATGGATTTCCATCAACTTTTTTTGTCGATTAATGATTTTCGATACTAATAGCAACTACTGGACTGCTCCTGGTATCATCTACCTTGGTTTCTCTCTACTTATATCCCTGTAGACTTCCACGTTCCAATTCAGATATCAATCATTGCTGCTCGTGCAAGCGTCTACTGATGACCAATACAATGTTAGCAGTACCACCCAGGATGATCCTTCTATTCGAATGGTAAAAAAAAAAGATTTCTGGAGTCCCGGAAAGAAGTGTTCCGCAGTCACATGGTATTCAGTTACGTGCCAACAGCAATCTAAAAAAAAAAAGTTCGGATTTCGTGGAGTGCTTGACGATCGTTTGATGGAATTGGTGCAAGGCGGACCAAGAAGATTTAATTGCACGCCAAATCACTGGTCGGTGTTTAACATTTCAACGGTGACAGGTCGTTTAACTTTTCATAATCAGCTACAGTGAATCCAGAACCAATATAGGTTTTTACAGCAAATATCTTTGGGGATGTTGAGACATTCAACCAGCCAGTTCGATTAGATGCGGACTGTACTGCCAGAGCTCTCGTGCCCGAAACAGTCAGGTCTGTTTTTGGATTGCGCAGCCAGGTGTTGCGCGGTCGGTCTCCCAATCGCCCCCTCCCCAAATGAGATATTTGCTTATGTGAATGTTTACTGTCCATGACAATGGCGTATTCTCCCCCTCCCCTCGACCGATATTCTAAAAATTAAGAATACGTCTTCATAGATGAGAAAGTAGTTGGTGTTTTTTTGTTTCTTTTTTCAAATATTAGCGCCAACATCCTAAGAAAATTACACCATGAAATTAACGCAATTGGCTGTTGGGACTGTAAGGCATTTTTTCTCTCCCAACATCATTGAATGAGCCCAAAGCCGCATTCGCTTTTGAATTTGCCCCCCCCCACCAAAAGCCGAATACGCTGCTGGTCCATTATCAATCTATACCGTCATATTGTCTGTGGGAGAATTTTTTTTTTGGGGGGGGATAACTCGTTCTTCGTGCGATCTCGATGGTCTGACCTAGGTGTGAGGGTTACATAAACATTGGGGGCGTTTTACGCACTTTGAGGAGGAAAGGAATTGACATACTCATACACTCAAAACGGCGTCATTCCCTCTTCGTATAAAAAGTTATCTCTTTTTGGGAGGGCCTAGGAGCCCAGATGCATAAATATATCTTGATCGAAATATAGTCTGAACGCTAACTGATTTCCATTTTTCTTGGGGGTATATTTTCGAGCATATTGTGCAAAAAAAAAAAAAAAAACCTCGAGGGTTGTAGCACTTTTTGAACAGGTACATGAATACTCAAGAAGGGGGACCGTTTCACGACAGCTGGCCCGAGTGCCGATCAGGACAGCTCGCGTCACGACCGATCCCGAGGCTCCAGTGGTGTTGTTATTAGTACTTATTTCGCCAATTGTATTCAAAATCTGGCCAATTTAACAACCACTTATCATGCTGCTCATGAACAGCGGGAAGCTCTGACTCCCTCCGAATGTTTTGACTACAGTTTTTATACAAATACATCTAAATGTTTACGTGATGGATAACAGCCACACATTTATGGTATATACCCTTAGGCAATGTTCTTTCGATTCAACCATGGACGAATAATTAGGTATTATTATGCATGCACTGCGTTTGACAGAATTAACCGAAGCTGAATGCTCAGTGCTGATTTAGATCTTATGAATAAAGATGTTAAGCTAGCTGGTAGAAGTCTTGTGTGGTACGCAAACACCGATCCCCTGACAATAGTAATAATTCGTCTTTCCTTGCGGTATCTCCAGATAAGCTATCTTTCTCTCTCCGCTTTTCCTCTTTGGCATCTGGTAACACTCTTCGGAACTTTCACCGAGAACTGACTTGGTCCAATGATAGACGGTGGCGTGGTCTGGGATCCAAACCCAACGAGGGACCTCCACGCTTGCTTCTCAGGACATGTACATGTACATATGAAATCCCGTATTGCGGAGAAAAATCCATGTAAACAGGCAGACCAAGACCAAAACTAAAACGCTGATAAAAGACACTAGTGCCTTCATAGTGATTACCACAATTGATGCTGTTGAGGTTTGGTCTCTCCATCTCCTCTTTAATCCTCCTCACCAACTGTCTTTTTCGTTCTCTCCGACCAGGCTACCGCGAGGCCTCCTTCAAGCACGCCATCAATGCGGCCGGCACCACGCACGCCATCACCCAGGCCTGTAGCCGCGGCAACCTGACCAACTGCAGCTGCGACCGGAGTAAGGAGACGGGGCTTACGGAGGAAGGCTGGCGGTGGGGCGGCTGCAGCGCCGACATCGAGTACGGCCTCCGCTTTTCCAGGATCTTCGTGGACGCCGGGGAGACGGTCAACGACGCACGATCGCTGATGAACCTGCACAACAACGAGGTTGGAAGACAGGTGAGTTCTAGAGCTGGATGCGGTTCTCTTTGACTCCCGAACAGATCGTTATGGCTTAGAAGGCAGATGATCTATTACGAACCTTTGTCTTGTATCCATCGTCAGAAGGTTACCACGAAGAGCTGTCACTTTTCATCAGACCATTTGATATATTTTGGGTCCATATCGTCTAGGCTCCTGCCTAAATAGGTTGCATCCTGTCACAGATTTAAAACATCGAGATCTCTTCCGAAGACGAAGTCAAAGGTTAATTTTCTTTTGATATTAAAACAGTTTTATGCTCGTATGTCACGATCTTTGGTGACAAAAACGGTGTGCATCAAGCCTCGGGACAGTGGCATAAATTTATGCCTGAAATTAGGGAGTGGGGGCGGGGAAAGACTTACCCAGCTATGGACATTTGAAAAGCGGGGGGAGGGGGCTGACACCATAATTATGATACTATAAGAGCAATGTTCACGATACAGTTGCGAAGCTGTAATATGTATTACATACATGTAGAATCTTACATCTTTTTTTTTTAATGTTCTCCTTTTTTGAGTGATACTAAATGCATTTTGGTTGCTGGGCTGTCCTTTACTCCAACACGAAACCACGTGTGAAATCGAAAAGCCACTTTTTGACCGTGTTACTTACCATGTAATTCAACGAAACAAATTTTAATTGCTTTTGTCCCGTAACCAACACCAGTCAGATTTTCTTGCATACAAACGCTCGATAAATTCCCGATTGCGTCTTTCAATCTCTGTTATATTTATGTGATCTATTCTTCGATGTATATCAGCTTACTCGAGGGTATAATATCTCACGAATTAAACATAGACTTATTACACAAAGGTTGTCCTTGGTCGACACGTTCACTGAGAGATATGATATACAAAATACGGCCTATGACCTTAAGACTATATAGTATATTCTTTCTCTTTCTACCGCGAATTAAGTTAAATGCGTTTTATATTCAGATATATTTGAAAAAGTCCTTTAAGACTTGACAAAAAATGTGGCTTTATTTGTGTGAAACCTCCGAATGTTCTTTGGCGTTGCACTTTGTCAAAGCAGGCTCAATATACAGCAGTCTTCTGTCTCCCCATAGTAAACTGAGAGCTCATTAAAGTAAGTGCTCGTGATTAGTTTCAGCAAGGCAACTCAAATTGCTTGTGACCTTGCTCTTCTCAGCAACTTGGAAGATACATCTTTTCAATCCAAGTCTCAGAGGAAAACTTAAAAACAAAATCTTCAGTCACTTCCGAGCATCAGCGAGCAATCCTCCAAGATACGAAAAGGACAATCTGCCCCCCTCGCCACATGACGTTATTTGTCTACCGGTATGGATTGCCTTGAATTACTTTCGCTGAAACTACGCAACCTCCAGCCCGTCCCGATACATATACTGTGTGGCTGTCACCTCTCCTCTCAGCCCCCCCTGCATTCTCCGTCGCCGTGGCATCCGCCGACCTATTCTTTAGTGGCTAATTAAATTGAGGATGCTGCTCCTGATCATCCCCCGAAAAGGATCAAAGCCCGGTACAAATACCACCGACACCAGGCCCACAAAAGCTGCAATTATGGTCCAATTTGAGTCTCTGAGTGGGCTTCGTTTTGTTGTGCTTGCAATTTGTTGTCAGACCGCATTGGTTCCCAATAAGTTGATGTGCAGCAAACAAGACAGCCCTCCAGCGACTGACACGAACGGCCACTTGTCCCCAGACTGCAAAACGGAAACAAGAAACTCTCCCTGTCGAGAGGACTCTTCGTTTTGCATACAAATTATTTTAAACTGCCTCTGGAAAAAAAGACATTGAAAGTTGACAAAAGACCTTCACTTTCCGTCAAATAATTTAATCTTATGCACTGTGACAAAATTTTGAAACAAAATTTATTCATCAATATTATATTGAATTGTTTTGGCACTCGACATATCCCTTGATGACATCATTCTAGGTGTCTCCTGGTTTCAGCCCCTATGGGGGATTGTATGACTTACCTGCATTTTCAACCAACTTGTCGAATTACAAACCGTTGGTACTTCTACTCGCTAAAAAGGAAGTGATGAATCCCAGTTACATCAGTTGGGTCAGTGACAACACTTTGAAAGTTTTTAATCCAGCATCTTAATAGCCAAGCCCAAGTACCCAACGTTAATTCAAACCTTTTCAAAATTTGTCCGTGACATGGTTGAATCTGCATTTTAAGCGTTCACTCTTAAAACAACCTAGTCAAAATTGTGACTGATTTTCCTAGTTGTTCAAAATTGATTACGGATTCATTCAAACACACACGCTTACGTTGGCAAATCATGCTTTCTGACAAGATTCCTATTCAACGCACTTTTGAAATACCAATGAACTGACTGAAAAAAACATAGTCAGGTTGACTAATTTCAAGTTGCACCCAGCTGATCCTGATGAGCTAGTCAAATTTTACCGCATTCTAGTCTAATTTGACTGATCCAATAGAGTGTTGAATGAACGACTTAAAACCTAGATTTCAAGTTTAAAATAATTGGTTTTCAGCAGCTCATTCAGCAGCTATTTCAAAATCTACATTCTGTGCAGGTGGTGCAAGACAACATGGCGATCGATTGCAAATGTCACGGCGTCTCGGGATCGTGCACGACCAGGACGTGCTGGACGACGCTGCCCCCGTTCCGTCAGGTCGGCAACATCCTCAAGGACAAGTACGAGAGGTCGGTCCAGGTAGAGCCGGTCCGGGCGCGGCGGACCCGCCGGCCGGCCTTCCTCAAGATCAAGGACGCCAAGAACTTCAAGAAGCCCCGCCGCACGGACATGGTGTACCTCCAGCGCTCGCCCAACTACTGCGACCGCGACCCCCGGGTGGGCTCACTGGGCACGGTGGGCCGGCAGTGCAACCGAACCTCGCTGGGCACGGACAGCTGCGACCTGATGTGCTGTGGCCGGGGATACAACACCCACCAGTACACCCGGATCTGGCAGTGCAACTGTAAGTTCCACTGGTGCTGTTACGTCAGGTGCAACCAGTGCAGCGAGCAGACGGAAGAGTACACATGTAAATAGGACCCTCTTTTCAAAATAGTGAAGATAGGGAACTGAAGAGAACTTGAAAGCGTCGCCCTGATGTAGCTGGCATTACCTAAGGAAAACCCAGGATTGCTGAAGAAAAGACAGCGGTAGCATCTTATACTTAAGGCTCCTCCGTGAACGGTAGGCTACGTAGACATCGCACGATGACGCAGACAGCGCGGGAGACTACATCGTAGTTGTCTGACCTTACACCGGATAAGTGGATTGGATCTTCCCAAAATAAATGAAAGAGAAGACACACCACACTTACGCGAATAGGTATACATTATGATATATACTTTGTAAAAAATCCACTGACAGTGTAATTGAGTACTTAGTACTCGCAATCTTCGAAGTGACCCAACTTGCCGCGTGTGGTGGAAGAGACTCGGCGCAAAGGCAATGCTGATTGACATTTTGTACTTGGGTGCTATTATGTGGGACGTGAGCCCAAGCTTTACAAAATGGAGCGAGACCGTGAGAAATGGAAAGGAATCAATGTTTGATTCTGTTATGAAGAACATGACATGTATCAGTCTTGTAGTCAGGACCATCACAAGACCAGACACAGGACAAGACACAAGACAAGTCACGAGTAACAGCTAGGCCAAGGCCTTGTACATGTATTTCATTTAAATAGCTAGTGGCTTGAATTCAGACGGGAAGTCTTGTGCTGTTTTTTGTGGTCTTATGAATGTCTTTAACTTAAGTGGTCTCGACTACAACTCTGACGTGTATTTTATTTATAAATCATAATTGTACAACTTTAATACGTCAACATTTCCTTTTTCCCCACAGCTACATCATGTTGGCAAGGGCTTTTTAGTACAACTTTGAGTTATAAATATTATGAATTTATGTTTTAAAATGTCTGTGTATAAATCTGACAGAAGGCCTAAACAATGCGAGTGCCCGTGTACATAAAGCTAAGAGTTTAACATAATTGGAGATGCTTATTTATTTATCTTTAGAAAGGCGCTGCGTAGTTAAATATTAATGCAGAAAATTCAGGCTGCTCTCAGCCACGTTTGCACAACGACTGCAAACGCGTGTTTACAACTTGCCGTGTATTCTCCAACAACGTGTTGAAACTACAATCGCAAACAATGGATTTGAATGATCGGCTGAAATAATGTTTGCCTTTATCAGGAACTTAAAAGGGTGTCAGATCAGATGAGAGATGTCTTTAGGTGTGCACAAGATAAGAGTTGGAGTGTTGAGATAATAATTTGGGCGGGAATGACTGATAAGGAGGAGGGCGTTTACCCGGCCAGACGCGCTTTGTGCGCCCACGAGTGTGTTTACAGATCGTGGTGGGGATGAGGCCTGTGGTCGTCTCTCTTCAAGACTAGACGGGTTCTCTCTTCTAGACTAGACGGGTCTATTGGACCAAAGAGAAATATTCTCCTTGTTCTATGACTGAACACACAAAGGGCAGATTACATCCAATTTCCTGAACAGCAATCAATGAGTTGCATAGCTATATCAGAATCAAAAGAGCTTCTGGGATGTTCACTGATTTCGGTTCGTTGCAGACTCGGAGCCATTCTGTAGAGAGGATGTAATATCGTGTAGCGATGCTATGTATATAAATACATGTATTACATATGCGACTGTTTTCCTTCAAAGAAACACTTAACTGGGGTTTCGTTGATGTTTCTCAACAGATCGCAATGGTAATTGCCATAGATCCTTTTGCGCTCTGTCACATCTTCCAGAATCCCTTGCAGTCCGCCATCTTTAACATCCGGCTGTGTGCTTTAACTACATGTTGTAGCTACGGAAGATGTTTGTGAGAAATGAATGATATCGGTGGAAACGGTCGATCAGTTACCCTTGTTAATTACCGTGAGTGTAATTTGATTGATACTTAAACGGCAATTCATTGGATGTGGAAAACGGGCCCGAAATGTACCAGAGAGATTCAGTAAACGGTATACTGATATCGTTCATTTCATTCACACATATCAGTTTGTCCAAAATGGTGGAACCTGTGAGCCAACTGTGTTATTCCCTCCTTTTATAGCGTATGCCGTTGAAAAAAAAAAGGAAAAAAAGAAAAAAAAGGAAAAAGAAAGAAAAAAAAAGACCGACTTCCATTCTGAAAAGTACAGCGGTGCGACCGTGCAATACTTTGTGTGGTTGTACCAAATCGTGTAGCCGGCGGTGTTCCATTGTGACGACACGTCCGTTGTAGCTACCAGAGAAATATCGCTGGTAAAGTTTAAAAGCCACGGTGTCCATTTACCAATTATGAACGTAAGTCAATACAAGGAGAGGGTTTGGAGGGCAACGGAGTTCTGAGGTTTGAAAAGATTCAAGGGGGTACAGATTATAGCACAAACAGCGAGGTTTTGTTAAATGTATCAAAAAATTCGATAGGTTTCGCAAGAAGGCAAAAATCGTGCCTGCCACAGAAGTCTGTAACCACGTTTGCAAAAAAAAAGAAGACATTTGCGCGTTCTAGGCTACCTTTGACAAAAGTGAAAGAATGTTCACCTTTTCACACGTTCAAATGGCGCACGCATGAAGGTTTAAGAAAAAAAGGTAGCAACTTCCTAAAAACTATCCACACAACTCTATATATTTGTAGACAATTAGGAAACTTTAAAACTGGCTGCCGATCCCACAAAATCAGACTTCATATAGGCCCTATTCTTTTTTTCCTTTTTTTTAATATCTTATCCGATTTGATAGTGAATACAGACATCATGCAGGGGAAAACGTGGAAGTTCTTCTGATTTCTACATGGTTCACGATTTGTTCAAATGTCTGCTGTACTCAAAAGTACCTGCGGGGGTTTGTGACTCATTTGGTTGGGTACGACATGCGAGACACAAGGCACGATAGCCGTTTCGACATAATACGTGATACACGGTATCAAAGGTGTGCTCCACGCACTGTTAGATCTATAGGTAGTTTTCAATGCTGCCACTAGCTGATTTACCTATAGTCCATATTAAGTTTCTGGTTTTAGTGGGACAAATAAAACAGCCGTTGTCGGACGTCCCGTGTTTACAGAAAGCGATAGACTTCCACTTTCGTTTTCAAGTATGGCAACAAAAGCGACCGACAATAATCCCATTATGAAGGGCAAAGACCATCACCACTCATATTCTTTGAGGGGATTATTGATTCACAAGCTGAAGTACTATATTGTAGTTGCAAAATGAATTCATATTTTGTAACGCCACTAGTGAAGTGTAACCAATTGTGAATCGTGAATTTCAAAAGCGCTGCTTGTAAATAAATGTAAACATGTATAAACAATATTTTTGAAACCATGATGGCATAAGCACGTGTTTTGACTCTTTTTTTTATACTTTTACGACAATAAGCATTACCGTGTTAAGCCTGGTTTCCAAATCGACGTTAAGAGGCGCAAAGAGATCAGTCACCGACGATGTGCTATGATACGGACACACTTAATCCTGACTAACTAAAACATGCACGTAGACAGTCGGGAGAGTTGGATCAGGGTCAACTTTGTCGAACGTCTGCGACGAGTCGCCAGGGTAGGCTCACTAGCACACACGTTGGCATGAACAACGTCTCTCTCGCTTAGTACCTCTCATATTGCCCACTTTCTGCAGCCCCAACTTTCAACAAAATAGCTGACCATAAACAAAACACATCAAGCTGAAGTATCAGTTTTGCTTCAAGAGACAGTACTGGCACCTAAAAATGGCATTTTATGCGAATTATTTTCGAGCTTTGGATGCTACTCTATTTCATTTTTTGGGGGGGGGTGTGGCATGACGTCATCCATCAGCGTCTCTGTTTGTGTCTTATTAATGTCTTACGTGCTATCCGCGGTCGTTACGACCACGGAAACCAGGCTTTACTTTAACCGTTCAAAGCATCAGTAGAACGAATGACTGAAACCCGGTAGTTGCCTGGTACTTATTAATACAATACTGTATTCTGCCAAGACGAGCTATCCCATAGTACACTTGCGGTCTCCCAGTATTTGTCAAAGTCTCCGCTCAAGACACACGAGATTGGCAATTTCCCATAATCACCGCAAGTCAAAGCCTATTAGCCGCAAAAGCGTGGCCGTCAGACTTTGACAGTTCGTAGTATATCAACCAAACTCCGCTCAAAAATTTCGTAATTCGCTGTATATCGGGGGAGGGAAATAATATGTCATACTTAAAATGATACACGAGCCCTCTCTTGGGGGAAACGGCGCTTCCTGGCAGGGCTTAGCGGCCGTGACGTTGAGAGTGGAGGCCAGGTCCAAATCAGTCAATGCAGGAAAAGATGGATCATACCTGCAGGCCGGGGTTTGCGAATACGAAAGAAAAAAGGAGGAGGCTGCCCGATATCGAACAGGGGATATGGGTGTCCTGTCAATCACCCGACCGCTGGAGGGAGTGCAGTCCCACTCAGATGCAAGCATCACAATGCAAACACACTTTACAAAAATGGGGTTGCTACGAGTTAATTCTGTTCCGCGTTATTTTCATACGGCAAGTGTATCAATTGGGTTGACTTGAAGGCTTGCTGCTATACTTCACGTGAAACACGCCCCCTTCGGAGCTGCAGAACTTGAACAAATTATGTCACTTCTGCCTTTGGAAATAATGTAGGCATCTCGAGGAGGAATTCTGTGTTTCACACAGACAGATCTACTACCATACAGACAGACAACCATACGTAGGAACGACAAGATTTTAAAAAGAAAAGAATACTAACATAACATTATTTTTTTCTGGTCTTGGAAGAAGGTTTGTGCGAACAGCGGCTCTGCTCTATAACCATTCTGTCTGAGCCAAACTTGAAGTTTTTGCGATCTCTTGAGCTCTGAGGAAGAAAAAGAACTCGGGAAAAATAGTTTCCACCATTAGGCACAGAATAGTTCAAAGCAATCGTTTACTTTGCGGTCACGCCCACACAAGGACCAACACACAGTGGTACTCTAACCTATTATCTAACTTGTACAAAGTCATTTATGTACACGCAAGACTAGACCATGTTGCTAAACGCCACTTTAAGTATTCAACCATTGCCAAGGATAAAAAAGAAGAATTATACACAAAGGAATCTATGGACTCTGGTGAGGTGTGAAATTTGGACTCGTGAAATATAGATTCAGTGATTGTACTGCACATACCTCTTTAAAGAGAAAAAAAAGGGATTGTCAGGGATATTGTCCATATAAGGCAAAAGATACAAAATTTCATTATGTACGCGACGCTGGTTCCTGCCTCGCAGTATGTTACAACTCACTCTCTAGGAATTCAGCATAGTTTGGGGGCAACTCGCAACGTCCCAAAGCGGGGAATGTTGGCATATTGGGTTATTCGATGGAAATGAAGCGACTGTAACGTCACTTATCAATCAAATTTGTTGACTTCCCAAAAATGTCCCCGCAAACGGCTGGCCACACACGAACTGTCAGCGAGCGCGCGTGCTACCTACTGTCAACCTGGACCACATTCAAATCCCACATGCACCCATCATGATGTCGCAACAACAACGTACAAAATTATTAAAGTGCATGTTAAGTTCTTGCATATAGTCTCAAGGCCCTGACATGTTAGCTTCCATGAGGTAACAACCCTCGCAGTGCGTCATTCCTAGCGCACTGGTGCGGGGGACACATAATTTGATTTTTTACTGGAGCGGCATGAATCCCCCTTTTCTCACGGCCCAATTTCTCCTCTCTGGATGCACGTCGAAGTTCATTAGGCTTTCCACGGCTCACCCAGCGTCGCACCCCGAGCCTCTGACCGCGCGCGGGCTCGGGTAGCCGGGTTGAAACGGCTACAGTAACCGCCAGAGTTCTCGCCGCGGCTACGGGCGGACAAAATCTAAATGCCACGATCATGTCAAGTCGAGACGGGTGGATTCTTTCTGCAGCCTCTTAAGAGTGGGTGAGTTTCACTCAAGTTATGCTGTTTTTATTTTTTGGCTTTGATTGCGCGAGGAAACAGCCGAGGGCATCACAAACAAACCCCGCAGTGCGTAGCTGGCCTTACGTGCTTTGGCAGCGTTTAACCTTGTTGTCACATTAAAATGTCACGGGACAGTGGAAGGGATGCATGTTGCGATTCCAGGGAGGGGTGGATTACAAAACGCTGGGTAAACCGTCCAGACATTTCGGGTGAAGGTTCCCTGACTGCACTTGGCTGGAAGTTGACTCGAGATGCTCTTGGCAGTTACAGTTAAGGGCAAGGGTAGTGATAATGGTGATGGGTAGAGTTGGGGGCGGTGGTGATGGGTAGAGTTGGGGGCGGTGGTGGTGCTGGTAAAGGGGTGATGAAACGTCTGTCGCGTTGACAGTGGTGAGAGCAATGATGCCACTCTTCCTCGAATGGTTTCGATGCCCTTGTCGGGAAACTACATCCAAAGCATCGAGATGATGGAGATAACGAAGATTTCTGGAGGTGGTGACAATAATATTTGTCCGTATTTCGCATCTTCTAATGCTGACATCAACTCTCAAGAAAAAGGCAAAGTAGTTGTTAAAAAGTGTGCTGTACACTGATAAGAAAATCCGAACAAGGAATCAGGTAAATCACACTGACGCATTCAACGGCCAGGATTCGTTCTCTTTAATTATCTGATCGATGCCTGGTATTACAAGCGATGCTACCGAAATTCCAATACATAGACACAATACATTTACTGACATACATTATACATTATACATTATACATATAAATACATTTACTGAAGTCGTAAGTTCTACAAGAACACTGGAACATTGCACAGAATCATGGTGTTAACGGCTGGTGGGTTGTGCATTTGGGAAAAAAATAAGTTGATAAGTCTAGGGAGAAAATGGAGTCTTGTAATGGGCAAGTGTTGAAATTAGGGCATGGGGTACATAGGAGACAGGCAGGAGGTTGGGAACTGGAGTTAGGTTGAGAACGAGGATCAACTAAGGACAGGAACTGATTTTGAGAGAATAGCGACAGGTTAGTTATACCTACAGGTTTGAGGTAGGGGAACACGGTTTGGCTTGAGCTTGGAACCAATTAAAAATGGGGAACTGGGTTTACCAAGGTTTGAAAGAGTTTGGTTTGACAAAGGGAAAGTTGTATTTGGGAATGAGGACACCTTGCTGGTAGGAACAGGGGTAAGGTCTGGACAAATTGGAAATGGAGAAGTGGGCTAACAAAAACTGGGTGGACCTTGGGAAGTAGAGTTGGAATTTGAAAGTGGTTGATAGGCGAAGCGCTGGGGTTTGGTTATGCACGATAACAGGTTCGAGACACGGGAAACTGGAGTTGGGTTTACAAACATGGGTGTATAGATTACCGAGGTGTGACGTTATTTTGAACTAGAAAGTGTGGTGCAAACAAATGGAGTACGTGTTGTGTCGGTTCATGCACCGGTTCTTGCACTAATGTGTTTACACATAATTCTGCACGTGATGTATTCACTTTGGTACTCTATTGCAAAAAACTGTTTTCTAATTTAACTTGCATTATTAACAATTTATATATAGCCATTTGTTTATCTTTTGTAAACATTGGTGCAAATTTCATGGAATGAATCCTATGGGTGCAATGATTTTCAATCAATAAACCAAATAAAAGGAAGAAGGCTGATTGGAAGTACACAATGAGGTCTTGGAAAACGTGGGGACAAGGAGGTTTCAGAAGGAGGGGGGAATCTTGGCTTTGAAACAGGTCAAGGTACTAGAGAACTTGGTCTAAGTTGGGGTGAGGTGGAAAAGTAGGAAATTACCGTGATGATAGATCAGTGCATTTTCAAACACACACAGCTGGAAAGCTACATAGCTTGGATAAGCTTTGCTGTTGAGGGTGTAATAAGGGCTACTCACTGAGGCAAGATTTAGCTGAATGATATTTTCAAAGAATGAAGCTTGCATGTTCATGCATTATAGAGCTCACTCAAGTCTTATCATGAACTACACTGACCTGCGGGATGTCTAGGGATGCTTTTTAGACGTTGGGAGTTTTTGTTGGTGACAATCTTTTCTATTTCTATTAGTCTTCCAATGTCCTGATTTTTTTGTTACCCAATCTACACTTTTTGGAGGAACTTGTTCTGCAGTCTTTTTTCTGTTGCTCATTCCATTGGGTGTTTGGTCGTATGCTATTTGTTTAGTTGCACTGATCGTTGCTTTTGTACCAATTTTTGTGTCAATTGCTGTTTGAATTTGCTTGAATCTTTGCACATATTTGCTTTTTTTTCCATTTTTTTAAAAGATATTATCTTCTAAAGATGGAATACTCTTATCTCTTACACTTGAGTTTAGGGGCTTGAATTGACACATCTTTTGATGGCAGTTTTATACTTTTATTTATCTTTCACAAGCCCTGTTTATTGTGTATTTTATTATTTCTAAATATATACAAGAAATAAATAAATACATCAATTTGCCGTGACTCTGCTCGGCAAAGTGGGTGAGGCATGCATTGACCATCAGATAAGTGTTGACAGTTGGGAGATATCACTCACTTGACCCCTTCACTTCTTCTTCGTTGATCGATAGTACATCCTGCCCTCCCGCCATTCGGCCTGAAACCCGTACTTTTCCAGCTGCTCGTTGTTGACCACACCCTGGTTGGACATCTCAGCAATGACCGCTTGGTTCTCGAGGTTGCCGTCGCAGAGGTTTCGGAGGGCAAAGATGGCCCACTGGCTGATGACTAAGGAACCAGCGGAGAGATGAAAGTCAAGGGAAAGAATTAATTAAGGCTGTGCATTGGAACCAGGTACTCAAATCCCCATCTGCTGATGTTGTGAACCGGTTCCAAATTATGGTGCTGGGCACTTGTCACCAACTTTCCCAAAACTTTTCAGGCAGAGGGAAAGAAAAGATTCAAAAGGTTCCTGTGGTGAAATTTTTGAACAAACACTCGGCTACATGAATGCTAGAACAAATTTCGTATTCATGTTGAGAGATTGCTGATGAGCATTTCGCTGAGACAGAGCTGGCCATTGTAATGCAGTTTTCACATATGCGTTTTCCCCTTTCCTTTTGAATGTTGGGGTACAGTATCTTTACAGTTAGCCTGGTACCTGAGCTTTACTTCAATAGCAGTGTTGTATTTGATATTTCTTACAACCCCACAAGACCATGATACAACAAACACACGAACTCCAGTTTAGTTGGCATTGTTAACCCTGTTACTTGTGACTGTTCTTGAGCATGGCCTATTCAATAGGGTACCTGGTGGTTAAACACCACTAGACAGCATTAAGCAAGCATCCGAAGAAGTACTTAAAAAATCACTGCAATCAATCTTTTTTAGTACAAACCTTCAAAATCCAGTATATATCTCTGCCACTTTTTGAGGTGGGGGATGGGCTATTGAATCATCCCCCCTTATTTTTGTGGTGAGTAAAAAATCAAACCAGATTGTGACAAATTTTTTAGATTTTCAATGACTAAAATGCATTCAATATCACTCAAAAAAAGGCAAATAATCAAAATTCGTGAATATACAATTGTGAATGCATAATACAGATTTACATCAATACCCCCGTCACTTTTCAAATTGGGATGGTCGGGAAGTCATCCCCCTACCTTTCCCCATCCCCCATTCCCCATCCCCCCCAAAGTTCTGCACAGATTTACGTCACTGAGCAAAACCAAAGTCTAAGCCGAATCCACTTGTTGAAAACGCTCTGCTATGTCTTCCCTAGATGACATCAGAACAACAGTGCCCTCAGCTGTCCAGGAAAGCACAGATAATTTTAACTGTTTAAAAACAGTGTCCTTTTCAGTGTATTTAACCAAATGGGGTGTAAAAGAGTATTCATACATTAAAGAAGAGTACAACGTCGCAGAGGAATTGTGTCTTAGACATATCCATTGGAGTTACCCTTTAATGAAAGTAGCAGTTTCACTCGAGAGGGAAAAACAACTTCCATTCTTTCTTGGGAGGAAGGAGACTGAGTAGCAGGCAATACTTCTCCAGTTTTTCTGGATAAATCGTATCACAGCACAGGGGTGTCAGTTGTCCAGTGTGTTATTTTGAAAAGTTGCCCAAATTGGAATCAGCTCTTTTCCAACAAATCATCTCCAGGATAGACTGTGATAACCATCTCCAAATGTTCATTATTGAGTTCCCCTCCCCTGTGACAACCGTTTGACTGCATGAAAAGAATGGCAGAGTCACTTTTCTGGAGAGTTAACAAACACTCGGTGAAGAGTAAGAATAAGTCAACTTAGTACGCTGCTTTGTCTTTCTATTCTGAGAACTGTAAGACAATGAAATCAATTTCAAGCATTGCTCTTCTGCAAAGGATACAGGGGTTGCTGTCATCAATGCTACAATGCTCCAGTAGGACTGGGATACCATGTAGTTCACGGATCTGCAACAATAAAAAGAGTATTTGATGGCTGGAATTCCTGATGAATACCCATGACCAATACTGAGTTCGTACATGTCAATGTTGTTGACTTGAATCACTGAGTAAGACTCACATGAGCTTGGAATAAATTTTTTTGTAAAGGAAACTTGTTGGGAACCCAAAAAAATTGGCTTGACTTGACATGGGAGAAAATGACTCGGGATTCAACTTGAACAAATTTGACTCGATGACATTTCTCAACTCGAGCAAATCTGACTCGATGACATTTCTCAACTTGAACAAATCTGACTCAATGACATTTCTCAACTTGAACAAATCTGACAGGAAGACACTGGTAACTTTTATTAAAATGAAAAACAAGAATAAGAAACGTATCTACAACTTTTTATGTGGAAAAGCAAGACTGTCAGTTTTCATTATGCTTATGTTTTATCATTAAAAATAACAGCACATTATAATCGGAAAAAAAGGCACATGGGTCAGATTTATGTTACAAAATATCCCAGCACATCATCAATACAGGTCACAGAGGTGTACAAGTACCATGTAAATAATTATATCACAGGCTACAAACAAACACTTGGGACTTGACTTAGTAAAAACTGACTTATGACTTGACCTGTAGAGAAATGATTTGGTTACAACACCGCTACAAAGTCTTAGCAATTACTGCCCAAACCATAATTGTCTGTGAGCTTTCTCAGACAGGAATAATAGGTTTCTCTTGTCTGGATTACTGAAACAAACAAGGGAATTGTTCCAAGTCAGCATGGCTGATATTGGGGGACATGTTTGTGATCAGTTCCTTCCGGCAAGGCAACATTGCTCTTCCTGTTGGACGGATGCCAATCACAAGTCTTCCTCCCTCACGCTTGGCTGAAATTTCCTTTGGAATATTCCCATGACGGATTCTTAGCCAAAGGGAAAAATATCATTTCATTTTTCCAAGAATACTTGTCATAAAAAATGATAAATGATGGAAAGACTGCTATACACACGTGCATCTTGTCTTCACTCAGTCGAATTGAGACCAAGTATGCTTGGTGTCTTTAAAAATTCAGTTTCAGTCGCGTCCAAGACATTAGTCATTCTAACGACGGTAAAGAAAGTTGTGGCATGTTGAATTTTGTCCAAAAACAGCACACATGTGGCATTTACTTCAGAGCATCCGTTGGACATTTCACCACCAGAAAACAGCCCACCAGAGAGAGCTGATGGGAAATGAGACCTGATCTGTTCAGACTATTTAACTGGCAGTAAACTTGAACTTCAAAGGGAATCAAAAGAGTCTTCTTGTGATAAATCTGAGTTAAGCAATTAAACTCCGAATTCCTGGGGTGAGACTGGGACTGAGTCCAAAGAAACAAAAACAATAAGACAAAGTGAAGCTCTGAGCCTGTGACATTGATTGCAGAATTCTGCAGTGCTAAATATGGATGATGAGTCCAGACAACAGGTGCCAAATACCAGTAAATGTTCTAAACTACCACACTTCAATTACGGTACCCAGATTGCAAGCAGAAACTTATGACTCTGGTATTTTTAAGAGAACAATCCACATACTTGGGGGTCGACACAGTAAAATTGCAAACTTGAACTGCACAAAGGGTCCTGGAGATCACTTGAAAAGTCTGGTATTTGTTGGACCAAGTTTAACTACCCACCATAAATTTTTACTGTCCCTCTTGAAACAGTTTTTACTGGTGGCTCTAGATCTGTCAAGAGGTATAGCCTCAGCATCTAACCCTTCAGGCCCATTTTGTGGGTTCTGTTCTTGGTCGAGAAGTTCAAATTTGAATGGGTCCTTGAGAGTACCTATCAAAGTATCCCATGGCCGCATTCGGAAGTCACTGACAGTGGGAGGTCAGTATGCAACTGCTTCTGGGGGTGTTTACAATTTCAGAAAAGGATTTTATTACGGTGTGTATGCAAGGTAGCGCATTCTTGAAGCAGGTTTGCTGTGACAGCACCAGACCCTTCGTGGGGGGGGGGGAGAAAGGGAGACATGAAAACATCTTTGGATGTTAATCAAATATCTGATCTTTCCCTCAAGTGTATCAAATACTCCAGTTGCAAGAATGATTGAGATGTACATCAATAGTAAAATAAACTTTTTCCAAGTGCAATTTGACCCCCCCCAAAATAAATAAATAAAAACTAAAAAAATAAGCATGAGTCAACAGCATATGCAAAAAAATGGTCATACTCCGTACAGTGTGAATTCACATGTAGTACACCAGCCCTAACAGTCCTCAATAGGGGGATCCCAATATGACGCTTTTAGCGTCGATCTGCACACTTCGGCATTTGAAAAAGGGGCTATATGTGCCAGCTTCAATTCTTAATACAATCCGACGATTGAAAGTAAGGAGTCAAGACACAAAATACATAAAGGTATGTTAAATTCAGACTTTTCAGGCAGCATATTTTTGTGGAATAGTCTTTCAGGATGACAAAAGAAAAAATAATGGCAATTTACCACGAACTAATGTACCTGCGATGGTCATGTATCTGCATGTACAGTGGGCGTGCTTTAAACTTAAAAGTGGCATCACATTTACGAACCGGATACTGCATGTACTGTGTCGACTCAGAGGGCGTGTGTGACGAAGTTCAACACAGAGAGCCTAGGTTTCAATGTGGATATGCACAGATGGCGCTAATGTAAAATCCCTATATCCTCCAAGTTTAATATGATTTTAAATACACACAAATACTAATGAGAGAAAAACTTGGCTTCAGGAGTGCAGCTTCACATTTGTTCCAAATCACCAACCCTGCACATAAAAATCATGGTCGTGGCTAAATTTGAAGTTTAAAACTTGGGGTCAATCACATGGCCCCCAACTGTCAGCCAGTTTTAATTCAAAAGCATACATGAGAGTGTGGAACCAGTCAGTCAAATCTATTCTCAGGAGGGCACAAGGTGATTGGCAAGCAATGTTGTATTGTGGGTAAATTTGTCAAAATATGTGTTCGGTTACGTGGCCAAACAATGAGGGGACAAAAGGTGGCTCAAATAGGGCAGTCTAAGCTGCCTCCCAGTCAACTTGGGCCTAATTGCCTGCTACTTATCAAAGAAAACTCCAAAGACTTCTTGTCCCTTGGCCCAAGGGGGAAAAACAGAAAGTCTCCAATTCTCAGGCAACCTGTAACAGTAACAATTCAACACAAGGAATGTTAACCTAACCTTAGCTTCCAATACTCTGTTACAATTGTTAATTACCGCCAAGCAGTCTTGTTTGTGGTAGATTATTTTTCAACGAAGTGCTTAGTGGGACCACAATGTTGTCTTTGAGAGTGTAAGTACTTGCTGTTGAGACAAGCTTAATTCTCCCTCAAACAGGTCTTGGCAAAGTTTTTGTTTCTGCCATTGGCTCGTTAAAAACAGCTCAAGTTTGTGGCAAATATTTGGCTGTTTTGTTAGGTGTAAATTGAAACCAGTTTTCCGTTTTCTTGGTGGACGTAATTAGTGACTTTCTGCTTTCAGGTCTCCATGTGCAGTGAAAGATGATACCCAGCCTTATGTGTGGCCCTTCTGAAATGAAGAACTCTCCAACTGTGCTTTCTTACACAGGTCTTGTGAGTTCATGCATGTTAGTCAGCAAAGCATAATGCCGTAGTAACAAATTGATTGCTAAGTACCTGTATTGCAGTATGTGGGCCGTGGGCAATTCTTTTGGCTGCTGATTCAGAGGCAGCTCTTGCATGAATAACTGTGATCGACAAATTTCACAATTTCATATATTATGTTTTTTACAGTTTATATATTTATACACTGTATGTTATTAATATATTGGGCAGAACAAACCAGAACGGCACGTGCATAGGGTTGCTGTGAACAAGTCATGCAATGATGCTTAACTAAATACTGTACTTACAAATGATACAATGTTCGTGATTCACAGCCTATCAAAACTGCAGCATAAGAAGCCATTTGTTTCATTTCAAGACGTGAAGTGTCATTTTCACCACTGAAATCATGTTACCTCACCTTGCCTATAAATTGACTAAGGAAAACCTGAAAAAATATCAGTTAAGTATGTGTCAATTCCCAAGAAACATGAAATTGTGGCGGTACCTGAACTAGCCATCTTGAGAAGAGCTAGGACGTTCACATGCAAGAGAAAGATAATATATAGTTCTTCTAAAGCCTGATACCACACGGGGCACCTGTTCTGTGACTTGCCATATCGGCATAATTCATTGTGACTCAGAACAGAAACAGCCATGGTCTGTATCAGTAACAACAGCACGCCCTGCTTGATTGCTGATTAAAACGAGTTAAAGTTGCAACAAAGTTCACGTACATTCTCCTGTCTCATGTACTGGCAAAATGCAGCCCCCTAAACCCAAGACAAGTCAGGAGTACATGTGATTTTTCTCAGACATCAAGCGCGGTAATTTTGCAGTAAATTTGATTTGAAATGAGGGTGACTTGTTGTTGAACCTCAGGTGTGGAAGCTATTAAGCATCGGCCCCAAAACTTGATGAGGGGGGGGGCTCATACAGGAAACCAGAGCTGAATCCTAAATTGATTGGGAAAGTGGAAATTAACTATTGGGTCCCTGGGATGAGGACAGCTGTAATGGCAGTTGACATGCAGGAATTACCGGCTGGGGCCTATGGGATGGGATCCAAAGGGGGAAAATTTGAATGGGGCAGGGATTATGCTACAATGTAAATTGAAACAAATGTCATGGGTTTTGGAGGCAAAACATCATCTATGCACGTTCTGCGGATGTTCATATTTGGTATAATGGCAGCTGACTCAATGTGAAGTTAAAGACTGTATAATAAAGAATCAATCTGACTCAATAGCAATCATGACACAAGGAAATTCAGAAAAGGTTTGGTATTTCTTTAGTAAGTAAAAGAGGGGTAAACATATCCTTCCTTACTTATTGTCATAGTAGTACATTCTGATCCAATTCTCTGAAGTAAAGATTTGCCAAACAAAATTCAGTATCCTACATGTGTAACTCAATGTTGAAAAACAAAATTTTCCAGAGAGGGTCTATCAGAAACACTACGGTTGAACATGGACACCCGCTCTGAGAACATAACGGCTGTAACTCACTAACACACAAAACAAGAATGACTGTTTTTGTAAAGTTCCCCTTGCATTTAACTCATTATTTCTACATTGCTATGTTCACTGATCACCCTTTTACCAATCCAATCAACATGAGATTAATGATGGCAATGCGCATAGCTACATATGGGTAAACTTACTCAATTTGTTTAACTCAAAAAGAGCTGGTACTGGCCCCCGAGATCTTAACCACATTCTTAAATAAGGACAATAAATGAGGAATTCATAAAGTGTAAATAAAACAAAAACATAAATATGAACGTGTTTGCCCTTGTATCAGTTTCATGACAAAAATGGACATCACTTCTTATTTTCAGTATGAAACATTTCTAGCGACTCTAAAGTATTGTTCTAGCAACTCAATCTCATTTTGTTAAGTTGAATTTATCAGTGATTTTCTACTATTCCTTATAAGAGGGAAGTGGACTGGGGGCATCCTGCCAGCTACATGCACATACACGTACATTTATGTACATCAATGAGAAACCTACTGGGTGGGCCATGAACCCTACAGGAATGTGCAGACAAGCATATAACTGTCCAAAGACAGGAACCCAACAAGTGCATGGAAAGAATTAATCCTGTCAACTCTTGCCCCCCCCTTCTTTCTTGTTCTCCTTTTGTTCTCCTTAAATCCATCATGTCATCTGGGTACAGACAATGGGATGATTTCTGGCATGGGAAGCACCAAACTGTTTGCTCATGATTTTTTCTTTCTTTTCATCTCTGTTTACCTTGTTTTTGTCAACCTTCTGGCACATACTTCCCAGCATGACAAAGCTTGTTTGCATGCACAACAGAGGGCCCACTTGAAATACTCAGGTAGGTGGATCTTAGGGTCCACGAGATGGGATAAAGACTCAAGTACCATGAAGGTGTCTTGTATTGTGTGCAAAGTCATTGTTCAACATGTTTCATTCTTTAAAGTGGGAAAGTCTTGACAGAAGAGGGTCTCTAACAGCCTAGGTTGGACCTTAGTTTTCAACTGTCAATGTGGATTTGAAGCCTTAGGGAATTTTATCATGAACCACTGTTCATTCACCCCACAGTAGTTCTTGTTAATTCTCATAAGAAAATCAAAGATATGCACCTGTTTAACAAGGTCATAGAAAGGGACCAAGGCACACTTGCCAATACACGAAAAGTGAATTTGAAGGACTTACGACTGACTGCATGGCCACTTTTGCATCATTCTCCAGGATTACTAAAGAAAAGGACTTCACACACATGTGAAGTTCTTGATATGAGAGATGTACATATGTACATAAAATTTCCAGTGCATCGTCTCTCATATGAGTACATGTATATGTTGCATTTTGGTAGATTGTGTATCAAAGTTTAGAACTGCAAACAAAATTTGGCCTTCCCCTGCTTCCATATAATAGTCCACATACCAAGGTACATGTAGCCATGAGGGAAGCACTAATGTCGGATTTGTTATAAATACATGTCCACACAACATAGGCTTAGCTGGAAACAAGCACCACGGCATGTACGGCCCACAATCCATTTCACACGTTTGATATTTAAAGTGCATGTTCAACATAAACTGTTGGGAAAAAAAGACCAAAAATAAATCCTCTGATGATAATTCACTGCCACTTTGGCTTTCTTCTTGACAAGTCAGTTTGTTCCTCTCAGTGACCTATACGTACGTGCACATGCAGCTGATCCATATCAGCATGTTACCCCACACCTGCTATATATGCATAAGCCCACAAATGAATGTTCTGATGGAGTTGGAAGGTCAAGGAAGTTTGCTGCTGGTAAGAATGGTAAAGCTACAGTCTACATGGAACTTAATGAACTAGGACTATTGCAGGTACAAGGAAAATGGTGGGAATAAAAACGAGGACCACTGGGTGAGGCAAGCATTCAGAGTGGGCATTACACGCATGTTTTGGGAGAGGTCCCTAAAATGTCTATGCATTCCCTTCTCCCTGAGACTTATGAGTATTCCTTTACTGGAAAAACCTAACATTTATTTTCCTGAAATAAATTCAATTATTCATGTAGTTTACTAAACCTCAGTTCATTGCTAGAGGCTTTTGCTTCGCTTTTGTGTGTTGATTTTAACACCTTAGACAACTCATGGAAATAATCTGGACAGTAAAACCTCAGCCACCCCCTTGAGAAATCCTGGGTGTAATCCTGGGCAGTCAGGAAGTGAAATCTACCGGTAAGTGATACTCAGTTTGTGCACAGAGTTTTGGAGCTAGAAGGGAATGCCATTAAGATACATACTGAATTACTTGAATTTTTTTTGGGGGGGGATGGATGGGAACAGGAACATGAGAGGAGTTTTTCATTAAAGCATTCCTACGTGTATGCAGACATCCATCTGAAAAAAAGTTGTACTCTGTCAAAACCATTCAATTATAAAGAATCAGTAGCACTTTAATGACTAACTATTAAAGTATAACTTTCGTTTTAAGCTTTCATAGCTACAGTTACTTCATCAAGTGCTACTGATTCTTTATATTTGTATTCTACCTGACTGGCACAGCTACCCACCACTATAACCATTCAAGTGACTGTTTCTAACAGGTCAGAGTCGCCCTGCCTATATCAGACAAAATGGACTGGCTATAATACAGCTATGCTTTGACATTAACTGATGAGCCATCTTGGTCTACCAGTGGCCTGATTTTGTCTTTTGATGCGATTGGACTGGTAACAGAACTAACCTGAATTGTGATCTGACTATTGGTGGCTAGCCTGAAGCAAGGGAAAGTGAATTGAATTCTTGACCGTCTGTGAGTGTTATATGAAGGAGGGAAAAGCGTCCCTTTACATTTAAGAAAAATGAGCTCTGAAGAACAGGCACTGTGGTATTATCAAAGGGGGTGGGGTGGGGGAGTTGATGCATATGGTGGAGGAAGTTGCATGGGTCAAGGAAGGTGGTAAAGTCATTTATTGGTCACTTTCTCTGTCCCTGCTTTAAAACCAGGAACACGTATTTGTGAGTAAAGTTCTATTTTCTGAGTTTCTAGACACATATAAAGAAACTCCCAAAGGAATCTGTTATGAATGCCTCCAATGAATCAGAACTTTTACAGCTACAATTTCCACAAGGGCAGAAAACTAACTGGGACCCAACCCGCCTTGACAGACAGCAGTCTGGCATCTTGACACCACACGAGGGCAGCGTCCTCCGGGATGTGGCCACTGTTTGTTTACACATGGTAACAGATGCCACAATAACCCTGTAAGTGTTAACACAGAGTCCGGCTTATGGATGGGGGCTAAACGTTGCTCACATGTAGGTAAGGGACACTGATGGGTGTGACAAAATACTGGCACTGGGCCCAGGTGAACTTGAGTAACCCCAATCTATAGCTTATATGTAACTTACATGTCAAAAGTGCAGAGTCCATGCAATTTCAAGAATTTGGATAGATGTGTTTACTATGAATGGTTTGCCACAAAAAATTCACGCATAAATGTGACCCACTCCATGAAAATTAGTCGCAAGTCATTGGAGCCACTTTTGAGTTTTTACTTTGTATTAGATGGAGGAAACTGAGCTCTATGTTTTGATGTATCAGTTAGTTGGGTCTGATGAAAATGGATATTGTATAGATTTAAAAATATTGACAATACCTATTGCTTAAACACTGTGCAAGATTCTTTCGAGGCCTTTAACTCAAAAGCGGCTCCGGCGAAATGCGACTCATTTTTGCAGAGTGGTTCACAATTAAAAATTTCTGTGTCACCTTGATTTCCTGTAACAATCATAAATGTGCATGTATGTCATTTCCAAACTTCAGACAATCATGCCCATAAAACAGGTCTGCCCTTTATGGCCCATTGTCTAGATATGTAAATTCTGACCACCGCACAAATTATCCTCAGCACGTGATTTCTGGACATCACGAACAGTTACATGTATCTGAAACTTGCCCTTTAAGTACATCAAATCCACTTCTACAAGTTTCGCATCTGTAAGTGGAACAACAGGTCCACGTTTGATGCTTTGATTTGTTTAAAACTTGACTATAAAAAGCTGCCTCAGCACAGCGCAGCAAAATCCTAATTTCCCTTTTGTCCTACTCCTTCACATTCTGCAGATGTCTGTAACATGGCTAACCCATCATAATCTGGATTCACTTTACTGCCTTCTCAAGTCCAGCTACATGTACATACCCCTGCTGAGCACACTTTTGTCAGCAGCAAAGCTGTCAGGATTATCTCAAAAGAGTCAAGTAGTCAAATTGGCCACTGAAGCTTTCTTCATCAACAGGAAATCAAACTTCATTATGTACCTGTTTCTACTGAGTAAAACAATTCAAACTTAAAGCTTGAATTGAGCTTTTCAAACTTGAAGTGTAACTTTTAGCTCTGTTATGTCCCAACACAGTTTTCGCAAGGATAATCCATTAAATAAAACATTGTTTATGTACAATACATGTAATAAGGACAGCATTAGGTTCATGCCTATGGTTGACTCACCAGATCTCTGTGACCATTTCTGAAAATTTGGGGGGAAAAAGAGAAGAAAATAACCAGTTACCTTGTTCTGGTTCGCAGTGTAGTTGTGGCACATGTTACCGATCAAACGAACCAAGTCTCTCTTGAAACCAAAGAGTGGATTCATTTGAGCACTGGCACCCTCCAGAGTCTGTGTGGCGGTGAAGTGGTTATTGCCTTTTTTGCCTGCATTATTTGCTCGCTCAAGAAGATCTACGAATGTAAACAAGAGTGGGTAACGGTACAAATACATGGGTAATTCCAAAAATTAGGGGTTCTTTTATTTTCGTGTCCTTGTAACATCTGACCTGTGATTTTGTAAGTTCAGAACACATTTTCTAATTTCCAGGAGTGACGAATTAATGCAAATTACCTGCCAAACAAATAGTAACAGTTTGAAATGGATTCCGATGATATTTCCATGTCTAATAAGAAAGGTCAGATGCAGGCGTATTTAGTAATTTCAACACAGCATTTATGAAATTCGGGGTACAAGGCACTTTTAAGCAACATTTGAGCTGTCTTCGCCCGGTAAAAATGTGAGAAAATCCGTTGAAAAAATTTCACATTGTAGGAGGACTTTTATACCCTGGACGTCAGTTGCAATGCAATGTAGACGACGTCCAACCTAAGCTAATGTACAGTATGCTAGACTTTGCGTTTGTATCTGAGGTTTCCAACCAATGCACACTACACACACATGCTGCATGACAAAAGCATCAGATTGACTTGACAGTGAGTTTAAGTTAGTTGCAAGTTCATGTATTTAGGGACTATGCAGTGCAATGCACACGGATACAAGTTTAAGAATCTCTGGACTCCAAATTTCCACATAAAAAATGATTTTCTACATTAGTACAATAATAACAGTATCTGTCTTTTCCAGCAGAAATTAAGCTTCAGTATGCGACAAGATTCCATAACAAAACTTTGAAAATTACATGTATTGTACAGCAAGAAGAATGGTCAGTCTTCGGTTTTAATAGGCCAAAAGTGTCAAAACGTGGCGACGCTCACTCGGCCATTCCAAGAAAATTTATTCATAAATCTGGCCATAAATGGTACACATGCAAGTATCTATCACATTAACAATTCAATTCCTGCAGCGTTTTAGTTTGCTAAAGATCTGAGGTGCTGGACACAAAACATCATTTGAGTTGTCATTCCGACCAATGAAAAAGACGGTATTACAAGACCAGCAAGTACCAACTGTATAATTTCATGGCATGTTGACCGTGAGGCCTGAGATTTTCTGAATCTGTCAGCGATAATGAAGAAATAAATGAATGAAATGTGGAAGTGATGACCATTTTGAATGACTCTAGGTCGATAGTTCTTTATGGTGTCTTATAACTTTGCACGGTGTGAATGGCAAATTGGAACGATTGGCTACATTAAACAGTAGATCTACATAAGGTACATGAAAATATGTATAACCAAATTTTATTATAAATATGTGTATACATGTACCTCACTGCCTGACTGCTAATAACAAAGTGAAAAACATACTAAATCCTGAATAATTTTGTGCTTCGAATATTTGAAACAAACTTTAGATGTAGAATGCGCTGTTTTTTCTTTTATAGCATTAAAGATTGAACAGTAGAGGAAGCCTAGCTAATATTTCCTGGTCAAGCCTTAAAGTGCTTCTGACAGGTGCAATTTTCAAATCATTGGCCTGGCAATGGTCACACCCTGGAAAATTCCATCTTGCAAGCGGGGTGATGACAGACAGTTACCACATAGTAGACATCCTTGGGAAGGTGCCAAGCCAGGTTGGATAGCTAAACAATAAACTGTATTTAACTAGCTTAAGGTACCTTAGGAGGAACAAACAAAAGCAGTTTTTCCTGTTGGCAACTTCTCCTTTTTTTTAGTTTTTCATTTATTACTTGGTAACTTTAACACCATACCTACAGTTTTGTAGTCTAGACCATCACAAGACCAGACAGAAGGCGACGCACAAGACAAGACACAAGACCAGTCACAAGTAACAGTGTGAACAATGACAAAAGAGTGCTTCTGTTGCGGTTCATTTGAATAGCTTGTGACTTGAATTCAGACTGGAGGTCTTGTGTTGGTCTTGTGCTAGCCTCGCATGGTCTTGTGAAGGTCTTAAGTGGTCTCGACTATAACACTGATACTTGGACTTTAATTTGTTTCTACCAAAATGTTTACATGTAGCAACAAATGCAAGTTTCAAAACTGTCAGATGGGGAGAAAAATCCTACATGCACACTTCTGGCTGTGAGTTTGTACTGTGCATGGAAAAGAGATATTTTTGTCAAACACAATCACACTTTGATGAAAATCTATGGTACGACTTTGAAACTGCAACCGTGGAGGTAGAGTGACTCCCCGATGGTGACAACGTACACACATGCCCCATCACTGGATTCAAAACGCCAGCCTCGTGGTCAGAAGTTACTGGTACTTAACCACTTAACCTTAACCACTGTGCTACACATCACTAGTGTTCACTATTATCCACATCACACAATCCCTGCATGCATGTACAGTGCAGCAGCTACAAATTCATATCTTGGGACTCAAATACGTGAAAATTATAGACACGTACCAAGGCTACACGCCAGTAGAGACACTCTCTCCTGTAGGTTTCTTTTGGCTTCTGGATGAGCTGTTGCCTCACACAGTGCATTGAGTAGTCTCATTACAAGCTGGGGTTTCTACAAAGTATCAAATAAAATGTTCAGTCAGAGCACTGTGAAGCTGCCTTACAGTACCATTTTCTAAATGGCAACAGGAAGGGCAGACGGAAATTCTTTTGTGGACAGTCCATAAAAGCAGGCATAACATCTAAATCTGAAGGAAAATTCCGTGCAAACACCCAAATGTATGACTACAGTATACTGTTGAAAATGAAGGACATATGAAGAAATGAATGGAGACAGATCTGAAATTTTAAGGAATTCGGAAAATATTAGGATTGAAAAAATGGGCAAATTTCCTTGCAGGCAAAGTCATAGTCCATACAAACTACAGGTACAATGTATATGCAAGTAGGCACGCTGTCGCTGATAAAAACGGACAAAGTTTGGGAATTAGAAAAAAAAATTTCATGCTCAAGTCACATGTATCGGTACTGAAAGCTCAGTACAACCTACACTGAATGTACATGTATCACTGGTGTCCTGCACACGGCATAAAAAACTGCCAACAGAGATTTGGTTCATCAAGGTCTGTATAATGACCAGACCGTGCAGTAAATTGAGTGGAAGGACCGTTACCCAGCAAAGTGCTGACTCATGACACCAGCAGGGTGTTGGAGAGCCTAGTTTAAATGGCATTTGCAACCAATCCATTTCACTTAATGTGCCCATTTCCTGCAAACAGGTCATTGTTTCCTATGGGTTCAAAAAAACCTTGATTTTTAATTTCTCTAGTAACTCCCATAAAAAGGTGATTGAAGCAAGACAATGCTGCACCTCATTTGATAAAACACTGTATCACAGGTCATATCCCAGTCATGATGTGGGAAGCATACCAATATGTGACCCATTACATTGAGAAGTGTTAAGGTTTTTTTAATATGTCTTGAGCAGAAGCACCCCCTTATCCACTAAACAGAGTGATGTTGGTGGGAGTGTTCATTTTCTTGGTAGCGACGTGTGCATTTCATAATTGCTTGTGAACCTGATGAGTGCAGTTCCCATCAAAGGAGCCACCGTTACTAGGAAAATTGTGCCCTCTCTTGGTCTATATTGGGGCTCAAAGATCATTGTTATCATCTAGTACACTGAACTTCTATGCTTAAATTGATAAGTGACAGTATGTTTTCAAATGCATTGTAAATGTGATACACATAGTTATTTCCTACACAGACTACATCTATTTCCAGCCTGTTTTGGTTAAAATTCTGTAATGAATCTGTTATGCAATGTTCATGCACGGCACTGCCCGCTGTAGCATGGTTTATGTTGTTGGGAGGTAAAACTGGAAAGATGTCAATGACCTCAAGGCTGTCTGAAATCCATGGGCAATGTCATGACAAAAGAAAGGTGTGGGAACGGTATTTTCAACTTCCAAGTTTTCTTCTTATTTTGACAAACTGTGGGGTTGCAAGTGGTAACCTTCCCCTGGTATGATCCTTGAAGTCATGTTTACCTACTGGAAACCACACCAAAGAAACACGTTTTCTGTCATGCCATGCTATGCTGTTGGGAAAATTTCTACAGTTGGGAAAAAATTTGACCACATTGTGGGAATGTTGCATTTCCACCTCTCTGCAAAGTTTTACTGGTTCACACGATAACTGTCACGCAACACAGATTCCGGCCTGACAACTCTGTAACAAGTATTTTGTCAATGTATGTTGGTAGTATATACTACTAAAAAATAATGCTGAAAGCAAAAACCTTGAAACTGCATTTGCAAGGTGGCATGCAGCCTTGTTATCTGTTACTATTTGCCGTGAATATTTTTATATTCCAGGTCTAGAACGGCTGTTTCAAATTTTCTTTCAGTGCAAATGTGATCATCAGTTGCAGTGCGCCAAAAAATGCAACATGTGACAGGCATATATTACGTCCGGTAGTTGAATGTGCGTTTCGCCTCATGGTACGGTTTTACTGCCATGGTTTCTGGAAGGAAAGCATGACATAATCAAAGGGCACACTTCAGTGGGGCGGGGAGTCAACTCCACTAGTTAATGTACTGCTTTCATTGATACATGTAACTGTGGAGCATTACTGCACCACTTTTGGTCCAAAAGTTTTGTACCCTGCCCAGCAGTGCTCGCAACAGGGTACAGTGATTGGTGGCGGCTAGAAGTAGATGTACATGCAGGATAACAGATGAATAAGTTAACACCATAAAAACTGTCCTTTCAGCTTTTCAAATGGAGCTCATACTACAAGTACATGGCCTTATGCAGTCCAGCCCAATCCTTCACAAGTCCCTGTAAGTTCTTCAACGAGTCATTCCTTCCTAAGTGAATCCTTAAGGTATTCAAATATCCCTTTGTTACTGTTCACCCTGTTACTTGCAACTGTCAGTCACCACATGGCAAATATTTACAAAGTTTGGCTACAAGACAGAGCAACTGGTAAGGAAAAAATAGTACTGAGCAATATGTACAAAAAACATTTGGCTGCAACAAGAAATCTGTGTTCTGTTCAATTTTGGGCTATCATTTAAAATTTGCCAGTTAGAACCCTGACTTGTGGTGGACTTGACAACAACACTGGCCTTATGCCACTAAATGTACTAAATTTGCTATACTTTTTTTTCACGTTACTCTAACCTTGTCTTTTTCAATGTTACTCCACTCCTCTTCCGACACCAGACCAAAGATGGAGCCAGCCTCTTGCTCAAAGACCTGTGCCACAAACTCCACAGCAGGGAGGCTTGGGGATTCCTTCTGCCCGTCTGCATTGCCAGAGGCTGCCTCAGGAGCAAAGGGCCCATCAGCATGGCCCTGGGAGAGGAAAGCTGCCACGATGTCCAGGAGGATGATCTTGGAGGGTGGGGTGAGGTGGTCGAAGATGGACGGGATGAAATCGGGGAGGACAATCAATGTCTGCAACAGCTGCAAGCTAGGGATTGGATAGGGAAAAATCACAATAAAAATACAACATCAAAGAAGGGAATCCAGATAGATCTTTAATCGCTTGCCGATGGCATTATCCTATGTTGCTCTTGTCCCAGGCGCGGTATTATTTTTTTGGCCAAAAATACCGCCTTTTACAAGCAACAAGATCCCACAAACACGGCCCTATAAAAAGTTGAACTTTAAAAACGCTGATCCTTGGTGGTCATTTGTTCAAGATTTATGCGACATTTGTGTCTGCACTGTAGCTTCTTTAAAACTCTGAGACTGTCACAAAAGGATATTTGCTAAAATGACTAGCTGTGGCAAACAATCACTAGAGGGTTCCACACAAGCTCAACCTCTGGGAACGAGTTCCAGCCTCTGTATGTGTACACACTCGGTTGGAATTACTCAAGCCTGGGGATAAATTAGATATCCCACAGTACTGTATGCAGAATTTACTGGAATGTGTTTATATGCCCTGTACTGGGATTGGGAAATCCCTGCATGTTTAGACATCATCGAGAATGAAGTGGTTAAACAGACTGAAAAACTGACAGACAGTTTTGGCCTCACCACACGCTTTCAATTGGAAATTTTTTTGGTCATACTGGAGAATACTGTGTAGCCTTGACCAAGTCATTGGGTTCTTGAACAATTCCTGTTTTGGAGGTTCGGTGCAATAATATTAACTCCTAGGTGTGCTTTTTATCTGAATCGAGGTCCATGTGGGTACACTGTAACCTTAGCCTTGGTCCTGTGCATACAGTTCAGCTGTGGCCACATAGTCTTTGTGAACTGTTCAACTGTCCTTTTTTGGCTCTTGTGGCCAGAACACAATGCACCCTCTGTGGACATGACAGTAGTAAAAGTCATGTTCCATCCACTGATAGTACTAGACTTCACATTAAGTCCCTGTTAGGTGTTGTCTGTGGCATGTTAAGCCCACTACAACACAATATACTGCTTCTTGCATTAGTAGGACTTTGATCTCAAGTCCACTGATTTACCTGAAATCTGGCTCTGACTCTGTTTCACACATAGCGATAACAGTTTCCACCAATTGGTACCCATCCTCACTGGTCCACAACTGCTGTGCACATTCTGATGGTGAAGAACTTTGGATGCACATGTTGATGAACATGCAGAGATACTGCGAAGCCTTTGGGTCAGCACACTGGAATACGGAGCTGAACAAATTCAACACATCAAAAAGGCCATACTGCAAATTCCATTAAATAGATAAGATAATAATTTTGATACCATATCACTCAAGACATATCTTAGAACTAAGAATGCTCAGAAGTTACTGTGATCACAATACTGTGATGAACCATGGCGTAGTGGCCAAGAGCTCCAACTCAACATCTGTAGGTAACACTTTAGAAAGTTGGTTAGAATCAAGCCCGTAAGCTACGAATACTTGTGTCCTTGGGCTAGATGCTTCTCCCTCCCACCCTGGAGTAAATGGGTACCTGCACTTGTGAGGACACCGATGATTACTTTTGTTGACTCAGCCATCTCTTATCAAGATGTATTTTTTTGTATCTCTGCCAAATGACAGCACTGGGCTCTCGGAACAGACAGGGAACACTACACTTGTTCCTCAGGAAAATTCCCACAAAGGACACTCTGTGAGTGAAAACATGAATGCACCAAGTTTGGGAATGTTCCCCGGACATTCAGTTTTGTCAAAAATGAAAAGCATGCACTGCATAGGAGAAGGCTAGTCACTATAAGTTGCCTCTTGTGTGTGACCAGCAGTCCAAAGCAAGTCCAACACAAGCGCCCTCCCACATGAAGTAAGGCTAGTTACATTGTTTGTTATTGATTGCAAAGCATACTGGCATGACCATGTAGAGTACAGTGCACCAGGACACCTAGACCAGGACAGAAAAGGATTTGATTTGGCAGCAGCATGCAGACACAGGGTAAGTATAGAGTCCATGTGCATATGTGTATGGCAGCGTTCAAATCTTGTGTCAAGAGCTACAGGTCTACCATTCAGGTCTGAATTGTTGGGACTCGTATCAATAGCCATACCCTTTCCAGGTCCCCCACTGCCCCGGTCAATGTAGTCATCTCGAGCTGGAGCGCAGACCGCACAGTGAAGCCCAACATTGAGGGGAGGCCTGGGGTTGGGGCCAACGAGATTTGGCTAGGACTGTAGGTCTTTGCCAGTCACTATACGCAGGTACTGGTAGATGCCAACAATGGGCCAGTTTAATCTTTCCAGGAAGGCAAAGTCATGCTAGAACAAAGCACACAAGCTCGGTCACCCTGACAGGGCTGACCATGCATGCACGTCCTGAGGCTCTGCATGGTAGCCATCATGCAAGGCAGTCCATTTGTTGCACAGGGAAACTTCCTTTGTGCATATCCTGCAAAACAAAAGCTTCGGCCTGCAAGATGGCAGCCATGCAAACCTTCTATTACTGTTCTTGAATGAACTCCGATGCAACTCATTTTGACATGTGCTGTTGGAATAGTGAAAAGGATCATAGACACAGCTAACAGTGCTGTGCATCAGACTAGGTTGAAACATTATACATGTAGATTTAAACCGAATACGACCCGAAGCCCATCTGAAAATCTCCTAAGACCTGAAACCAAACTGACCCAGAAAAATTGAAGTTCTGGCTTGGATAAATCATCCTCTACATGTAACTTGTCTGCTGTTTGTGCCTGTAGTTATCAATGTTGCAATAGTTCTTTGGAAAAATCATTGTGAGAACTCAAAACTGTTGCAAAGTATCTTTTTTACAGTCCCGGTTGGACAACTGTGCATCTTGATCATACCAGATACTGTGATTCTGGAGCAATAATGCACTATGTGAAAGTACAGACTGTTTTGACGTTTGGGAGGGGGGAGTTATTTTTGGGTTCTTACAAAAAGGGATTCACTGAAATGACCTTGCCCAAAAATCACAAACACAAAAACCGAACTGGCCTGAATGAAATGGTACAAAACTAGCCCTCAAGAAGTCTTTTTTAGGTCAGGTCAGTTTTGGGTAGGGTTTGCACAATATTTATTGTCACATATCTGAAAACCCATTCCCGACACAGTCTATGTTATTGTCCAAAGTTACATGCAGTTTTCAACAGTTCTGGGCCAGCAGTTGCTCCAATTACTTAACCTAAAGATGTCATCAAACTTACAGTAAAGTACGAGGGAAAACCTCTTTCCATGCCGGGGCCTGGAGTTTGACCTGACCGCTGATGAGATTACCCAGGAGCTGGACGGCACACCTCAGGCAGGCCGCTAGCTCCTCCTGCAAAGGTGGTGGTGCTGAGGAGATAAGCTGGATGAGCTGTTTCAGTGAATCTAGTGCTCCTGCATTCCTGTAACATTTGACAGCAAATGAAAACCAGCTGATAAACCGATTGGCTTACCTTTTTTTAAAATTCTGCAACCACTCAAGACAAATGTCTTGCATTATATGCAAGTGGTTGCATGGTCTGCAGTATAGAATTGACAGTGGGAACTGTGCAGAATGGCACCTCTGCTAAATATTAATCCTAACCCCCTATAGTTTTGGTGTATGTAAAATCATATTGAAATTGGAGGACTGATGACTGTTAGGCGTAGTGTCACAAACATTTTGGGTTTGCCACACTTCTTTTGGTTTCACATCAGCCACATCCTAAATTCTGCTGGCTTCTGTTTGCTTTCCAATGTCCCCGAGACAGACAGGCCGAGTTCGGGCGGCTTGTTGTGGTACATGTATGTTCACGAACAGCTCGATTTGTTGTTTGTGGGTTGGCCGCTCGAAGCTGGCAGTCAGTGGCAAACAACATGCAACATGGTGGCGGCCATGTACATTATTTGAGAGTTAATGTTTGGATGGGCTGAATTCTTTTCTATTTAAACAGGAATATTCATTTCTGTATTATGGAAAATAATTAATGTTAATTTTGCAAAACTTCCCATTGTCTGTGACTTTGGAAGCAGCTGTTCAAACAATCAAAATCTCGGGAGTTTTCCGTGTGTTCCTGTAAAACCCTGACGAGGAGGTGATGTGTGATCCTGTTATGAGAAAAGTGTTCTTGAGTCGTGTTCCAGCCATTCGAATGTGAGACCAAGAAACCCGTGCCAAGAACAGGCCGCACGAACTCAACCACAGAGGTAGATAAAGTAGAATATTTGTTATGTCCCAGCTAAAGTATTGGTCCCAACTGTAATTGAGATGACCCTCTCTACAGATGGGACAATACCAACTAGGCCTACACTGTATATGTCTAGCACTGCAGTAAGGGTATCCTCTGCAAGTACATTCACGTGGAGGGTGTAAAAATTGCACGTAGACCCAGCAAATACATGTACATGGGTAATTCCAGAAATTATGGGTCCAAACGTGTAATATTTTGGTGTCCCTGTTACATCTGTGTCCCTGTTAGATCTTTGTTATTTGACATGAAAATATCACTAGAATTGATTTCAAACTATTACTATTTGTTTGGCAGGTGATTTGCATTAATTCATCCCTCTTGGCAATTAGAAAATGTGTTCTGAACTTACAAAATCATGTGTCAGATGTGAAAGGGACTTGAAAAAAACATGAATTCCTAATTTCTGGAATTACCCGTATGTCAGTAACATCCGGTCACTGTCTATCAAGGATAAAATAGCAAATTTACATCCATGTATTTTCTAGGCAGCACATAGTTGACCATGAACAGGTACTAACTTTCATACTGGCACAGCAATTGCACATGTGCAGTGTCTTAAAGAATAGGGAATCTTTGGGCCTGTTTGTTTCAAATGAATCCGGATCGCAATTAGTGATCCGACGTTGGTTCACTGACACCAGAATCTGCCTAACGGATAGTGCGAACCGGCTTTGAGATCACAGATTGCCATTCAGATTCATACATGTATGTTACAAACAGGCCCTTTATCATGAGAATTCTACATCTGGTTTTACATGTATGCATACACTGTCATCCTGAACTTGTATTCACAAGATTGAATTATGACTTACTTGTAATTTTGTATTTTCAGACTTTTTTGCGTACTAAAAATCCTCCAGAGACAGTGATCACGAAAATGAATTCAGAGAAAAAGCCTGCAATTTGAGATACGATTTGATTTAAAACAGTTGGAGACTTTGAGAAGTGTGATGGACACAGGGAAGTGATTGAATGTGCTGTGAGTTGATGTGGACGACATCGGTTGTAGGTTTCTTTCCCTGGCTAAAATGTACATGTACATGTAGCATTACAGGTGAAATCATCATTCCAATTAGAGGTGGAACCAATCATATATCATAGGTTAATTACACACAACATAATACAACACAACCCACTCCTTCATTCACCATACAAGCTGCTGGTTTGGTGGCGACTGCACACAAGCATTCCTGAGACATCTCAAGCTCCAGGCACACATTTCCCGGACCGAGGGATTGTCGATGAGCGGAGCATCCTCACCCATGTCGGTAGGAGCCACGCACCCTTGGATGATGCTGCACATCGTCCTCAGAGTTGTCGCCGGCAACTTGGATCTACAAATTGACATGGTATTTCACAGTACATTAAAACTGTTCAGTGAGAGCCCACAAGATAGGGCAAAGTGTAACACACTCCAACTTTTCCCAACGCCACATTTGAATACATTGTATGTGCAGGGAGTGTTTGGGGGTATTTTAGCGCAGCAAATTTTCATCAGGTTCCATGCTTACACTACCACTGTAAGTTTGTATTACATGGAACTTGACGAGATAAATCTCAGAACCAGAGCAATATTGAAATTTTTCCCTTCACCAAAAAGAAAAGGGAAATGTCCTGCAATTGAACATGGGATTCGATTTAAGGCATGACATGAAAATATTTGCCATTTTTTTGAGTGGGGAAGAAAAACATCTGCAATTCAATGATCTGACCTAGAGATTGAACCGCTATCGCATGCTTGATCCTGGCAACTTAATGTAACTCACTGTGTCACACAGTCAACCCTTCGAAAGAAGGAATTGAACAATCATATATGTGTGGTATCAGTTCAGTATTGGTGTTTAAATAGTGAAGTGCAACCATATGACAAAACATACTTAGTACTAGGTACTTACATGTATGATGTGCATATTTTGCTGTTACCAAGTCACACATTACCTTGTTCAACAGCTAGCACTAAACCATTGCCATATGATTGCTCAACTCCCCCTTTGCATCAGGTGAACTTACAGTGTAGTTGGTCTTGAAGGCACACAATTGTGGGATCAAATCCTAGCCGGGCCACGCCGGTGAATTGCAATTGTTTTCCCTCCCTTAGAAGTCAAAATAACTTAATATTAACTTAATATTTTAAATTGAATCTCAAGTTAAATGATTCTATATTATTTCCAATTTTCTTTTGACGATTTGCAGCTCGGAAGAATTTTAGAGGCAAAAGGCCAGCATTTGCACAAGGCCCTAGGCCTGAATTCCATTTAGCCGTCACGACAAACTCACAATGACAATTTGTGAAAATTTGTCACAGTGATATGGCTACATGTAAGCCCCCAAACCACTCACTATACAGTTGCTATTTCGGCCAAAAAGCAACCTGCTAATGTGTGATGGGTGCAATTATTACTGCACGATTTATTGATAATTCTGCTATCACAATCAGCAACTTGCCTTTTTTTCTACTGGCAATTCACATATTGTTAACAAAAAGGGAAGTGAAGTTGAAGATTTCATACAACATCAATCTTGTGCGAAGAGATCAGGTGATCATGCAGATTGGGCGATCATATCCAACAAGCAAACAAGCCTTTTGGAGTTAAAATTGAATAAAATCTGGTACTTGAACATATCAATTTGAGTTCTCCATACAAACTGACAGCTACAGTACATTGTAACATTCAGGCCCTAACCAGGGTCATACTATTTAGTGCCAACAAGCGTCAATAAGCATCAACCACACAAGTAGCGTCAACAACTTGAAAATACCCTCCACTGATTTAAAAATGGTTTTATTATATTTTAGATACTAACAATTGCCACTGTATAAGAGAAACACCAAATTTGCTTCCAGATTCTCGCAGGGAAAGGAAAATTTTTTGCAATGTATGGTGGCCACCATCTTTATTTCCTCTGCTGTCCACACGAAAACAAGATGGCGGCCGGTCGGATTGCACAAACACTAACACTTTAACAGGCCCGACTTTGTCACTCAAATTTCAACACTCAAATATCAATTCAGATAGATATAATACATTGAATTTGATACGTAGGAACGTAACTAACATTTTATGTAAAAAATTTTAGCATAGGCCTAAATATGCTTGAATACCTTGTAGACGCTTTGTTGACACAGTATTAGTACAATATGTCAGGTGGCACATAATTTTGAAACAAACAAGTCGTTTCACAACCAACTGCCTGAAGATCCCAGGCTTGCCTAAACTTCACAAATAAAAATCGTAGTATAGAGGCTTAGCTGTTTAAATCACATGCATGTGAGTCAAGTGTAAGCAGGTACTACGTGTGCGCCCACCAACCTGATTACTTCACTCTGTTTTACCATGTCGGAAATTTTTTTCAAAACGATCACAATCGTAGACATTCTTTCTTCACACAGTAAATCCTGCTCTCGATCAAATCTTCCCAAAGGGTCAGTTATTTCATCCATCGTATCTTTTTGACATCCTTCTGCCATGTTTAGCCTGGATCAATGGATAGTGATTTTTTCAGAGATTTATAAAAAGAGTTTGAGATGCAATTTTTATGGCTGCATACATGTACATGTACATGTACATATGCAGATACACATGTATGTGGCGACTTTGTTGTAGTACGGTACCCCTACACCTTGATAATATCTTAGTGCCTTACGAAGTCAGGGAGTGAGACAGTCGAAGATATAGTCGGGTCACATCAAATAAATCGTTACATCATGAGAATTACACAGAAGACGTCTAGACTAGAACAATACTTATTTAGCCCCGTGGCACACACCCATACGGCTCACAAGTGGTCACTTCGGCATGTTCGCGACCAGGGCCCGGTAAAGATCTTAAGTAAAATTATGTACAGCGCTGCGTACCGGTAGCTAGCGCCCTGCATTGTAATCTGTGCATTGAAGTTCATCTAGGCCCTAGACACATTCTGCACGTGTTGTAGCTTCTTGACATAAAATCCCGCCTTCAAGTAAGTAATTAATATGATTGAAAAGTACAGGAAAGTAAGGAAAAGACAACATAGCCAGAGAGCAGACCCATGATATATAACCATGACCAAACATGCTCTATTTTGTCTGGTTTGCCAAGTCGTTTACTTAGAGTTAGAAAACACAATATTTCCGATCAGTCTCATAGGGTTCTTGCACAGGGTGTCAAGTAGCGTCTGTATATGGGACTCTTGCCATAACGTGTCCCAAAAAATGAAATGTACATGTAGCTGAGAAAATTCTGAAGCATTTACCTCAAAAAGACTTTTTTCAGACAGGTCTCATAGGTTTGTGCACGGGGGATCAAGTGTTGTCCACATAATGGAACTCCTTCCTTAATGGCCTTGTTTAACACTTGGACATGGTCAGGGGATAGTAGAAGCTGAGAACCCTTCATAGACCTTCCCTACCATTAACCCTAACCCCTAGGCTCCTGCACTAGAAAGCATACTGAACCTCACAAAATCCAACAGCTTCATGTAATTGTCTATGTACTTGTACATGCAGGTTACTGTACCAAACCTGATAAACTCCAACAGAATGAGCCCGTTGGAGTTTGAGTGATATGGTATGGATGGGTCTATGCAGTATGGGATGACTTGCACCGAACGGTACCAAACATGATAAAATCAAGCATAGTCCAACAATTGGTACAGCAAGCCAAACACTGCGCACAGTGACCCCTGTGTGTCCCAACTCACACAGAATCCAGCACCATCTCCCTGGGCCTTTCATCCCAAGTCTCACAAAATTCAACAAGTTCCTCGGGTACGGTACCAAACCTGCCAAAACCTCACAAAACCTGCTTTTGGAGTATGGCAGGTTTTGGGCAGTTAGGGTTAATCAGTGTTACTCAACATGGCTTTTACCCCAAAGCAAAATCCTCAGATTTCACCCCCTCCCCAAAACAGTCCTGAAACTGTCTAATATGTCCAGTTTGAGTACTGTGGTGGTCATATATACCCAGCTCTTTCCAGATCGGCAGATCATGTCGCAAGATCAAACTAAGGTACAATAATGAACCATTAGAGTAGCCATCGTTTTTTTTATTTTGGATTTATTGGCAGGAAAAACATCACAAGTATGAATGTCATCCCGAGATGTCTGCACACTGTACGAAGACTGTCCGGGTTATGTCCGGCTGTAGTCCTGTCTGCTTCAGCTCATCGTCCTGTCAGGTTTTTCCCTGCACGGTGCCACAGCTGGAAGCTTACATGTAGAAGCATCCCTAAGCCCAGGCCTACTCATCCCACTGGAGTGAGGTGTATGTCTTCCACTGTACAAATCCCATCAGATTTGCTCTTCCGACAGGTACGGAGCCTCTGCCGAGCCAGGAAATTAATCTTTGGTGACCTTTCCCCCAGAGATGTGGATGAAAGTCACCATTTGTCAGTGGCCGACCATTCCCTCAGAAGGCAATTACTGTAATTGATTTGTTTGCAGCTCTGGCCTTTTGTGAATATTTCGAGAAGTGGAAGGTGCAAAATAAACAGGGAATTGACCCATGACACTTGTTTAAGCATTTGCGCTGATAAATATAAAAGCAACGGTGCTACTGGTTTGGAGTAAAAGGTTAAAAGCACCTAACTAAGTGCCTCTCAAACGAATGGCAGTGACACTATGTAGGTTTTGGTCATTGGTTTTTTTTTTTAGTCAGAGAATCACTTTTGACGTGTAATGCGAAAACTTTCTTTCTTCGTTTCAGCTCTTTGACTACCAGTCCTACACCTACACGTACCTGCTAGCAGACCGACAGACCAAGGAGGCCATCTTAATTGATCCTGTCCTGGAGCTGGTCAACCGAGATGCTCACCTCCTAGAGGACCTGCAGCTGAGTCTCAAATTTGCAGGTAAGGAGCGATGGCGTTTAGCGCCTTGACTGAACTTATTTCAAGTGTTTGCACACCTAGCCTCAACGAAGTTTCTTGCTGCCCTCATAAGCTTTTTATTTTATTTTATTTCCAGCCAAACTGTATCCCGGACTAGGCATGTCACTTGCATAGGCTGTGTCCGAATTACTTTCTGTAGCTGAGGTAGCATGAACGTCAGTGGGGAAACATTTAAGCCACTAGCCTGAGGCTTCTGTTAGTGCACATATGTTTTGTAGTAATAGCCAAGTAGTTTGGACTTGGCAACAGTAACATGTACTAGTACTTGTAGGGGGCTGCAATTGCTATCACCAATTTTGTTCCGTGGACTCGGTGCAGGCCCCTTCATTGTAGAGGATGACATTTGTTCAGAGACTGGATGCTTAACAAGTGATTTTCTTTAAAAAAAAAGTTATGATAAAAAAAACCATCACTTCAGCTCGAAGAATAGCCCTAAATGTAAGGTTGTCCAACATACTATATGTAGAAAAGGCTTCCAGGCACGCTTTTCCCAAATCTTTACCACCTGATAAAAGTTAAGACCCTTTCAGTTTTTTTCCAACTTTTTTTTTTCTCTGTTGTAGTGAACACTCACTGCCATGCGGACCACATCACAGGCACTGGTGAGTTGAAGAAACGTTTCCCGGGTTGCAGGAGTGTCATAAGTGAGCAGAGTGGTGCCAAGGCTGATGTTTACATCACTGAAGGGGACAAGGTGGCCTTTGGCAGTAAGGTCAGTACATGTTGTATAGGGCCCACTGTAAACAAACCTCCTCCCCCTCCCCGGTAGAGGAAGACTGCATGAAGTACAAAACTTTCCTCACTGTGTTGGACTCTTCTTTTTGTGTGTTGGTTCTCAACACCCTAAATGGCATTCCACAGCCATACATGCATTTGCAACTGGCAGATTAAAACTAGATTCACACATTCCCAATTTTTAAGCCGAATTGGCACTGAAAGCAATCCTTGAGGAAAATCAGGGAGTGGTTCTCAGCTGCTTCAGGATGATTCTGGTAGTTTGGTGAAAGACCGTCAAAGATCGGGAAGAACCGCGGCAAATATTTGGACACGTTCAAAATTGTTTGGGTGGATTGACAAAAAATTGCAAGCAAGCCAAGGTTCAACTGGCAAAACTTTTCCCACCCTTGTTTGCACCCGTGGGTTCTTACATGCAAAAACACAAAGGTCTTGGAGAGGGCTTCCCTCATTGGCTGTTTATGAACAAGCACAAGATTCAACTGGCAAAACTTTTCCCACCCTTGTTTGCACCAGTGGGTTTACCAGCCCTTGTTTGTGCTAGCAGGTTCTCAAATAAAAAAAAAGAAGTCTTAGTGAAGGGTTACCTCATTGGCTGTTCATGAGCAAAGTCAATTTGCAGGGCAAACATATCAACTGATATGTTTCTGTATTAATGGGCTCACCTCTCAGTCCACTGGTGTCCTGAAGGGACTGTATAATAATGACACCTGGGTTTACCTGGTAGATAGTGGTGCTTATGGTTACACAGCTGATGTAAATAATCAGTTTAATCGAAGGCAGGTCCTGTTAGCTTAATCAGCCTTTCCACATTGATTATTCTGGAAGTTATCAACTTTCTGCTTCCCTGCTGCTTTCTGCTTCCCTAGATAGAAGATAATCGCATGGGCCTTAAAATCAGCACAGTGCTTGCAGCACAACTTATATGTAGCTAGTGCCATGTTCGTTTACTCCTGGGGATGTGGGCTTTTGCACAATGTGTGGTCGAAGAAGGGAGAAAGGATGTACACTGTGCATGTCATCTCTTCCAAACTCTGTGGTACTTAAGGACCCGGAAATTTCAAGAGTTGTTCATTACCAAGAAGTGGAAGAGGGGTTCAAAGAGACAATCCCTCCTATGCATATGACTTGCGCATCGTATCCAGATGACCTGTCTTCAAGTATTGTCAGATTGTACTGCACATGACCTGTCTTCAAGCATTGTCAATTGTACTGTACATACATGTACATGTACGTAACAATAATTTGTGATTATAATATACTGCTATTATGACCTTGGCCACAACTGTGATACAACAAACTATATTAAGTCAGTGCCATATGGCAAAATGGGACTTTTTCCACCAGTAAAAGAAGCCTCACCCCTTAACTCCCTCCCCCCCGTGGTAGTACCATTTTGAAAATGTAAGTACATTCGATTCCTTTAAAGGGCAACATGTCTCCAGGGGCAACTTGTTTGCCCCTCCCCTTCTGTCTCCTCCTCCCCTGGGATATGCCACTGCATTTTTATCTGTATAGCCACTGATCCAACTAAGATCTGGTCCCTAAGTGGTTTAGGTGCAGTCTCTTATTGTATTCAAATTTGAGAAAACCTTGTGTATGGTACATGTACATGTACATTGTATATGTGTACATGCTACTGTACTATGTGTACCTGTACTGCACATGAATGAACTGTTTGCACACCAGTCCTGAATTGAATTTCGAAGATAAACAAGCAAAGTTACCTTTAATGATATTATGCCTACAGGTACATGTACATATTTGTGAACACATGGCAAAGTGCACTCAACTTGACATGTGTGTGTTGAAGGTCACAGGTTATCTCTTTTAATACTGTAGGAGGTATTGAGATGCACATGTAGGCCTCGCCCACATTTTATGTTGACACAGCTCAGTCATACTGGAAATGCATCCTGTTGCTTGCTATGGAATCTATGTAGGTAACATTGCAATTTGTGCACATGTAACCTGGAAAAATGGAACACTAGAAGAAGACAACTCTGGGGGGAAATCGCTTGCACAAAATACTACCTAACTAGGGATCAACTAAGGACAAATCGCGAGGTCTTTCTAAAAAAAAAGACAGGACAGAAAAAGTGTTTGATCTCCAAAAAAAAGGTCAAAAGAAAAAAAACATTTATTCAACAACCAAGAACCAATGTAGAAAAACAAAAATTTACAATCTATTAAGTAACTTCTTAGCCGACAAAAAAAAGGTAACAAAAATGAAAAGTCAAAGAAAAGCAAAAAAAAAAAAAAAATTAGTGAAAATACCTCATACCGTAAACTTGAGAACTGGAAATTCAATTTCTTCAGACCAGTGAACCTTAACCTTTTAGTAAAAGACTCTCAATGAATATCAGCAGTACAAAAAAGGAACCAGGTACTAAGAAAATAACGACCCCAAAAAGACCAAACCAAACCAAACGCAAAACTCAAAACCAAACACGGTATCAAGAACAGACACAAATCAATTACAATCATAATTCAACAACCAAGTCCACTGCAGGTCCTACATATCTTCAGAGGAGACTTAATGTACATGTGCACTCCTTGGCTGCTGACCTGCTTACTGAACATAGACCCTAAGCATGCCTCCTAAATAAACACTTTACACAGGGGTACACACAATGCAGGTTTTTGCTGGGTAAACTGGGGGTACCACTCCTATATAGCTACGTGGACTAACAAAAAAAAAGAAAGATTAAATTCACCTCTACTACACACACTTCCTTTTCATGTACTTGTACTTTGGGATTTGCGTCAAGATTTTTTTTTGGCATTGTGTGGGACAAGAAAGTTCAGGCCACATAATAAAAATAGTTGGGACCACCCACCCCTAAGAAATTCACGCGCCCCAAATTTAAAAAAAAAATTTTATTTATCTAAAAACCGGAAAAAACAGCCTTGTGGATGATCCTTTATTCAAATTTTGCAACCTTCTGTTACGCGCTTCGGAAATGATACTTCTGAAAATCGCTGATTACTCCCGAACAGCTACATGTACGAGTCAGATTCACCCAACCTCGACTCGGTGGCGTTGCAAGATCGAGCTCATGGAAACGAGGTTGAGATTCACCAAACCTTTAGCATCCGAATTATTGACTGTGGTTGCGGCCGCATACATAAACTTGTGGAAAATGAAACAGCAGGCAAGGCGGCAACCACAATACATGTAGCTTTGTATAATGCGGTCGCAGCCACAGGGTGTAATTCGGATACAGCCTCGACTTCTGCTGCATGTTGGGTCAATATTCAATAGCGGCTGCCATTCCCAGATTCTGATTCCACTTCACAGAGCTACAGCACTGAGATCCTCTCTGGGAAAACCCTCCTGTTGTCCTAGCTGTACAATTCCGTATCCTTTTGTGATGGACCTGCCTGTGTAAAACCCTGTTGTAAAGAAGATAAATAAAACTCATTTCATTGAGGAAACTGCTCTTTATTTAATATTTTCCAATCCAGCAAAGATGTATGTGGAACTGAACAAAAAAAATGCCCTCCCACCCAAAGATTTAAAAAAAAAAGGACGCTCACCAATTCTTATTTTTATGTGGTCTAACGAGAGAATGTACATGTACCTTTCAGATATTTGGTATTAAAATTCTCTGTCCCACTTGAACAAAAGTGTTGAGGTTTATGCAATACATTGTGCTCAATGATGGCACCCTGTGATGCACATGTACACATAGGCAGTGAACAAGTACTTATTTTGTGTTATACATATAACTGCAGTTTCAGCATGCTTCTCGTGCTTGCTAGAGTGATTTGTTAAAAAAATGAAATAGTAAGACTGTAAAATCATGCAAACTGTAACAACCAAACCCACCAGAACGCAAGAACTCACACTGAACCCAATACAAAAAATGTACAGAAAACCACACACGATCACTAACCTCATTCATCCAAAATGAAAGATCCAAAGATACTAGCTTTGGAGAAGGGAGCTGGTTGTGGGGAATTATGCTTGGCATAACGGTGCCCTTAGTGGTATACACCATGTAGACCATCGTTATGTACATGTACATTAATTGTACATAATGATTAATTAATTAAAGTGCATCTCTTGCAGCTCTCTAAGACTCATTGAGTTTGTGCTCGTTGTACAGTGTATGTATTGTTGAAAATTTTGTCAATACAAAACGCACACCCAAACAAGTGTGCCAAATCTTCTCTTCTGGTTTGAAAGATTGCACACATCTTAATATGCGAAAGCAACTATGGGGACCAACAATGGTCAGTAACATATCAAATGCAAATTTCCTTAAAAATAATTCCATCTTGCTCACAGTGGTCTGGGTAGGTCACACAGGGATACGTGCAGTTCTAGGGTTAGTATATACATGTACACGTACTTTGAAAGGCAGATCTTTTCAACCTTACCCATTACCTCTTCAATGTACAAGTATGACATGTTTGTGATACTTCATTTACACTTTATTCCACGCATTCCTACATGTTGACCTTGTGGTTAAAACATAATTTGCCTATAGCAATGCAATTTGTGAAGGCAGATCTTTCAGAGGCTCCAGTGTACCCCATCTACCTGATTTTCAATTTTTTGGGGCGCTATTTTGGTGCCTTCTTATTTTGAAGCTAGTTACAAATTTGCAGGTCTACAAGAAGAAGCATGTCATCCAGGGCAGAAATCTTGTGCCACAACAATTTCTGCAGTGAAATTTGCCAGAATTTGTGCAATTATGCTATTGTAGATTCTGCTTGCTTAATGATCGTCTGTTGCTTCAGCTCATGACATTACGCTAGTGAGGAGCAAAGTTTTCTCACAAATGTGTCAATGAGCAAATCTAGTTTTGAGAATTCAAACAGTGCCCCTGGTAATGATCTTGTCCACAACACCCTCGTTTGTTAGGACATTTCGACCAGAGTGTCCAAAAAAGAAAAAAAAAGTGATGCTGTCTTTATACTGTGCCTTCATGCAGTGGTACATGAAGTAATTCAAGGCCGAAATTCTAGTGCTGTTTCTTTATGGATTTTGCAAGATCATGCAAAACTCTTGCCATGGTAACAGGCTGACTCCTTTGCAGCTTCCCTATTTGGGTATAATGTTGAATAAAAACTCACTGGAATTGGCAAATAAAAAAAGCAATCATACAGGTGTATGTGAAATATACCAGATTGGGCCTTGCTATCTGTTAATGTTGGTCGTTTTCCGACATTACTGCCTTGGCAACTGTACCCCTGATAATTTTCTAAAAAACACAAAATTTGAAAACCAGGACAGCAGTTGCAAGGAATTGCCCAGAAGTGGAATAGAATTTGACAACTGTTGGTTGGTCTTGGTTCTCTGTGTTCACAGGTGCTGGAAGTTCTGTCTACTCCAGGTCACACCAATGGCTGCCTAACCTTTGTGTTACATCACAACGAGAGGCCAGTCTTGGTATTCACGGGAGATGCTCTGCTCATCAGGGGGTGTGGCAGAACTGACTTCCAAGAAGGTGGGATTCGCTGCTAAAAAAATTGTTGAGTTTCAGTCCAAGATTTACAGCTCTAGGGTTATGGTGGCTGGCCCTGTGTAGACCATATTGCCAGTTTTAAACCTACATGTAAAAGACCGTGGGGGGGCAGATTCCACCTCCTCAGTAATTTTTCTGATTTCACAGAGTTGCATATTTCATGATTCAAGCCTCAGGGATTATTTTGGAAACTCTCTGCAGTACTTTTGACACCAATTTTGTGAAACTGAACATACTGTCCCTGTGGAGCAGCTATTTTTTTCGAGACAAGTCAGCCGAAAATGTCCACTTTTCCATTACCAGTTCTGTCTATGAGGGTTGGCATGCATATGGCCTTGAACTTCAAATGACCATATCAACAAAACCATACTGTATGTCAGATTTAGTTGGAACTACACATTTGTACTGATAAGGAGTGTCTTTATATGCCTGCAAAGATTTGTAAACGTTGGGCACAGAACAGCCAAGTTTTTGGGGTGGAATCTGCACACCTGCTGGCTGTCAGATGGCCCAGAATGACTTGATTCTTTAAGGAACAATCATGATTCAGCTCTTGTAGAACTTGCCCATTTTCTCCCATTTTAGATCAAGGTAAACAAAGTGCATCAAGAGATTTTGATGAATTTTTTTTTAGCAAAGAGTATCATGTCAAGTCTAACCGGTGGAACTCAACAGGGTTTTGAAATTTTCTTTTTGAATGAAAAGCAATTCATGTAATGCAAACAGAGAAGATTTAACATTAGGCCCTACTACAAATTATAACCTGCACATAGAGCCTTGCTGACAAGAGGTCACACCAAGCAATTTAGTTAAAAATGTGTCTTGGAAGTTTTTAATTTGTACTGTGAATAATAAACAAAGCATACATTCTGGAGATTCAGGAATTAAACTTCACAGAATGGTACCAGTTCAGAACAGATTGCCATCAGGTAAATCAAGAAACATTAGCTTGGGTACCAACTTTTTTCTGTTTACAGGTAGTAGTGCTACTTTATACGAATCAGTACACAGAAAGATCCTGTCTATGCCACTAGATACACCTTTATATCCAGCACATGATTACACAGGTAAGAAGCCTTCCATGTACATGTACGTTTCTGTGGTAATTTTGTCCCATCATACAAATTTCATCATTATTATTAAGCATGTCTACTACTGAAATGAAGGAATCCTCAAAGCACCAGAGGTGTTTTACATGTTGCTTTAAAGCCTGAAGAAACCTGTAGAAAGAAGAGTATGTCACGCAGTTAAAGTTTTAGAGTTGGGAAATCCCCAGAAGATATTGTTGGAAAACCAACAGACTCAAGCTCGACAGGAAACCCAATCCATGTGGGAGCCAAACCAGGAATCGAACCCGGGCCACAGAGGCGGAAGATGAGGAGAGAACCACTAGCCAACCAGACTCCCTGAAATGGAGCTCAATATCATTTAAACCCCAAATGCAAAATCATTTCAATGTTAAGATTCCATGGGAAGGATTACATATGGTATGTGTACATGTAACTTGGAATCCTTCCTTTTAATCAGAGGTAAAGGCATTCCGAGAGCAGCCCAACTCTATAGGATGATTGCTTTCCATGACCAATTATTGTTTTATATTTTTGACAGAATACATTCTATTGTCTGTGTAATATTTAGTTAAATTCTTGCTCAGAATATTCCTTCTGTGCATATTTCATGTCCCAGTTATTTTTGTCTCCAAATTGAATCGGCAGGCCAGACATCGACGACTGTTGGTGAGGAGAAGATGTACAATGCCAGACTGACCAAAACCAAAGAGGAATTCATCGACATCATGGAGAAGCTGAATCTGCCCTACCCCAAGGCAATAGGTTTGTGACCCATTTTCTCTCTACAGCTCTCATTTGACAGTGCAAGGCTCCATGTCTTGCTTAAAATGTGTCACTGTAAATTGTATTCAGATAGATGTACGCCGTAACATTTGCTAAAATATTTTTGGGAAGGGAAATATTCTGTGCATTGTCATCTGTACATATATTTTCCTCATAGGAATGGCTATTACTGAACGTGTGTTCTCTCTTGACAAGAAATTTCTAGTCCTTGAACCTTTTTCCAAGCATACCATTTCTATAGTTGGTAAATGAAAAACCAATTTTAATTCAAGTTGTAGGCAAGATAAACATCTGTACTTCCATCAGACAGATCCTAGAGGCAATCTAGCGTAGCTGACCTATATGTGCATGTAAAAGATACGTCACGTGAAGATACATGTAACTGCTCAAAATGTGTAGAGTCTCAAATTCCAAGACAAACCTCCCCCAGCTTCAAGTGATGTACTTGTGTCAACATTGGAAATTTGCTGAGAAAGCTTGAATGCCCCAAAAGAGAGAAAGAGAGAGAGAGACACTGATGAAACTCAGGTTACAATAGCCCCCCCCTAAAAAATTGGTCTTTTTCAGCTATGTGCGACTACATGCACACAGCGTACAGGCACATGTACTCACACAGCAGTTGTTGAATTGGCTTCAGCCTAACATGACCATCTGTTAGCGCATTTGCGATTGTCTCTCTTTCTCCTTTTTAGCCACTAATTCTTTAACCTTGCAATAGACCGTATTTGTGACGCCCCGAATTTCAGTCATATTCCTGAACGTACTGTATAAATTTGAAACCCGTAAATGGATGGTACCAGGTGATTTTGGAGGTTGGAATGAAATAGTAGAATAGAGTTTGGTTCATTGAATGTAACGTTTATAAATAAATTTATTTTAAACTGACTTGTAACTTTTCCAGGGTTTGCACATTTTAAATAGCAAATCCCCTTCTGTGAGCCCTTCAGGTAATAGTATTGATAAGAACTGTGAATGCACATGTTTTCAGCCGTGCTTTGCAGTATTTTTGGTGAATTCAAGTAACTTGTTTTGATTTCAAACAGCATTTCAGATTCAGTGCATGCATCACACATAAACTGATTGCTTTGGATAGAAAATTACACTCCAGTGTAATTATAGAAATAAAGAAATCTGATTTAAATTTTAAAAATCTGATTAAAATTTCTTTGCCAACCTTTTTAATGTCTCTGTTTAATTGTCGGGTTCAAAGGTCTGAGATTTTTCTGTGTCAGGGTTTCTGCACTTGGACAGCGTAAGAGTGTAACAGAGGGCATTTTGATATTTGAAGAGGGCCTTTTATTGTGGGCTGATCGATAATGCTTCATCTTAAGCATGTCAGATTTGCTGCCAAGGAACCCTGGATTGAGAATGTTCTCTGTGCACAAACACTGCACGCAGCGTGTCTTCAATTTCATTGTGTTGACTCAAGGAACATGCACAACAGGTCATGTTGCGTGGGTGATGTAGTTGAAGTCTGGCCCTTTTGTTGGGGCACCTTGGCAACTGTGGCCTCATAACCTGTCTCTGGGCTTGTACATTTATCTGTGTGTGTTCCGTAGGCAGTTGAGTCACCATTTAATTAAACTGCTTTATTGTGCTGCATGTACAGGTCCAGCTTGCTTGTGCTTGTTTTGCCTAACGGGTCTGGCGTTAATAATGTTTCATTTTTCAAACTGACTGTAATCTTTATGCACTGTCACTGCTAATCCTAGGCTAATATGCTGACCCTGAAACTTTAAATATTAGGTTTGTGAATTGGAGAACTCTAAGATGTCCAATATTTTATTTCTTCAAAATTAGATTGGCTTCACTACATGAGTACTGTGATTTGGAAGTCATTACTACACTGCTCACTTACTTTCAGAAAGTACTGTTTCTGTGTGAAATCCCTCTTTTCTAAGTCGATTGACTACCGATAGCTTTGAAGGGACACATACTTGTATTCGGAAAAAGTATATGTCCACATCTATTTACACGTAGAAAAGGGGAAAAACAATGGGGGTGAAAGGAATCACAGCCTGCAGTTTTTCCCCCTGATGTTTTGGGTTACATTGCCAGGGAAAGACAATGTTCGTAACTTTTCTTTGCTAATTGTAAACGCAATCAATTCATGATCAACCTCACTCACAGTGTCCAGTCGGGTGTTCAAAGTTTCATTGAAGTTTAAAGAATTGGACCAGATCAAGACAAATTGCACTTGGCTAAGTCTGATGTCCATGTACATACCCATTGCCTTATGATTCTAAGGACCTTTGCAAGGCATGTGAGGGAGTGGTTAGGGTTTGCCACCCGTAATTGCAAAGTCAGGGGTCGAATCCAGCAACTGGTTACATGCTGTGTCCTATGGTACAGGTCACTCTTACATTCACTTGCCTCTTTCTGTTCAAGGGTATGAATTAATACCTGTGGAGGAAACGGAAGCAGCCACATGTGGATTGATGTCACCTGCCAATTTGGTCTTGTGTCCTGATGAACGGTGGTGATAATTAGACCTGTAACATCATGATATCATACTTTGCTTACATGTGCGCTGTCCTGTGACAGTGAAATGGGATGCGATCCGTTGAGTCCCCACAGGAAAGCGCGCAAATAAGAAAGCATGACGTCATTATCTTTCAAGTCTATTGCTACTGCATCTTGAACAGCTACACAGATAGATATGTGTGCTTTATAAATATTCATTATTGCTTTTCCAGATGTTTAGTACTCTATTGTTGTTATTCCTTTACAGAGACTAAATGCAAACTCTTAATAGTTTCCAACTTTGTGGTAAAATGATCAGATAAGTAAGCAGTAATTTTTGCAATCGAATGAAGTTCCTTCTTTTTTTATTTGCAGATAAGTCTCTGCCTGCAAATATGGTCTGTGGAGTGTTGGAGGACTTGCCCAACAAGTAAGCTATTGGATGCAGAGGGTGTGGCTAGATCTTGATGGAGGGTAGCAACAGGAGGGACAATATGGTCTGTGGAGTGTTGGAGGACTTGCCCAACAAGTAAGCCACTGGATACAAGAGGTGTGGCCAGATCTTGATGGAGGGTGGCGACCAGAGCGACAGTATTCAGGGTGAAGGCAATTGAGGAAATGTGGGCTCTGCATCCATTCAAATAGTTTCAAATTCAAGATGTATGTGAAAATCGTTGGTTTGGAGAACATTAGTCTAGCTTTAGGTTGTAAAATGTGTAGGGAGGAAAGTGGTTTGTGTAAACAAGCTACAAACTCTGCTCTGTCAAATTGAGCAGTTCCATTGTATCTCAGCCTTCAGTCCCAATCTCACTTGGAAACTACATTTAAATTGTGAGAAATCCAGTGTCCTAATTGAGAATTCACCGTCCTTTTTGCTGAGGGTGTTATACAGACCACAGGTAGTCTGATAAATGTACTGGTATATATGATCCAGCCTAACAAACGTAGACACAAGTTGGCAGAGCCACATCAGAGTACAGCATAATTTTGCATTGGGTAAATCAATATGGAACCTCAGTGATTATTTTACAGCCATATGGTGTCCATGCCCATCAGGATGTTGAAAGAACGAGCTTTTTCAGCTCTTTCTAATGCAAGCTCAAACAAAAATGGCCTTATTAGACCCATTTCATGGGACACATGATCCATTTATCATCAATTCTTAACTGGATACCATCTACACAGGACTGGAACTAAATATGTGTCATTTTTTACTGCAGGCGAGATTTCGGAAATGAGGGGAGAAGATTGTTGATGAATTTGGGAAAACCACTGATGCAGGAAAATTCATAGTTGATCCTCAAGAGTCTGTATGAGATAAATATGAGATGTGAAAGTTTTTATGCAAAGTTGTAAACATTTTTATTCACTGTGTTTACGGAGATAGGGAGATCATAATTTTTTCGTATTTTTTGGACACCTCAGTCCAAATTCATTTTAGAAACATTAATCCAGCGAAAAATATAGAAGAACATACACAAAAACCAGTCATCAGACATCTGTGCAAGTTTTTAATTCATGAATTACATGTGTTTATTCAGCTTACTTTACCATTGAAACACGTGACTGCAAAAGTTAAGTGAGGTACACATATACCAGTAGTGTTGATCACAATCTTACACCTTATTTAACCAAGATGCTTTGCAAACAGCTTATGAAACAATGTGGAGCTTGGCAATTTTCTTTTAGGATTTTTTTTTTATGTAAGTGTGGACCTTTAAGATGGCATGGAGCAACATATTGTTCTGCTGTATATGTTCAAATAGACATTTTAAACCACCAGTAGTGATTCTTAGAAGGAGATCAGCGAAATGTGCTTTGAGGAAAGACCACTTGGTTTTAGAGCAAATATTGTAATGCACATGCTGTGATACTATGCACTTCAGTTTTCATTGCCAATTTCTAGGCTCCACCGTACGTTATTTAAACACATGGCAGTCCTGTCATCCCTTGACATGGGAACAGGGAGAGGTGCTTAGTCCTTCCAAAAGAGTCATTTGTTAAAAACATTGACAGGCCCGGAAAGGGGGGGGGTTATTTCATGTTTTATTTCCTAAAGTGTATGAAAAAAGAACCAACGTTTTCCTCAATCCTCAGAAAGGCCATTAAGGTAACATAAAAAATATCAAATCTTCCTCCTCCCCCAGACAGCATTTGCCGCCCCCCAAAAAGTTTGGATCTTGGTGGTGCCTTCAAAGACAACCAAAATCGGAAATCAGTGCACTTAAAGTTTGTTATGCACATGCAATTATTTTCGAATTGCAGTGAAATGAACGTGACATAATAATAAATTATTCCTCGCGCTGAATACAGGTCTTTTTTTTTTTTTTTTAGTGTTTGGATTGGAATTCATTACATAAACAGCTTGAATTCAAAAATTCCTGAATTGTACAATACATTTTGTAAAATGTGATGCCTAAGTATCATTTATTTTTTATCAAGTTTTAATAGACGCAGAGATAAATCAAGTTTTTCAAATAGACAGAACAGCTATGGAGGGTATCGCTGTGTTTTATTTAAAGGGTCTATCTGCAGTGCAGTTTTTGAAAAGCAAAAAACCTCCAAAGTACATCTTAATGTTTCAGTTGGCTCGTTTTTCAAATTTTGTTACAGTTTTTGAAGGTGTTTTTTGCTGCCGTTTTGTGAGAACTTTCATGTTCATGAGAAAAACTGTGATGTTATCTCAGAAGGAAAACCTCACCGTTGTAACTTTGTGCACAGAGAAAGCTGGATCTTTTTAGTTTTAGCTCGAGTGAATTTCTCTTTTTGGTTTTTCATTTTTTCAGCAAGTAAGCAACCTTTTCCTCAGAAGTACTTTCAGTAAGGAAATTCTGGGGTCACGAGTGAAACAGCTAAGCCGATGTATTGGGCCATTTCCCTGCTGGATGACGTCGCAGCAACAGCGCCCTCAGTTTCCAGGAAAGCAGGGACAATTTTGAATATTAAAAAAGTGCACTGTTCAATACATTTAAACTAAAGGGGAAGTCCAGTAGTTTAGATACATTGAAAAAGAGTCGCAACGTTCCAAAAGTGTGTGCCTATTAAAAACTGATCGCTGCTACCCTTTTGTGATGTTAAAAAAACCCAAAACAAAAACCGCGATGGTTTTGCACATAACTCCCTCCGTTCATTGATTCACTACAATTACCGGATGCCTTCCACTGCTTGGCTACATGTACTGTAGAGTTGCAATCTACAGGCGTGGATAGTCTTGATGCAGCAGGCATCTCTCTGTTGGTGTAACTCGGCGCCGAAAGACAGCGCAATCAATCGGTTCGGGTACAAAAGCGCTGTTCTTTGTCGATGAGTTACGATCCATAATGAACAGTGGCGTCTGGCACCACGCATCACGACTATCCCTGGAGAGCCATGCGACTTAGGAGGAGCCCACACACTGTAGAAGATGGTAACCGGCTTCCTCTTCGTTTAACAGGAAAGAACGGTCTCTCCATTAAAATGGCATTTCTAACGAGTATTATCTTTTTTTTTCTAAACTTTTTTTTTTACTTTTTATACTGAACTTCTCAATGCAGAGGCACTCTTCTTTTTCTGAAGCCATAGTAATCTTGACCTGTCATTTTCCACTTTTTATTGAACGATAGAATTTATAAACGGTAATATTTTACATCTTTATCTGAATTCCTTGAGAATTGTATCGTGATGAAAGCAATGTCAAACGCGCGAACTCAAAATGAGATCTTTTAGACGGCACAGTGCCAAAGGCCACTTGGTTTTAATTTCATGATTTAGCTGTGTGACATTAAGCCTGGTTATTTTCATTAAAAAAATTAAAACATGAATGAAACGCTGCCAGATGTCCATAGTAGGCGTGTTTATCCGATCATGGCTCATCTCCAGTGTCGTCAACTGGAGAACTTTGATATCAAACCGCGAATTCATCACCAATTACACTAGCCTGGCCTTTCAGGTCGATCACAGAAAACAAGCCACAACTCAATTTTCCGGGAAATTGTATCTTGTCAAATTTACACGCAGCGACACCTCTGTTATCATTGAGGTCGTCGTGGTCTTCGGCTGCAATGATTATTGGACATCGTTCCGCCCGTCTCCGAAATTGCATTCACCGTTCTCCTTCAGTAGGGCTATCGCTGATTCAATGACTCCGTAGACCGCAGCAGAGCACGCGAATAAAGGCCTGCTTAAAGAGGCGATTGCAGACGGCGTAGCAGAACGGGTTGGCTGCACTGCTCAGGTGAACCAGCCAGGACATAGTCTGGATGAAGATCAAAATAATGAAAACATAACTAGAGTTAGCCAAATTGATAATTTTTGTGAACTACACAATAAATTATTGGTGATGGGCGTCGTTGCCGCGGGTCGAAGGCGGGGCGCTTGCCCTCACCTCGGGGGAAAAAACGAAAAATAAAAAGAGCGGAGGAAGGAATAAGAGAAAGGAATGAATAAAAGAGATGAAGGGGTGTGGTTTTCCAATTTGCAAGGGAAAAAAATGATCGAAATTGCCCTTCTTAATGCCACTTTTCATGGTTATTAGTTCGTTGTTGGTTAAGTTCTCCCTGCTCCGGGAACTCCCCCCCCCCGAAAATAGTGCACTGCCCCTCCCCGAAAAAATCTCTAAACTGCCCGTTGTTGCTATATCCAGCAAGAAATGAGATCGAGGGTTACCCCCCTTGTCCAATCGCTATACACACTCTAGACTATTGTTACCTAACACATCCTCCTAGATGTCTGAAAAAAATTCCTCAGATTCTAGTGAGACAATGACGAACACAAAGCGGGGGGGGTCTCTCCATCTCATATCTTGCTTCATAATTTGATTGTTGGAGGCAATCCGATGTCATCACAAGTCGATCACTGTGTGCAGCAAAAGAGCACAACGTGTTCGCTTCCAAACCGCTACAGTCGCTGGCTTCGGCAGCAGAATGTGGATTTCTACAAAGATGTTCGAAGTCACATCGTGGCTCCCCACGTCAGCTGACAGCAAATCACTACAAACTCCACATACCCAAAAGGGCCATAAATATGGAATTGTACCTTTTGGCCTTACAATGAGTATGGAAGCATAAAATTCTAAGAAACTTCACATGAGGTGTCGTAACACTCTCCTCAACCATACACTAGAAGACACTAGAAGAGTTTGGGCCAAAATCACTCCTTTGCGTTCACCCTAATTACCGGGGCATAAATATGGAATTTTACCTTGTTGGCCTTAAAATGAGTATGGAGCCATAAAATTCACCGAAACCTCACGCGAAGGAGATCCTCAACCATATACCAGAAGACATAAGACCGAACAGCAGATTTCCAAATTTTATGGGCGATAATCGCTCTTTTGCGTTCACCCTCTCTTCAGAGCATTAATATGGAAGTTTACTTTCTTGACCTTAAATAGTATAGAAACGTAAAAATTCCACGGAACTTCACGTGAGATTTCGTAACACCATCCTTAACCATATACCAGAAGACGAAAGACCTAACAGCAGATTTCCAAATTTTATTGGGCCCAAATAACCATTTTGGGTTGTTTACCCTATTACCAGGGCGTAAATATGGAATTTTACCTTTCTGGCCTTAAGGTCTTAAAATGAGTATGAAAATCAGTATGTCCCATGCAAGTGCCCCCCCATAGAATGAACCTCAGGTACGCCTTTGACCACATCCACGTTATCACTGACGTCTTCCAATTTAAATGACTACCAAAGACCATTCAATCGGACACTTTAATCTAGTGAGTGTGGCTTTAAAATCAATGCTGCACAGTAGTTTTAGATTTGTTGTGCCACTCCGTATAATTGGTAATAAACCCTTTAATTAAGATCGAGGAATCCCACGGTTTGGACTGTAACGCCATTATCCATTGCACGGTCGTTAAATCCTGAGGCCATGTCTCTTTAATCGACAACAGAATCTAATTCCAGTGGTATATAACCCCTCCAGATCGTCTACAAACCAATTGTACCACTCATTTACATTGGAAAAATATGTTTTTGCACATCTGCCCCTTCATGGCGATCCGTTCGTTGACGAGTTTTCATTTTGACGCTGTTCCGAATCTTTTATTCTCAGCTGTATTTTACTAACACTGACTAGCTTACTAACTAACTAACACGTGGGCGTGTTACTCTGGCAGATGTTGGCACTTTCATTGTGACCAGCAGGGAGAACAAAGGACAATAACAAACAAAACTGTATACATTCACATTTCTCAACCTGCTGAAAGTTATACCGATTCAAAATCACAGTAGACGAGTTCAGCTAACTGACTTGACTGGGGCCATTTGTCCTGCCGTGTCCTGCGATGATGTCATGTCCTGCCCCGCCTTGCCCTGTCCTCTCTTCTCCTCGATGGCGTAACTAGGGTTAGGAAGATAGGCACCCCCCGAGGACCGAGCCCCCCTGTGCCCCTCGCTCAGAAATTAGAGTCGGAAATCTGCCGTAGTCTGCCTTCGTCAGTTTTTAACCATTATCGAGTCCAAATTAAGTGCCACATCCAGAAAATGAGGCTCCTAAGTGCTCCCTTCAAAATGTACCTCAGTTACGCCAGTGGCGTAACAGTGCAGTCTCTCGTGTCCTGTCGTCTTGCTTTTTTAAAAACTAAGGAGTGTCTGTATCAGTGGGCTATCGCCCCAACTGTGTGTCGGAATTGAACAGTTTCAGCGACAGCAATTTCGGGGTGATGGCATAGGCCTAAACCATGGCCCCTTTCACCAGATTTTGTTGTGCAAAACTAACTTTTCGTGAACCTTTTTGGAACTTCCATGTGAAAAATGCAGACAAAACTAAATGTTTTTACAACTTCGAACCATTATCTCAATGATACATCATGATATATTTAATGTGTGCTAGTTGTTAACGTGTGATACTGGCAACGGATCATATAATTATTAGCATGGGACACAGCCATGAATTGTTGTATCTCTACATGAATGTGGGAGAGGGTAATGAATTTACATGCTCAAGTGTCGCTTGGATCCCAACCCAATAGCAACAGGAGCTGTCGAACGGTATAGAGTTTGCAATTTGTAACCCGAATGTTTGTTAAGTGATGATGTTACGTGCATGCAGCTGAAGTCTGTGTAGACGGGAAATGCAGCTTGGATGCAGTAATGAAGACGTCTTGCAAAATGAAGAGGTACTGGTTGGCACTTGCGGGCACATATACGGTCTCCTGAGCCGCTGGGAAGATGGTAGATGCTGTCCAAATTTCAGAATATTGTTATTTGCGCAATAGTCCACCCAGGAGACCTCCAGGATTAGGGGTGTTTAATTTTCGCTCCAATCTCCGAATCCCTTGAAGGAATGCAAGGGTATATTTTTAATTAATGTACTAGTCAACCCCGAGTAGATGTAAAATAGTACACAATTGGATCATAATAGATGCTCGCAGAAAATATACCTAGGAGTGGGTTCAACGATTACTGGAAGGTATGACACCATCTCTTTGTAACCTGAATGTTGTCACCATGCAATCCGCGCACCGTGCTTTGGGATTCGGTGAGTCGATCTGTCATTGAAAAACGCGTGTATCCACGCACAGAGCAAGTAACCAAATACTCATCAATTTAAAGATTTTGGAAGTTATTTGATCTTTCGACAACCATTTCTTCGTTGAGACTACGATGTTCGTAACGACGTATGGTCGGCCGACAGCCATTGACTAATCACAGCTGTGATATTGTACAGACGCCATCTCAGAAATGAGTTGGGCAACTTTAAGGCGACTATTTTTTCCCGTAGTCTGTTTTCCAGTGGTCGGTTCCTTCCAGCATTTTAGAGGTATTCATGTTCAGACAAGTAGGTTGCAGGATTACACACGTTGCATACAGATAAGCAGTATACACATGGCTACCATGAAAGATATTTATTGTAGACAATAAATAAAAATATTTTCGCACTAATTACTTATACCCACCGCCTGCATTAAACGTGACATTTACCATGACATTTACAAATTAAGAAAGGCTCGTTAGAGGTATTTTGTTTGTTACCCAGAATTCGTAGACCTTTTTATTTCATAGATTGCATACATCTTAGGACCTTTACCGAATATAAGTCTTCAGAATTTTCTATACATGTATATAAACGGAGATTAGTTGGTTTGGTGTGACTTACTCTGAATTCACGTATATCAAGGGCGTTATCTGGATTCACACCTGCCGTGAAAGCAAAGACAGACCAAGGTAGAGCAGACACTACCATGACCACCAGGATACAGGTCAGAGTACGTGTTGCTCGGAGGTTTGCGAGATGCCTGCGATACCGTGAAGAGAAAACAGAGTTCTGGTGAGACGAAGGCGTGTCATGGTTGGCGTAGGATACTCCAGTTTCCGGGGTTTGAACGCCTCCTTGGATTCGAGTTTCATTCTCTCGCTCGTCGGGCGGATATCCTCCGTTCACGATTCCGTTAACATCGCTCGACGAGACCCTGGATGCTTCTGTACTCGTTCGTCTCTGTCTCGACGTGCCGCACGAGCCGTGCGAATCGTCGAGATCTTTCTCAGACCTGGCCTCGTTTTCCCTAACGCCGCCACTCCCCAGCCTGCTGACTACTCCCAGCGGTCTCTCTGTAGCGCAGATGACGGAAAGTTGGTGGACAGCCCGTGCCTCGCGATTGTCCTTTTGGCGACCTCGGATGACTGCTTGGAACACAAAAATGTAAAGGATGGTGGTGGTCAACATGGGGATCCAGGACAAGACGGCAATGGCAAATACGAGCAGTGGGAAATGGTAGCCGTACGACCCGAAACAGTCGGGGGGCAGGACGCGCCTCGTAACACCGCTGTACGGCAAAATGATTATCAATGGTGTCCAGATAAAGAACGGCACTACATAGCTGAAAGACATCATCAAGAGTGCGTGCTTGAGGGTTTTCTCTCTCAGGTGGACCAGTGGCCTCTTCAGAGCCCTGTACCTGTCCACACATATCATCAACGTCATCAGGAAAGTCGCATGGAGGAATAGGTGGTTGAAGTATACATTGATTGTGCAAGCCGTCTCGCCAAACGGCCAAGCCTCCAGGAACCACGACACATTTTCAAGGATGGGCGTAATGCCGCCACTGACCAAGTCAGCCACGGCTAGCCCAACAAGATAGTAATTGGTGTATGTCCGAAGCTTTGGCGTCGTGGCGAAGACATAGAGAACTAGCAGGTTGCCGAGTAATGTAACGAGTAAAACGAACGTACCGACAATGGCCCTGATGTAGAATCCCGGCGTGTGCAGGGGTGGTCCGACCTTGGTCGGTCCGGTGGTGGAGTTGATGATCCATCCATCAGCAGTGAAATTGAAACCGAATGGAAAGTCGTCACCACGCTGCATGATGATGGATGTGCGAATCTCAATCAGTAATTAGGCGACCAGGTTGCATCCCCTCACCTTAGTCTCAGGATATCAAGTTCAGAATAAGTAAATACCACAACTATTATCCCGCCAACAAGCGCTCAATAGGGCTCAACCTTGCCGTGTCCTGACACCAGCTGCCCGTTTGTCAGTTTCTCTATGTGCCGACTCGAGTCTTCGAAAGGGCCTCGTCTACGAACCGTCATGTGCGTGAAATACGGCGATCCTCCTGCAAAGTGAAAGGAGGACGCACTTGGCTAACTAGTGCAGCGGCTTCAGTCACCGATATGACTGGTACGTGTCGATGTCGTTTACCCGTTCCCTCCCAAGCTTCCCGCGTCATGTGGCATCACTGACCAAATCGAGCACTCACCCCTGGTCTCATTTAGTAGTGGAGTCGTGTGTTGACACTGTGCTTAATTGCCCAAACGGCAAACATTTGAATTAGTGGAAGACACACGGATCAGCAAAGGAAAAGAAAAAATGAGGGATGTAAAGTGGATACGAAGATTGTGAACTTATCCCATTCTGTCTCCACAAATGATCACAGGCAGGAGGTGGTTTCGTCACTGAAGATCCAGAGGTATTAAGGACAACAGTTCATTTGTTACTAGCATGTGAGTTTAATTAAACTTACCAAATTATGCCCGCCCTTCCCATCGGTTAATAAAAAGGGGTCTTGAGTGAAATTCTGTTTGGCATCCGAGCCAAATGCAAATGTGTTCAAGTTTCGTTTTAATTGTGCTAGTTAAGATCCCCTGAGGTGGAACCTTTTGTTTTACATTATATGTTAGTAACATCACCACATTTTACGACGGAGGCATTGTCGACATCCTGTAAATACTAATTGTTTATGGGTCAGTAAAATCTTAATTTTAGGGGCATGGCTTTCAAGACGATCGTCGTGTTTTTCAGGCTCGTTCATTCGTTTTGTAATTTGTTTTTTATTTCCTTTCATAAAAGTAAAGGGTCATGTAGCACAATACGTGATTGGATAATAAAATTTCAATGGGGAAGGGGTGCCACCATAAAATATGGCATCCTCCATTTAAAATGGTTAAGCGACAGTCTTGGAATCCCTCTACTTAACGCTACGGGCCAGATTTCTCCTGACTGGTTTTCCGAGGGCGGTCCATCTTTTCGGGGCAGGGTATTTTGGGGATTTGAAGAAGGAAAAAGAAAAGAACCAAATCAAATCGAGCCCAACCCAACCAAACCAGCCCTAAGGCTGCTTCATACTTAGCGAGAAGGTGAAAATGAATGTGTGACGTCAGATCAATATTCGTGCTTACGAATTCGCAAAAGTTGAACACATTTCAACTCTAGCGAAATTTCGCTGCAAATTGTCGTGACGTAAAATTCGCTTCGCTTTCGCATTCGCCTGAAGTATGAACCGGCCTTAACAAAGTAAGAAAAAGGCGCCTTCAACTCATCACTTCCTACAAATTGCTCCCGTTTTTTTTTTCTGAGGGGGGATCCCCTTGCCCCCATCCACTAGTGACTTCAGGCCTTGTGAATGGTTGGTCAATTAGATGTTGACTGTTCCCTGCTTTCCATGTTAACAACAATGATCCATATTGGCATGAAAACCCCGACAAAGGATAAAAACAAAATCCTAATTAATCATCGGTTAATTGTTAACTCAGTATTTTTAGTATCAGTGTCAAGGTACGAGCATACCCAGCCACTGCGCTAGTTGAACAAACACTCTTTTGGAATGATTGAGCGGTGCTTGGCTCCCTGTGTACATGGACGAGTGTGGACATAGCAAACACTCTGAATATGGAACCGCATCTTGCCATCAATCGATTGCATCAGAATAATATGTCATGATTTATCCTAAATAGGCTACCATTTTTATTATTTCTTTCAGGAAACTTTGAGTTTGAACCGTTTGATTTCCGTACCGGTATTTAGCCTTGGTCATGACATGAAACAAGTAGTCCGGTTCCATGATGCATTGACAACTCTGGCGCATGGCAACGTAAACGTCTTGTAGCTCCCTCATTTAAAACCGAGCCCGGTCTAGCTCCCTCGAGAAAAGTGCATGTTTTTATTCAGTCGCAATTACGGCCGACTTTCTGGCTGTGTTGTAAGAATTTGTTGAGTCTGGTTATCCGCTGATATTGAGGATATATATTTTAAATTTAAATCAAAAGGCGAAGGCAAAGTTTAATAAGCAAGAGAACCTCTTTAATGCAATTTTTTTCATATACGTTTAATTGTCGTGCTCTCGCGAGCTCACACGCGCCAGGTCTCTTTCATATATTGAAAAGTCGCCTTTGTCCAAGCAGGCATGTATCTATGCCTCTGCCAAGGACAAAGTATCCAACAATATTTTGCGCCTGGCACATTTATTGATTAATGTCCTAGATTAATAAAATCCGTCTCCATTTGGGAGTAAAATCCTTAGGCTTCCTACAGAAATGAAGGTCCTTCTTTTCTTAAAATAATACATACATTGGACTGATTAATTCTCGCGCAAGCAACCATGAAATACATAATGAAAAAAGTAGGTCAAAATAATAGGTTGTTAACGCACGGCGCAATCTTGACGGGCTTCTTCGAAATTCCAGTCGATATGGCTTGATTAAATTTTGAACTAGGCCAACTGTCAGTCTGCCAATAAAAAGCTCTGCATTATTTTCAAAGAGACTAATTGAAAACATTGTAAATATATCTAAAATAACGAACAATAGATCTGAAGTTGAATGACATGATCAGTCTTATCACTGGGCGTTTCGGTTTGAAACTACTGCCTCAAACTTAGACCTAAGACTCTTCTTCCTATTCTTCTGAAACTATTTTACGTAAAGCGAAATTTGCTAGTCTCCGAACGAGGGACTAGCTGCAGTCTTTCATGTAGTAGGCCAATCTGTATAACAATTATAGCACACAGTGTTCTCTTTATGGGTAATTCATAACACAGTTCCCCTCAAAAGGAACCTAGAAACAACAAACAAAATTTAACAAGAAAACAAAATACATAAATTACATATAAAATTGCAGCATACTTTATACCACAAAATTCTTTAAAAACTCTGGGAAACCTTTAAAACCCTTCCTAAAATCCAAAACTAAATATAAATCCAATCCTGCTTGAAGACGATGATAAGAACTCAATCATTTGAAGGTAATTCCACACTCATTCCCATGAAGACAGCATAAGAACTTAAAACAAAGAGATTATCTGGTGATGGCATCATTATGAAGATTAGTTTAATAGCTCTGCTTGTGAAAAGCGAAGCACATCGATTTGTGCGTGCGACCAATGGTCTCCACGGAGCTCCGGAAGTGCCATCCTTCTTGTTAAGATTCTGACGCATGAATTCTTGGGATGACAACATCATACACCCAAGATGTCGACATCCTGAGATAAATTATCATGGGATGACGACATCGTAACATTTGGATGACGACATCTTGAGGGTAATTTATTACGTGATGACGACATCCAGCAAGGGTGGTGTCTACTTCATTTCCTTTACCAGTGTACTTTTCCCGTTGTAGGCCTACACATGGTAAGTTACGGAGGCCTACGCACCAGTAGTGTGGTCTGATGTTTCTTTTATCACACGCCAAAACGGGCGATTCACAATAGTGCATCTCCGGCTCCAAGAGTTTGCAACGCGTTGGCCAATCACAACACGCGAAATTTGTCGACCCTTTCCAAACGCGCTTTGGGTCGACAAATTTTGCACATTGTGATTGGCTAACACGTTCCAAACTCTTGGAGGCGCCCTATTGTGAAACGCCCGTATTGATAAGCAATGTCATTATTCTACTTCTCAGGATGTCGATATCTTGCCTGTATGATGTCGTCATCCCAAGAAAATATATCAGGATCTCAAAGAAGTCGGATGGCACTTCCAGAGCACCGTAAGTTTGAGTCTTCTTTGGATTATGACTGTCCATTAAACAGATGTAGAGAGGATGACCAGCATCTCTCCAGCTATCTGTAGTTTATCACACAGCTGTTGACTATAGACTGTTTCTGCTGATAGCAGACAATCGCTAACGATTTTACTAGCCCGTTCGATGGAATGGTGAGCTTAATTTTTCACTTTTTATTGGTATTTCCAACCCAGTATAACAAAAAGTAGGTCCAAAAAAAAAAAAAAAAAAAATTAAAAAATGAAATAAGTCAAGTTAATTTTCTTCCTCACATTGATTGAATTCAATTTCCTCAGGCAGTACATTCTCGAGTTCAGTCTAACTTATCTTCAAACACAACCCCAAGATACTTACTTTTAGAACGGTCAGCTTCACATCCCATATTTATTTAGTTTACAGTATGCTGCAAGCCAGCTTCTTGGACCCAGGTAGGTAGACCCGTCATCATTCTTTAAGACCAACGAGAACTGTATCATATTTCACCAAAGGACAACTTTCGTCGGTGGACCGAAAAACACAGTAAACAATCTGTGGGGGATTTGTGGGGGATACTTGACCAGTCGTGGAAATTTCTAAAAGGGGTGGGCATTCAATAGCCCACAACCCCACAAAAGTGGGGGATGAATACCCCCCATCCCTCTGGGATTTAAGCCAATGTCAGAACGGATTGAATCACTGAGACGAACAAATTGTGAACGGAAAGTGAGATAATTCAAAATGAACAGTGCGAGGAGCAACTGAAATTTCGAGAATCTGCCTAGCCCATTATGATTTTGCATTGTATTAAAACTGTCAGAAAAAGACTAGTTTCCCTTGAAGCAGCCTATGTAAAATATCAGGAAGTCCATACTGAATGTGTTCGCTTAGCGTCACAAGTTGATAGGAAAGGCTACCAAAGTATGAACAAGACTTCGAGGAGATTGAAGAACTCACGAAGGATGCCTGTCACCACTCGCCAGTATAGTGAATTCACTGTCGGGACAAAACATGTCATCCTGATGACGGCACCTCTCTGCGTGGCACTAGCGTTACCTGTCATCGAGCAAAGGCTGCCTTTGGAAGGCCAATGCTCTATGTCAAGGCAAAACTCCTGAAACGAAAGCAGGAAAAGGAACTTGAGCAACTGAGGCAAATGATGAACAGTTGCTGAAACAGAAAGATGCCATGGAACCCCTGCAAGTGGAAAGAGAACTTGAGGTGGCACAGGCGGAGCAAGAAACTTGAGCCATATTTATGAGCCCTCCTCTACAAAAATCATGAAGCGGAGTACTGGGCGGTGACTGGTGATCATGCAGTATTTGGCTGTGGTGAAGCACAAGATCAACAGCACTCAACAATTAATGCTCCAGCAGAGCTGCCTGCCTGATAAATGTTCAACATTCCAAGCTTAACCGTAATGCGGAGGCTTGGCCCACTCCTTGAAAGGAACCCACAGGTGCCTTCTTAACCTTGCAGTGACAGATGTTAGATTTTGTGAATCTTCCAAAGACCAATCAGATGTCCTTGGACGGTGACCTTATGAGCTATTGGACATGCAAGAACTCTTTCGACAGTTGTGTTGGAAATTCCTCTATCAGTGGTGGAGCCAAATTGAACAGACTGTTCGAGTAATCTAAAGGAAAGACAGCTCATCTCTCCTTTAAGAGAGTCCTCAATGATGAAACCCTCAGAGGGTTTTGCAAAGGCATATACACTCCTGAAGGAGAGATTCGGCAGGGAGTTCCCATTCTCCAGGCCTGGAGTTTACAAGGTATGCGAGGACCAAATGCTGAATCCCGAAGATTTTGCTGACGTCCAGGGCTGTGTGGAGACATTGAAAGAATTGAACAAACTGAACGAGATTGACTTCCGTGTCAGGATGGTGAAAATCGTGGAATGGCTGCCATTCTTCTTGCATTCCAGATGGTGTATACAAGCCATGAAGATAGTTGAAGAGACTGTTCACTTCCCGAACATGAAAAGTCTTGCCAAATGCCTGCATGTGACTGCTAGAGAGGCCAATGAACCCATCGTTGGATCCTTGAACATCAAGAACAAGGACTAAAAATCATCGAGCAGATCCAGCAGTACAAAGCGATGGAGAGACGTCATTCAGTGTTCGTGGCCAAAATAGCCCCGGTGTTTCAGCTGTCAGAGTCAAATAAGGAAGTCGGGGCATCAAACAAAGATGGACAGCTAAAGCCATGGCACTTCCGCAGCGGAAATCATCGTCTTGATGCTGGTGGTGCTTTCAGGCAAATATTACCCAAGGTGAGACTGGAAGTGGTAAAAAAATAAAAGGCTCTGTTACAACTGGCTTGATGGCTAGTTACTGTGTAGCCCGATGGTGCAAAAAGACAAGTGGTTGTCGGAGAGTCATTGAATCTACCCCAATAGATGAAAGGTGAGATGAGTGCTAGAGTTGTAGCTCTGGGCAACAGATCACTTCCTGTAGAGAGAGCACTTAGTGTGCACTGGGACACACATACAGATGTTCTTGGCATCAAAATACAGCTTAAGGAAAAGAGCTGCACAAGGAGTATTCTTCTGAGTCATTTGAGTTCTGTGTATGACCCCTTTGGATAAAATGAAGTGAAACTTCGCTCGAACTGAAATGTGTTGGGTTTTTGAGATTTCGCAGCGCGAATATTGATCTGACCTTACAAATTCGCCTTTGCGTTCGCTCTCAGGTGAAGTATGCACCGGCCTCTACGCTTTTGGCCCAGGGGGAGGGGGTCTTACTAAAATGAAAAAAAAGTTTCCCTTGGATTCGAACGCACGCAAGTTCAACTACTAAACACCAACTTTTTCCTTATGATCCCGGAATGTCCTCGATTTTTGCTTGAACTTAAGCTTTAAAAAGTTATCCAAAATCACATATAAAATATGTGTTCAGGCATGTGTATTGTTGCAATCTTGCAGAAAATGAATTTGCGAGCCGCTAACTTTGAATAACATCCCATAATCCCCCTTTATTTTTTTTCTCCATGGACCATTCTTTTCATCCGTACATGGGCTTGATCGCTTTGACTTGTCTTGACAGCTCTGTTTTATTTTGTTACATTCAGTTTCTCTTATGTCTGATGGCTAGAAGCTTGAAGTCTGTTGGTTCACTAGCTGACTCACACCAGGTTTAGATCAAGGGGTAATTGTCTAACTAGTTTCTTTGTATGGATGAGTTGGGTTATATTTTTTTCTTTCTTTTCAAGGGAGCCTTTTAGCTCTTTTGTGCAATGTCCTATGGCTTATTATCTTTTTCCTATATTTGTGATATTTGGTGTTATTATCTCAAGGGTGCACCTCCGGCGGTTCACTTGTTTAAGTACTCTGGTAGTTTAGTCTGTACTGTGATCTACTTGTGTTTACTTAGTCATGCTATAAGAAAGCTTCTCGATAAGGATTTAGTTCAATTTTCACCAATCCAGCAGGGGCATTGAGTTTATGTCCTCTTTTTGTGTCCTAAGAATAATTCCAATATCATTTTACTCATTGTAATCTTTTAATTACTTGCAAAATAATAAATAAAATGACTAGACTCATAACAAATTGATTAAAACAGCCCGGCTTAATTATTTCACTCCACAGAACCATCAAGCTCATAGCTCTTCCCCGAACCATACACTGGCACCTATCAGCTTCTGGAATCGGATTCCTTGAAAGGTAGACTCCAGGCGCCATTAAAGAGACGCACTGTAAACGTGACCAGTGCAACCACTCCACCCCCCGCAGTCACCACGCGGCCAAAGTTAAGAGTTCATAATGCACTCTGGCGACCCACCGTGAAGCACCTCCACTGATCACAACAGTGCCATTCTCAGACATTTCCACTTCTGCCGTGAGCAAGCCTTTTTTCAGCATAGGTGGAGTTTAGGTCGTTTATACACTTACTGGGCTGCGGAGGATCATACTCTGTCTGAACGCAACGGTTATGATAAAGATGTTGCCGTCACCAACACCAGTGATTCTTGGACTGGTTGTGGTATCGCATATGCTGTCGGGGATACAGTCTGCCTTTGCCTCAGAAGATTGGATCGTAGAAGCTTCAAGAAACTCCAAGCAAAAGGAGGTATGTTACCGTTCACGACTAAGAGTAATACTGTTAGTAAACCCAAAGATCTAATTGTTTAAAATGTATTTTCGACCCCCAAGTTGGTTTCCTCTGTGTAGTTTGTCAAATGCATTAACACTTTCGGTCGTAAGAATGGGGAATCCTTCACTAATTCTCCATTTCCAATCAGTGAAGTTTCACTGAATCACGTACTCTCAATGGATACTAGGTGAAAGTTCTAAACTGTTTGTAGGCAGAGAGTTTGGAAAAGACATTACTGGGATGGAAACTCTGTCTACTCGACTGAATGAACTGCACACAAAACCGACCAAATGAAAATTCGCACAAAAATGCCAGCACATCAGTATTTACTTCCAGGGTCATAGTATGTCATGTTTTGGTTTCTGAGAACGATCATGATTTTTGTTTCTACCACTAGGAACTGGCGAAAAATATCCGTTAAAGAACATCAAACTTTATCCAAGCGTGTCTGTGATACACATCACATCAACTTGACGCGGGCTTTATGGCATGAATTAATAAATCACTGTATTTCGTGCGGCTGTTCTCCGAAAAAATATCATTGCAGGTGGTTTTAAGTAATTTCCAGCGTGACTGAGCATCGAGAAGTGACGCAATTGATTGATTTCACATCAGTTTCAACTGCCCAGCGAAGGCCAGTACATGTTGGTTAATGTTGGCTTGGAAACAGAACAGCCCCGTGCAATCAAATGATTTATTCCTTATTGGTACTGAGGCTAGACTTGTTTACACGTCAGCGATTGATAGCCACACTGATTGGCTGTACCTTTTGGTAATTTGTATTCAGAAATCACTATTAGGTCTATTATGATCAAACAAATTATGGTGAATAAACTTGTTCTCTCCTGGATATTTCAGTTTCAGATTAGCTACATTCACTCAAATTCTGAGAGTAAATAGGCCTGTTTTGTTTAACTCGATGCTTTTTCTTCTTCCAATTGTAGGCCTATTAAAATACGATTTGAAATCGTCACCAATTTCAAAGCAGCTCACTGTTATGTGTTTGTGCCGTTTGTTAATATTAAATAATTACTGGCCAGGGGATGACATGTAAAATAGTTCAATATAGCCAATTATCGCTAATAAGACACCTATGAGTCCATAAGAGCTTTGTTTTTGGATTATTGCAAGTAGATAGTGGGTCTAAAATCTTATTGGATGTATTGCTGTGATTCAAAAGACATTTCTGAAAACGTTAATTTATTTGAACACTCAAAAATTGTCCAGTTTGGTAATTTGAGTTAACAGTATTAAACTATTGCATTGTTATCAGATCGTTTTTGCCAGTGTTCCAAATGGTTTCGCAATTATTTTCTCATATGTGCTTATCTTCGAAAACGTATCAACCACTCTAAGTTCCTAGAAAGGGCATTTGGTGGCCTTCTGTCAGCGAAAGCACGCAGTGAATTCAAGGTGCTTTTGCAAAAGAAGAATGGTATATAACAGTCTCCATTTGTTTGTTTTTCGAAAGCTCCCCTGAACAACTTTGCCCTTGGACCTTCTGCAGCTAACAATGCGTGCATCAGAGTTCGTGCCAGTCAATAGATTTCGTTCAAAGCAACTCCCCATCACGCTATCTGGAGTAGCACCCACGACAATATCTTGGCTAAAGAACTGTTTAAAGTGCCACTGTTGTGTTTGTGTGTGCCTGTGTCACATAGCCAAAGTGGAAATATTTTTGTTGGCTTTCCCGGTGCCCCGTGGATACGCAAGGTTGCAGCACATTATGCGGAATAGAAGCACTTCGAAAGGGATAACTGCTTCTTTTACCAGGAAAGCAAACATGGAGGGGTTTGTATACAGAGAAAAATCATGGTTAGAATCTTTCACGATGGCTATGGCAGTCGCAATTAGGACGGAATAAAGGGCTCCTGACTTTCATGCGAAAATTATGGACGGAAAATTATGGCAAATATACGTAGCTTTTTGAAGGTCGTGAAAGGTTAAGACGAACAGTAATTTCACGCTTTTCTCCGTGCACTGGCAGCATCACCGTTGAATTTGCACTGCCGAAATTCGTGCAACATTACAAGAGACTCAAAATGCCGTAAATATGATAATATCCTCCATCTACGGGGCTTCCAGCTAATCCTGGCACACTTTATTTATTGAAAAAGTGTACCCAACAATTTAAAAAACAGGGCAATGTTATCAGTTGGGCAATCTAGACAAAAGTAGGTTTTCTCATAAGGACTCCCGAAAATAGGAACCTAGGCTCGTGTCATCCCAATCGCACTGAGCATATCTCTGTCAGAAATGTTTCTTATCACAGTAAAAAAAGGCTTGCGTTTACCCCTACACGTGAGCCAGTGTCAGCCACAGGGCGTATTAAGAGAAACGTTAATGTACCGTTAAATGTATAGACCTGCAGTAAAACGTTATTTCTGAGAAGGAGGGTTTGGTGAAGAGGCACCAAGCATTGATCCCAAAGTAGGATTCAAATTCACACACTCGTGGATTTTTCTTGAACTGAAGACTGCAGTGCACCATAACACCACTGCCTCCTTTTCCGTTTTTCTTGTACCTATTCATCGTTACAGATCTTTTTGTAGACACGCTGAGGAAACTGCTTGCCATAAAAATGAAATGTCTTTCCTTGCCATTAATCAGCGAGTGAACAAAATAACGTCACATGGCCATACACTCACTTTTTCACGACCGAAAATAAACGATACAGCGGGGGACGCACGCCGATTTCCGTGGCAAACCTTGGTAATTAAGATACCCCGAAATACGGAACTGTAGACTCAGTTCACTTCCTCCGTCAAGACGAGTCGCAAGCACGTTATGCAGGTATGCAGAAGTCCACAGATGTAAGGCTCAAGCTTCATAGTCCTGCAGCCCAATTGTCTTTGCATTTACTTAGAGTTTTCCTATCATTCAAACTTACATAAGTTCTGTAAACAAATGTCAGAAAAACAGGAGAAGAAACTTCCTAACATCCCTGAAGCCCGCTTCTCGTCGGTCAAACACTGGCTACGAACAGATTCTCAGGTCCACTTTGTGCATATTTAGTGCATAAAACATTGCAGCTAATTCCAGACCTCACTTTTTCTTATTCCGAAACACAGATGCCGAGCAATCACGCACGCGTCAAAAGGCAATCAATATTCGTGAGTATCTTGCTTTTCGCAATAATTGAGTAATGTTTCAAAGCTTTGAATAAAACTCAAACTCTAATGAATCTCAACCATGCATTGAAATTTCCTTCGACCACAAACAACAAATTTAACGAATGACATTTGTGACAGTCGTACAAACAAGGTTTACAATAAATACAGTATTATTGAGCGATCGATAATATTACGTTTCTGTAATTTCTTGTGATCGATAGAACAGGAACGAAATTGAACAATTCCAAGTGGAGAGTAAGATAGCTGTGCGGTTCGCCAGCACCACCATCACCAGCCGCATCCGAAACCGTGCGTCGTCTTACCAATCGCTCAACTTCGTCTTGCAATTGCCACTGAACGCGTTCATCGCAAACTTCTCACTGTAAGTAACCCTCTGACTTTTAAATAGTTCAGAAGGTCACGTCCGCTCTTGAAAGCTTGGTTCTAATTTAAAGTGTATCTGCAATCTGTTTGTTTTAGTATAAATCTTCAAAATGCACCATTGTGTCCAATGCAGTTAACCTTATTTTCAACTTTTGTTTTACCGTTTCAAAGGATATTTCATTGCTTTATTTGTTTTTTATGCTAATGGTATTTCAATATTTATGAACAAAACTGTGATGTCATCCCAGGAGGCCTTAGTGTTTCATTGTTTTTTTTGCACAATAAAGTGCTGTTGATTTTGCTCGACTAAAGTTTCTCTGTTTTGCCGATTCATTGTTGCTTATGTACTTTCTCGGAAATGTTTCAGTGTGTAAATTATCTGTTCACAAATTTACAAAAAAAAAAAAACTTTTCACAGAACTATGTCTTTTCCTGGATGACGTCACAACAACAGCGCCCTCAGTTGTCCAGAAAAGCACGGAGGATTTTTAGTGTTCAAAGATTGTCTTTTTGAATGCATTTAATCAAATCAGAGTGCAAAAGGGTTGGCATGTGTTGAAGGAGAGTACAGAACTGCAAAAAATGTGTCTTAGAAAAAAATAATTGCAGCCACACTTTAAAAACTCAAACTCAGAAATAACAAGCGAACAGCGGGGGAAAATGAAATACGGCCAATTTACGGATTTTGTAATTATGTGATTTATTCCATGACGGCTTGTCTGTCACTTAAGAAAATACTTTTTTGACAGTAAAGTTTAGTTTCACAGTATTGCTTATAAAATCCGAAACTACAGGGAAGTTAANATACTATGGCAGAGTTAGGGATAAGTGCGATGGAGAAGAGAACACCTTGGATTCGTCTGGCAGCCTTTCCACCGGACGAATCACTGCTCTGTGAGTATTGTCTATATAGGCTTCTAGAGCCCCCCCGGTTTAAAGCTGTTTTAATTTTAAGAGTCGTATCAAATTCAGTCTATGAAACTGATTTTTTACAGCCTCAAATCTGCAAAATTGAGCAACATTGCTAAGATTTTAACTTATACTTTGTTTTGTGTCAAATGGAGTTCGAGTAAAAAAAGCTATAGTTTATGTAGTAATGTAGCATTTTATACCTATGTTAAAAATGTGCCCTTTGCTTTTTTACAGCGATCCAAATAGAAACACATTCATGGTGTCTGTCAGCGTGGCGCCAAGAGACACGATCAGCGTTATGTTGAACTACCAGGAGCTCCTTGAGAGGGTCCAAGGCTGGTATACGCAGAAAATAAGTCTCAATCCACAACAGGTACAAAAAGGGATATCGGAACCATATATCACAAAACAAAAGGCGTATTGAGTTGAATTAAACTAGTAAAATCTCGGAAGATCATATTTCTGCTAGCACAAAGGTTCTCATCTCTTTGTCAACAAATAAACACCCCAAAAATTATCGTTTAGTTCATAAACAGCAGGTCTGACGAGACCGTGGACATTTCCATCCTTTGTTCTAATGAGGACTGAGTCTGTGGCATAATGAATGCGAGGAGGTTGCCCTGACTTGATTTACTGCTAAATTCGTCCGGTTTCAATTGTGTTGTTTGAAACCTTTGAGTATATCTCGGAAAAAGTTCATTCAATGTTGGCCTCTTCGGGTTAAGAGATTTTTTATCCTTTTATTGTGTCAATTGTTTGGAAGATTGTGAGAGACTTCAGCATCAAAGCCCACATCACAGAGCCTCAAGGCATTACGAAAGTCGAGTCGGGCATCCTGCTGACTGCCGGGGGTGGATCTGGTGTCAGCGGTGGGATTTTGAGCGGAACGAGTTCCTACACTTCCTTGGATGATTACATCAGGAGGATTGGACAGACGCGTGTCATCCTAGAGTTCCTCCCCACGTCGCAGCAGCAGCAGACCATCGCTAGTGGTTCGTCATCTGGAATCAATGGGGATTTCATTATACGATACGATATTCAACACGACTTCGGTGTAGGCCAGGTTCAGGTAATTTATTATGTATTCCATGCTTGTTATAAATTGGTAACAATACAGCTTACTCGGAGGCTTTATTTGAATATTTACACCAGGAAGCAGATTTTGTTCCTTTTTTGTAAAATATATCAGTATTACCCAGAGTCTGTGACAAGGCGTTACGCTTCTGCAGTGTAGTTCGTCACCAAGGGTTACTTCCCATATTTTACGTTTTCTGACAGACGTCCAATGATGTCTTCGTTCATCATTTCTCCCCTGGAGGTCTTGGCCCCATCCGCAAGTCAGTGGCGTTTGTTATCGACGTCAGCGCCTCAATGTTCGGCCGAAAACTGAATCAAACCAAGGAGGCCTTGCTGGTCATCCTGGATCAGATGCGATCCGACGATCGCTTCAATATCATTACCTTTTCCGATGAGGTGAGGTTAAAGGACCACTGACCACTCATGGAAGAAATCTTCCGTGATTACACAGTGGGGTATCTTAGGCAATACGTGCATGTGTGTGTTTTTACTAAAAGTGTCTGTGTTCCGACAGCCAACACAATGTAAGCTCTCGAAATTACATCAAAATTCGGGAGATTAACTCAAATGCAAGTACTCATGCATAAACAAGGGCGTATCTACAGATGCACAAAAAGTCATTCATGGAGAAGAGGGCTCAAGAACTTAAATATCTCTCTGGCTTAAAATCTAAAAAAAATGGAGTTACTTTGGACCATGGCGCAGTGAAGGGCGGATAACACCTCTCCAAGAACTCACCTGTCCAATGCCAGATATTTTTAAAACTGGGCTTTCATATTATGACACTCATCAATGGCACAAATGTGAACTTTCAACTCAAGGCGACTAATGGCTTCATTGTTTACGGCCGGGTCAGTTGAAGTTGAAGGCCACACGCGTGCCAGCCCACACATATCAGTAAAAAAAGGTAGGCTTACTTTTTGCCGACCTGTGAGGCTCGGATGGTCACAAATGGTCACTGTGTGAGAAGTGTGTGTCCCATTTTCACCAACAATAACTGTCAGATGTGAGTGAAAAAAGTCCCGAGGGTTTGGCTCGCGAAAAAACAAAATGCTCTGCGGCAGTATCAGAAAAAAATTCGCCCCTTGCTCTTGGAGGGTTAAAAAGAAAGAAGTCACGACACCTAATTAAAACCTTATAGACATACCCTTGTCGATGAATTATTTTGCTGGCTTTAAAAGGTGAAGGATGCTCAGAATTCTTTCTCACTGAATAATGCTTGTGACCGTGTGAGTAAATGTTGAAGACGCCGGGCTAAAATCTGGCAGAGTTCTGTCTATTGCCTGAAGTGATTTGACTCTGGCAGAGTTAGTTACATGTCTATTGCCTTCAGTGATTTCAATCTGGCAGAGTTACATGTCTATTGCCTACAGTGATTTGACTCTGGCAGAGTTACATGTCTATTGCCTACAGTGATTTGATTATTTCCCAGGTTTATTATTGGCGTGAAGATCAGATGGTCTCGGCATCCGCGTGGAATATCAACCTGGCAAAAGACCACGTTCGATCCTTGACGGATTTAAAGGGTAAGAATAACCCACTGGAAACCACAAGATGACGGCTTTTACACTACCGACATAAATTTGCAAGATAGCGGATGATATTACATTACTTTTATATGATCAAGAGGAAATCTACTTCCTTGACGATGTCTTGGGCTCTTGAAAGCAGCCGCTGTGAAAGCAAAGAATGTTGAGTTGATAAAGATGCTTTAGTCGTGTGATCCAGTTGAAAAAATATGCAAACACATTTTCTGAAGGGGCTCTTGATTCGCGTTACTTCTTTGCTCGATATGATGACAACTCTGAAAGATTGATAGGCCTATGGCTTGATCCAAAATGGTTGGCATAATTCTCCGTAAGCCTCTTTAGTTGTCGAGATTCAATCTTAGTGCATAGATCGTGGTCCAAAGACGGACACGGTAATATCCACAATATCTGAATATTGAATAGTTCCCTTCACCCGACATGTATTCCAGGTACCAATTTGAACGACGCCATGATCGAGGGGCTGAACGAGCTCCGCTTGGCCGGCGCTATGGAGCCGGTCTCGGCCGACAACCCAGGTGTCTGCATCCTCTTCGTGCTGACGGACGGAGTGCCGTCCAGGGGCGTGACAGACCTGCGCACCATTGAGCGGAACGTCCGGCAGAGCAACCAGGGACGATGCTCCGTGGTGACGCTGGGGTTCGGGACCGAGGTGAAGTTCGACTTTCTCGCTCGCCTGGCCCTAGAAAACAGTGGCGTGGCCCGAAAGATCTTCCAGAATTCAGCCGTGTCGCGGCAACTCATCGGTAAGTAGATTATGGTCGGAATTATGAGGCAAAGGTTACTAACTGAAAGAATTAATGTATGATAAGAATCGTCTTGTCTTGAAGTCTGAAGTCCTCGTTTTCAGATTTAATCGGCAGACTTCAATTCTGTTAATCTTCGTGGTGTTATTTTGAGAAGTGCCGTAGTGAGCTTTTGAGTGCCAGTGTCTAATCTGCTTATTTCGTAGGGGTTTACGACGAAGTTGCCACACCCTTGCTAGTAAATGTCGCCATCGAGTACCTCGGCAACATTGTCGACCGTGAGTCGCTGACGAGGACCTTCTTCCAGAACTATTTCGACGGGTCCGAGTTTGCAATCAGCGGTCGTCTGGCCGACCTCCTAGCCTCCAATCTGCCCATCAGAGTCACGGCCATCAGCTCCACGGGAGAGAGAACCATTGAGGAGTATGTGCCGATCACAAACGTAAGTTGAAAGTGCTCGAAGAAACTGGAAACTTGAAACCGGAAGTTTTCTCTTTTAAGCCAATGGAAACATAAACTAGTTAGGAAAAATACAGTTTGAAGTCAAGGATAATATCGTTCTGGGTGGAATGAACACAGGTAATATTCTGCACTTTATATGACCACAGCAAAGTTAAAGTCACATCTGATGCCCATTAGGTGAGAATCGAACTCGACAGATTCATAGGTTAGAAAAGATTCAATGTCTTGCGTCCCAGTACTTTATTTTGATACGGTTTTGAGAGGGATTTATTTGAATGAAGGTCTACAAACGCTATAAATGCTTCAAATTCCACTTTATATTCGAATACTACGGAAAACTCTATTTCAAATAATTGAAAAATAATAAATATAATTTAAGATTGCTTTCTCTTAAGTCCAATCCCTTTTTGTTTAGAGACAACTCTCAAGAGAACAAAAACAAAGCAATGTAACCAACGCATGGACCAGACATTGGCATTGTCTGGTGCATGATTAGTCCTTCTTGCGATTCGTTACGTCATTGTTATATCATGCAGTCGTTTTACAAGAGGGTTGATTCACCCAGAAATTTGGGCATTAAAGCTCAGTTTCATTGCATTGTTTCAATATGGTGAATTTTACAGTGCGTTGGATTTTTAAACGATCTTTCTCGTGAACATCACTCAGTTTCAGTGTGATTTGGGGTAATTTCATTGAAATAATCAACTAACTTCAATCGGGGTCTCGCTTGCTTCTAGAGGGATTATTTCGCCAACTCTGCCTACGTCCCACCAGAATCTGCCGAACGCACGGCCGCATTCATCACCCTTGCCCAGCTCTTCAACCAGTACACGGTATCTGACGATCCCGACGAGCAGCGGCGGATCATCGACAGGACGCTGGAGCTGTCGGAAAAGTACAACCTCCTGACGCCGCTGATGTCCATGACGTTCGTGGATACACCGCCCACAACGGGCGGCAACCGGCGGGGCGGCACTGCCGCGGTACCGCTGAGCCTTCAATGGGGCATTAGGGGTACTGCCTACGAAGAGCCGAGCCAGGGACGCACGTACGGTATCGGAGGCAGGATATGTACTTACGTGAGTGTGCAAATTGGCCAGTACCGTAAGTTATGAGGAGTTTATGTGTACATGCACAAGCCTGCATGTGTTGGGTCGTTGTCATTATTTTGTCAGGGAATTGAAGAGGTCTGTAGCCTGAAATGCATTGTTCATTACCGTATGGGCGGAACCTCCCCTTTCAAGATCAAATTGAGGAATGACTTTATGCACATTTTTCATTGTTTCTTGTTTACACATAAATGGCCAATCGTAAAACTCCTTGTCTGACATACGGTATGCCCTCCCTATCTCAGACCTTAACGCTCAAGTAATCTCATGCAACTACTTTTGCAGAGTGATAAAACGGGCGAAAAATCATTGGTCGTAGCTGGGCCTGTTGATCGAGTTATCTCCCATTCCCATCGGTAATTGTTTCGTTTCTTTTACTCCTCAGGAGCCTGATATTGTGTTCGATCTCAAGCGTTTGCACATCAACTCCTTCATCACTGACCGGTATGCCAGGACCACTCTGAACGGTGCGGTAACCAACCGTGCAACCGACCGGCAAGACGTGCCCTTCACGCTCCACATTCCGCCTGGGGCTTTCATCTCGGGCTTCTCCCTGTAAGTCGCAGGAAAGATCAGTTTAGGACTCCTAACAGCTTCATGCATACAGAAGATCACCGTGTGTACTTTTGGATGACTGACACGTTACTCTAGGAAAAAATCATATGGATTTGTTTATCTTCTCTCGCACAAGATGCATGACGCTGTCCTTGAAATGCTTGTTTATGAATCGAGTAAAATTTTTACCAAGCTTTTAAAGAAAATGTAAGTCAAATTGGATGGAATGATGGGGTGATACAACTTAATTGATGAGTTCACATAACTTTTCAGATTTTTCTCCATGGAATATATGGACTTATCACAGGTGTAAGATTTAGTTGAGTTGTGTGAATTGAATGTACAGGACTATAGATGGGCGGACCTATACTGGTCGAGTTGGTGACATCCGTAGCACGGAATGGCAGCGGCTATTTCCCTCGAGTGGCCAACAAATAGCACTGGTTACTAGACGGTAAGTTATAATCCAGACTCCGATATATTTTTAGAGAGAAAAAAATGTTCCGAAGTAGGGCCTAAATCATCCTTTTGTTTTTCAGCAAAGCACCAATGCAACGACGTACCGGTCGTCCAGGCACGTCCAGTTGAATTGTTCATTAAATCAGTGTGAGACGTGAATTTGGTATTCACAACAGCTTGAACATCGTTAGCCATCGATCGAAAATGTCTACAGAGTCTCTTAGCCGTTACCTTGCGATATTAAAACATCACTTAGAGAAACCCAAGGTATAGTGTACTAACGAGAGCAAATGTATTTACAACGAATAACTTACTTTTGCCTGTATTAACCATACCCACTTGGCAGGGATTCCACCAAAGATACCTTTACCATGCAAGTCCTGGGTGTGGCCCCTCAGTCCACCGTGACCTTTGAGCTAACCTATGATGAGCTTCTGGAGAGGAGGCGTGGTCTCTTTCAACATCGTATCAATCTTTGGCCAGGCCAGGTGAGCGCAGTGTCAATTGGTCAGTCCATCTATCAATTTGACAATAACCTTTCGCAACATCATTTACCTGAAATTAAATTCATGCAACTTGCCAATACACTCTTGTCAATTTACCCTTTTGATAATGAATATCGGTGGCAAAATTGCCATTATTTTACAAATAGGAATTGACATGAAATTAAAGAGCACCTGTAAGGAAAACATGTTTTCTCTGGTTTATCTGTTCAATAAATATGGAAGCATCCAATTCGAACGCAGTGTCATTTGTCTTCAGAGCTCAAGTGTAACGAGCTAAAATGGGCTTTTTCCTGTTCATACCAAGATGTGAATTCTGAACGTAGATTGCGTCATTGAGGAGAAAACGAGGGGAACCCTCGCCCTGTGTTCGTAGTGGATAAACCTTGTGCATGCCAAACAATGGCTACATGCATTGTTTGGCATGCACAAAGGATTAAAATAAGAGAAAAAATGTTTTCCTTAGAGGTGCTCTTCAACACAACCTTCTGGTGTAATAGACATTATTGGAATCTTCAAATGATCTCAGAAAGGAGAGGACTGTGCAATGCAATTACGCACCACCTTCAAAAAAAGTAGATTTGAAGTAGTTTATGGGGAAATAAACATCTTTCCTGCTTTGATTTTCATTAGGTTGTGGATGACTTCCAAGTTGACATCTATGTCACCGAACCTCAAGGAATCGGTGATATTTCTCTCAAATACGACCCGCGTACGTCAGAGGGTCAGGAACAGACCCTTCAGGTAAAACTACCTATTGTATCATCTCTGAATTCCTTCTCCTTCGTTATCATTAAGGAGTCATTTACATAGGGATTACATTCCGGAGTGTTCTGCAAAAGAACTTGGCGAAAAATAATCATAAAAAGGCCGATAATTGAGAAGTCTTCAGCCGTCGAACTCGGGAAACACGGGAGCCAGTCCCCTTGCACCGTGGAATTGTTGTGGGATCTCTGGGTGTTTGTTGCGGGACCACACCTCTAAATGCAAAAAAGAGAAGAACTCACTCTTTTTGAGAGTGAGTTCTTCTCTTTTTTGCTCTTTTTTCCTTTAAAAAACCCACTCCTATGGAGTGAAAACCACTCTAAAAAGAGTAAAAGCTGCTCTGAGGAAGGGTGTAAACCACTCCAAAAGAGTAAGATTTCCACTTTGCCGAGGAGCCATATAAAGCACATTGGAAAAGAGTTTTCCTTTATATGGTTTCTCTTTTAGAGTGATTTTCATCCTTTCAGAGTTGTTTTTTTCCATTCTGTTGGGGTAGTTTTCACTTTTTTCGATTCTATGTATGAGGGACCCACTCTTTTAGAGAGTGAGTTTTTCATTCTTTTGTTCTTAGAGGACCTTCCCGTTTTCACAATCCTAAGTGAGTGATAGAGTGATTTTCATCTTTTTAGAGTTGTTTTTTTATTCTGTTGGGGTAGTTTTCACTCTTTTTGATTCTATGTATGAGGGACTCACTCTTTTTGAGAGTGAGTTTTTCATTCTTTTGTTCTTAGAGGACCTTCCCGTCTTCACAATCCTAAAAAGGAGTAAAATTGTCGGCTTCAGTATCATTTCAATGAGTGCAAATTCAACTAAAAAATACGTACCAGGTGATATCTGTTCCTCTCTCAATGTAATGTTCACCTATATTGCTCCTTGTGTTTTGTGCATAAGACCTTGATAATTTAATGACGGCTGCATTAAATTCCTTTTACCTGGTTTTTGTAAAACAATATTAGGATTTTGGAAACAGGTACATTTCTTTTTGGACTGAGCCAATAGGTATTTAAGAAAATACCAAGGAAAGCCTTGAAAGGTTTAATGCCGAGTATACTGTTTTTAAATGTTTGGAAATGTTTTGAAACTTTTTTAATAAAAAAATATTATTATGAGGAAATAGAGAGATCGTCAGTTAACTATACACACATTGTGCTTTTTCTTGAGACAGGCGGTCAGTCTTTGATTATGTTAAATAATTTTGTCGCGAGTTATCACTGTTTTTGAAATTCGTGGTGATACGCAGGTTCGTCGAAGCAGTGACTACCGAGCCCACATGCGATATGCACCCTCTGCTGACGAGCAGGTGACCTACTCGCCTGATGGCCTGGCCGGTGACGTTGTGTTAGAGTACGATGTGATTCATACCAGAGACGGAAGCTACACAGAGGTGACTAGGACAGAAAGGACAGACTGACCAAAAGACTTAGGATGTATTTGGTGTAGGACTCATCAGTTTGTGCTGACACTGTTCAAAAACTAGTTTAAACTTCATGGTATCGTCATGAAACAAATGTTCTCTAGACGGACTAATGGCAGTGACAACAGTGCACTACTCCTGTGACACAACACTGGAAAATTTTATGAGTCACAACAGTAATCGAAGGAAAAACCAATATAGGGAAGCGAAACCCTAAAAAAGGCTTGGTCCATAAGTAGGCCCACAGTTCCGAAACAAGACACTCATCCGCAGCTGTATTTCCCCCGTATTAAGGCTCTGCATGGTGGCCATCTTACAAGACAGTTGGTACGCACAAAGGATGTTTCCCTGTGGGACAAAGGAACCGCCCTGCAAGATGTCTACCACGCAAAGCCTGTGCATATTTGTAGCATTTAGGTTCGGTGGTTGTTGTAGAGATAGCTTTAAGCTTCTGAAGAATCTTACATCAAAGTTAAAAATGTCTTTTGTCAGTGTTTGCCTGAATTTCCCAGACAGGTTACAATGCTCTCAGGGAGGGCGTTCCACAATCTAGTGCAAAACTCTAGACAGCCGGTCTCGATTTCACCTGCTGTATAATTGTGTAGGGATGGTTTCTGATGGAACTACATACCTGTATAACAATCCCGTTATCTGAATGAACGGTGATGTCTTCCGCAGGTGCAAGACGGCTACTTTGTCCACTTCTTTTCGCCGATTAGCTACCAGCACGCGGCCAAACATGTCGTCTTCGTCATCGACATCAGCACCTCCATGGTCGGCACCAAGCTCCGCCAGGTCAAGGAGGCCCTCAAGATCATCCTGGACGACCTGGGCCCCAGGGATCGCTTCAACATTCTGGTCTTCTCTGATGGCGTGCAGTACTGGAGGCGCAACGCGCTGGTGCCGGCCACGCGGAGGAACATCGACGCAGCCAAGAGATTTGTGGATGATTTGATCGTACAGGGAGGCAAGTTTGAAAATCAGTCAACTGATTGGTTTGTGAATAATTTCGGGATGCTTGGGTAGATATGGAGCAATCTTGGGAAATCCCCCCCCAAGAAATAAAGTCTACCGTAACTCTCTCCTATTTGAAGAAGGAAGAATCCGCATAGTCATTCAAAACTGGATCGGTGGACTTACATCCTTACGAGCACCTGACAGCAGTGATGGCTACAGATCAGTTTATTTAGGTAGAGAGCTTCATATCAGAGAGCTCAGTGGTGCAGGAAAAATCGTCTATGTTGGTCTCAAATTATACACTGTTTTACCCGTGCAGTCGCCAACAATTCCATGAAATATCTTTGTTTCCATAATAGAAACCAATCTGGCTGAGGCAATCTTACAAGCCGACGCACTATTGGACCTGCAGTCTGAATTCCTAGCCGAAGACGAAAACATTCTCTCCATGATGTACGTCTTATCCGATGGCCAGCCGACCATCGGGATCACGGACCGGGAGGAGCTCATCAGCACTGTCAACGCGGCCATCAACGGGGAGCACGCCTTGTTCTGCCTGGGCTTCGGCCGCAACGTCTCATTCGACCTCCTCGTCCAGCTTGGGCTCCAGAACCGCGGCAACGCCCGGCGGATTCACGAGACAGCCGACGCCAGCGAGCAGCTGCAGAGCTTCTACTTCGAGGTGTCCCGGCCTGTCATCTTCAACGTGGAGATGGATTACGAGCCCGGGGTACTTAACCCAGAGGACTTGTCTGTACAAAGCTTCCCGTTTTACTTTGAGGGATCAGAGTTGTCCGTTGCCGGTAAATTTTTTGAGAATCCAAGCTCCAACATCCTGGAAGGTAACGTGCGTGGAACCACTGCAACGGGACAGCCGTATCGAAGAGATTCTCGGCATGATATCAGGGTAGGGCATCAACTAGAACTTTAAATACCGAGTAGCCCACGAGCTTTTGATAGACCAAAAACTTCCTAAAATTGCACAGATTTCCACAATGAAACAAAACCGAGATTGTCATTTGTGAAAACAAGGGGAAAATACCAAAACTACCGGTAGGCAATAACTCAAGGTTTGCCACAAGGTGTTAAGAGATTTAAAAGAATCTTATAGGGTGCCTCAGGCTGAAAGCTCGGGTTACATTGCAGGTTGTCAAGTTATCGTAAAAATACATTTGACCGATCAAAGCTTGCAGTACAGCCTCTCGTCATACAAGGCCTCTTATGCAAGGCCCCATTTATGTATTGAGAAAGATATTTTAATGGGCTAGTCTAGTCCTCCATTTAGAAGTTGTCTCATAGTCAACCCTAATAACAACATCTGGGGATGAAGACCACCAATAATAAGAGATGAAAACCAACTTAGAGGACTTTGAAGCTAAAATCTCATTTCAGATCACGGCACCGGAGCTTAGAAGTGAAAACACAGTACCGGACGTAGTCCAGCGAATCTGGGCCATGAAAACCTTTCAAGATCTGATTAACCAGTTTGCCATCACGAAGGATCCTGTCACCCGGCGGGCACTGGCTGACAGAATCGCGTCTCTTGCTGTCAGGTAGTGAAATAAATGATTACTTCCTTCATTATAAACATAAAGGCGTTTGTTTTCGCCAAAGCATCAGCTCATAGAAAACTTCATCTTGTGTAAGCTTGCTTGCACATTTAGAGGGAGTCTAAAATCATTTGTCCTTGATATTTGCTGCCTATTTAGTGTTTAAAAAAAAACTAAGAACAGGGCCGGTCTTTAGGATTTATAATAAAGAGTTGACAAGTAAACCTATATAAGATCATGAACCTTCGGAAGTGCATCGAAAGGTCTGTTGTTGTAAGTACCAGAGAAGTGTAGAGCAACAACAGAGGGCCAACATTTCATCATTCAAAGGTGTATTCCAGTCCATCACCAAAAGGACATACAATAGACTAAATGACCTATGATAGACTTGTCATCGACTCGTGCCCCACCCAGATCCAGTTATGCCCCCACCTCCTCACAAAAATGGTTCTAGATCTGCCCTTGCTTCCTGCAAGAAGTCATGGGTCTGTCATTGCCCCTCTAGGTTGAGACATAAATGAACAAGTCCTCGACCGTACTTATTCGAATAGCAATGTGACAGTCACCTCGCTTTGTATTAGGTACAATTTTGTCACACCACTCACCCCGATGTCTTTGTCGAGACGGGATCAGCCGACGGGCAACGTGCCGCCACCCTCCGTCATACACACAGGCACTACCATGGATATACTACGAAGCTTACTGGAAGATCTTCCAGGTGGGTGTACGGTAACAGCTAGAACGAAAATACTGAAAGAAGACAGTGACTATAACATACTAATCATGTGCAGAGTAGAATTCCTTGGTATAAAAATCTTCATTCCATTGTGGAAATTTTTGACTCAGAAGCAAACCAAACTGAAGGCCGGTTCATGCTTGGCGCACACTTAACGAACACAAACGCGAAATTGTGACGTCAGATCAAATATTCGCACTACAAATTCGCAAGAGTTCAACACATTTTGACTCGAGCGGAATTTTGCTGCAATTTTTTTGTGACATCAAATTGGCTTTGCTTTCACATTCGCCTGTAGTACGAACCGACCTTTACACCGCACCCCCAACTGGCAGATGACATTTAGTGCCACTGTCGGCCTAGCTAAGGCATATCCTCAATTTAAAATTTCTACAGTTAATGCTTATAAAATGGGTAACTGCATACCTGTTTTATTGCGCAGTGAAACCACTAGTCACCGGGGATCCATTTAATGTTGCTACGGAAAGCTCTGTAAGTAGCCACACCCATTTTGTGCGTATGATACAAGTACATTGAAAAGACTAAAGTCGTATGAAATTGTGACACCTTTTGCTATCTTTAGTGACCCACACCAGTCATCTAGGTCAAGTACTCCATGAGCTCCATCTAATTAGCAATAACTTTCAGCACAGTGATCAATAAAATATAGTGATTTACGAATTGATAACAATAAATCTAAGAGGAACCACTTACTCTAGTTTTTTGTTAACTCATATTTAATCGTTTATTGCCTTTGCTTAATTTGTCGAGGACATTGTAAGGGATGTGTTGTGTTTCTGAAGTCGATTGGAGACTGATGTTACGAAAATGTCGACAAAAACGTCCGTTCATTTTATCTTCAGGACTATATCGACACTAAGAGCTTGACTATCAACTCCCAGATCGTGCTACGATTTGCCACAACTACCGTGAGTTCCACCATGGAGAACACGGGTACCAATGCAGGATGGGCCGTGTTCAAACAGAAGGTTCCCCTGCAGGCATTCATCACAGACTTTACCCTGTATGTATATGCAATACATAATGGTAGTGTCCAGTGCTATAAATGGTTATAGATATCATGCATAGATTGCACTACGGATAACAGGGTTTCATAAAATGGGTGGAAAAAACAAAGTCGTGGTACATGTAGTGGGGGGTCGTCTGGATATTTATTCACACGCTGTCAGAAGACGAGATTCCATGAAATTCAAGGGATGCACTTCCGTTTATAATTTACTAAAATCGACCAGAGTGTAACTATTTTGAATGGCGTTCAAATACAGGACGCAAATAGATGACGTGCAAACCCGTCGACATTTAGCGATAATTTCAAAGACGCTATGTATGATTAAACGCATGCACGTGCATGCAGTCCATAATCTATATCTATTAGGCCAGTGTGAGCCTTTGGAGAATTGAGGGATGTTTACAAAGAGAGCCCAAGAAATAGACCATCAGTTTGTTCATCTCAAGTGATCCCCACTCTATGCTTCAACAATGTCTGGTTTCCTCCACAAGGGTCGTGGACGGCAAAACGTTCCACGGCGTCACAGATCAGAAGAGCCGCAACGTCACCTTGCAAAGCGGTAACCTGGAACTGTCCCTCGGCGGGGGCTTTATCAGTGAGCTGTAAGTCATCTGATGAGTAGGATTGTCCGGCAAGGTGGGGAGTAGATAAAGTCTTCTTTGGACGGGGACTGTCTCCTCTCGTGGAACGAGCGGATCTCAGGAGTTGTCTGAAGGACTTACCAGTTTGGTTCAGAATGTAATGGTTTCCTATTCATCAAAATGGTGTCATAATTAAACCACGTGTTGATACCATTTGGGGCAGCGTATATTCTGTAGTTTCTTCAGAACTCCACGAGTGTTGAGCCCAAATATGAGAATCCAAGCGTGCAAAATCTTCCTATACGTTTGTCCTTTTCATTACATTGTGACTGTCAAATTATTTTTTGCATATACAGGTGTATCGTTTTTTTGTTCGATGTCCTAAGTCTTATATCTTTAAAATCATTTCCTTGAGTTGATTTTTTCTACAAGGACTAAAGGAAAGCACCTTTGAAATGTTTGGTTTACCTGGGTGGATAAAACGTGATTAGGAAGCACTATCTGGGATGTTCTCTGTATCCATCTCAATATTTCAGGCAAATAAATAATTAAATTTCCGTTTTAAATGCCATTAAACTCAACAGGCATTGTAACATTTTCTACAACCGTGGATTAGCATGGCGATGTTTTTTGTCAATTTACATCCTATGATTTCTCACAGGGACCCGGAGAGCAAAGTGTTTCTTGTGTCGGTGAAGGTTGAACCCGGTGCTTTGGCGGAGTTCTCACTCACCTACCAGATGCTTTTGCCCAGGCGACGGGGAATGTTCAAGCATGTTGTGGGCCTCTTCCCCGGGCAGGTGCTCCAAGCCTCTTAAATGACTACATCTTAATTCTTTTATTTCAAAGTTGTTAAGGCCGTGACAAGAATGGACACTCTATGTACAGTTGTCATGTTATTCTACTGTATATGGACCATTTGGAAAGGCAGAGGATAGTGGATGAGGAAATGTTGACCTAGAATGCATACGTTTTTAAAGTGGATTCCTCTCTGCAATGAAATTTGGCGTTTACGACATATTTACGACACTCGACATGCTAACGATTTGCATTGATAATTTGATTTGATTTCCGTTCACCACTATAATGGAAAAAAAATAAATATCATAAATGATACACAGGGTGATGCATGGAGAATACCTGGTAGAAGCAAAACTGTACGAGGTCATTTTCCCTTCACACAAAATACTTACTCTTACCTTCTAAATAAATATAATAAATAATTTGGTCAGTGAAAAGAAGTTTCCGAAGGGAATGTCATGTAACAGGCAAAACACCGATTAATACATAAATACAGATACACTATTGGAACATTAAACAGAAATATACTCTTTCCAGAAGGTTATAACTTTTCTTAAGTATTTTAAACATTTCTGAAATTTAAACTTTTTAACTTTTGTGATGTTAAAAAGTGCACCAAAACCTCAGTCGAAAAAAAGGTTAAATTCTACTAAGGGATGGTTTTCAAAACAGACCAGCAGCTGTGTATTTCATCCTCTGTCGTAGGTTGTGGACGATTTGAGGGTAGATGTCAACATCATTGAGCCTCAGGGCGTGAATATCGCTGACGCCTACGTTACGGACCGCTCCCTGGGTGACAGTCTGGCCCGCCTCCCACAGCTCATGACACGCCTTAGTAACAGCAACTGGAGGGTGAGATACCAGCCGACCAGGCAACAACAGCAGCTACTGAGTTCGGACGGCATCATGGGAGATTTCACAGTAGAGTATGATGTCATCCACAACAACGATGCTGGTGACATTCAGGTTAGCTCTTACATCCACGATGACTGTAGTGTCAGACATGGGGGTAAAACCCTTGGGGGATGGGGGTATCTATCCGCCCCACTGTTTGAGGTGGGGAGTGGGCTATTGAATGATCCCCTTCCCACTTTTTTGTAGTGAGCAAAAAGTTAAAGCGGACTGTGAAGAATTTTTCAGACTTCCAATGACTAAAATGCATTCAATATCACCCAAACAAGGAAAACGTTTTTAAATAGTCATTCTAAATACATGTACATATTACAGATGTACATCAATATCATGAACACTGACCTCTATATAGAGTCATGTGGTGTCAATAGCGCCCCTTGCTTTTCAAATTATTTTCAAGACACCCCCCCACCTTTCCCCATCCCCATTCCCCCAAATTTACGCCACTGTGTCTGGTGTTGGTTACTATTAGGTTGAACGAAACAGACCGTTAGATGGGCCCATTATTTCGAGCAATCTTCCGCGGCCAATGCTGCATTTAGTTACTGCACCCAAGGTTTCCTGCTTTAGTATTTAAGAAAACTTGAAGAGAACTTGGTGTTATCGAGTTGGCAAACCATTTTCATTTCTGCATATTATTGCAGTTTAATCATGCCCATGTTACGACTGTCATACAGTGAAGATTACAAAACATCCATGTCGTAAAATATTTGTTAGCATTTGACATTTCCGGCGTGGGAAGAAAGAGAGTATTCAGGCGTGTAACTATCCGCCTCGAGCAGAAGCACCCCTTCATCGGTCGAAAAGAACCCCGTTGGAGGTTTATAATATTCATTTTGTTGATAGCTATGCGATTGCAAAGATTGCGTTTCCAGGTCGTTCGTGAACCAGCGATGAGCGGTTAGTACGAAAGAGCCTCCGTTTCTAAGGAAAAAACGCCTTCTCTTGGTTCAGCTCGACACCCATTATAAAAGAAACATAGATTCATTTTTTAAACTGTTCTAATTAAAAGCTTAATTTGCTGCTGGCGTTTGGATCGTTGATTTCTATTTAATTGGGTATGCTTTGTTTCATCCTTGTAGGTCCTCAATGACTACTTTGTTCAGTTCTTCTCTCCGAGCGGCCTATCTGTGCTCCGCAAGCACGTAATCTTTGTCATCGACATCAGCAGCTCCATGGAGGGCGTCAAGCTGGCGCAGGTAAAGGCGGCCCTCAAGACAATCCTGGACGAGATCTCCCCGGGAGACAAGTTCAACATCCTGCCCTTCTCCAACCAGGTGGAGTTTCTGGACCGCTACCGGATGGTGGAGGCCTCCGAGGCCAACCTGGAGTACACCAAGTCGTACGTGGACAAACTTCAAGTGTTTGACGGTACAGTGCATTGATGTTGGTCATTGATTCCAATCGTTTATCGATGGGTTTAATAGTTGGAAGCGTTAAGCCTAGCTGTGTATCGTACATCCTTGGCATTTCCAAACTTTGTTGGTGAAAGCGGCATCTGTCTGTGACATCTGCTAGGGTTCAGTTATTTTGTTAATCCTGTTTCAAGTACTTTAGAGCCCGAGTTTCCTTACCTCTTCAGGTTTGAATATTTGGTCTTACCTTTCGTCAACGAACGCAGATGTGTATTTACCTGTTATGAGGGATGTCTTATATATCTTTCGTGTGGACTTGACCTTTTTTTCGACAGGTTGTCCAATCGGACACCAAACTCAATCAGGGACATATCATCCTCTATTGTCCAGTACAATGTGAATGTATTACACGATATTGAAGCTTTATTCACGAAGGCAGTTAAAGCATGGTAAAGGAGACGTTTATTTCTTTCCTATTCAGCCACGAACCTCAATGATGCAATACTTGAAGGGGTCAACATGCTCAGACGGGAGGGCGAAAAGGTGCGCGGGGAAAAAGTCATCTCTATGTTGGTGGTGTTGACGGACGGCGAGCCGACCTTCGGCGAGGTCGATAAGGGCGAGATTGAGCGCAATGTCGAAGACGCTATCAACGGCGACTACTCGCTCTTCTGCATCGCCTTTGGCGAGGACGCCGACTTTGCGTTCCTCAATCGGCTGGCTCTCAACAACTACGGCGTGGCCCGCCGGGTACCGGAGAGGGCGGACGCCAGCATCCTCCTGCAGGGCTTCTATGATGAGGTGGCCACGCCCCTGCTCTACGACCTCCAATTCTACTACTCGGAGGGCGTGGTGCCCAACACGCTGAGCAACAGGTTCTTTGCCAACTACTTCAACGGGTCGGAGATCGTGATTGTGGGGAAGTTGGACGAGAATCGGCTGGCCAATCACGTCTTGAGATCGTTCATGTACGGTAAAACAGCAGACAGCGAAGTATCGTTGGCAGCGGATAGCAACACAGTTGTAAGTATCAATTTTTAACCCTTTCCCGCTTTCGAGTTCCAAAACTGCTGTTACCACATTCCTAGCTCATTCATGACTTAGCAAATGTAAACTCATGTCACAATTCAAAACATTGTACTCGGAAACTGGTAGACAGAGGGGATAGTCTACGATGGGCCGAACAATATAGACTAAAAGATAAATCAGTTGATTTGCAATCTGGCTTTTTTCTTCTATGTTGCGGTAGGTGCCAGCTCGAGTCTTACTGGACCGGTCCATCCCACCCGATCTCATCGAGCGCATCTGGGCCTACGTCATGATCGAGTCGCTGGAGCGCAGACGGGACACCTTGAAGAGCCCCAACCCCGTCATCCAGTTCATCCAGCAAGACATCACCGACACGTCCCTCCGGTACGCCTTCCTGAACCCCTACACGAGGATGACAGTCAGTGAGCGGCGACCAGGGACGCCTGGTGGGGGCGGCACGGTCGGCCTGAGCGTCTGGGAGCGCCAGCTGCCTGTCGACGTCAGAGACAGTCTCAGTAAGGCTCTGACGGTCGTGCCAGACGTTGTTCCCATCCCCAATGGTACGTTTAGCCACACAACACTATTATTTAAATAAGCAATAAGCAATGAGCAAAGTAAACAACACGGGCGTCAAATACAAAAATATCCCCAAATTTAGAGCAAATCCAGAATCAACATAAGTTCTTTTTGTTCAGAATAAAAAACTCGTTCACGTTTAAGCCAAACATCCTCACATAGTAAGTGGCTTGGGGGATCAGAACAAAAGTATTTCACTTCTCTGGTAGAAGTTACAAAATGTCATACGATTGATTGCAGGCTATCTTGCTCACATCATGCTGCCATTCCGAAACACTCGAGATCAAATCACTGTGTTTCGATTCTGTCTCTAATTTCAATTATTTCTGATGTTTTGTGCATGGTAGGTGGAACAGGGAGCTTTCGAGTTCATGTGTCTCTGTGCTTCGACATCAACGGTGGTGCTGGTGACGTCATCAGTTTAGTGAAAGATCGAGTTAAAGGTACCCCAGTCTGTTTTAACACTAAGTCACCTTGCTTTGAACTCTCTAGTTACAAGGAAACGATGGAAAAGTTCAGCCACGGCAGACTTTAATCACAAGGAAGCCATTGCTATCATGTTTCCTGATCTCTTTTATAATCTGCCAAATGGGGTGGTGCCAGACTACTTTTGGTTCCACGCCTCACTTTTTTTAATGTTGCTTTAAACATGACAATACATGTTTAATAAATTACAAATTTCAAATTATTCATTATTGTACATTAAATTAATCTGTAATGAACTTTACGTCATTGCTTTCATTCTATTCTTATGTTCCCAAACTTAAACTGTTTACCTCGCTTCAATATTTCAATATCGCCTACTTGTGAATAACGTCATTTGCTGTAAAGGCTGCGATCATAATATTATATGGTTTAGTGTTTCAAATGTCTTGTTGCAAACAGAAGTATGAACGGTTGCCTGAATCAGCGAGTAAGGACACTCTAAGCCCGAATCACGGGTACCTCTTAAAGCTTCCGTGCATTTATTGTGTTGTATGATATACAAGTTTTTGAATCTTTCTTCCTTTTCATTTGCCAGAGCCATTGTTGGCAAGAGTTGTTTATGATACTAAAACTACATTTACCCACAGAGTTCAAACTTTTCAGCCTAAATTACATGTGCCCCTTTAGCATAGTCTACATCGGATAGATCGTGATTAAACGATGTCACTGTCCCTCTTACAAGTGACGTCAGAGTGGCATCATAGTATTTTTTTCTCTTACTTGACGAAAGTGAGTGAAAAAAATCACCAAGATTTGGTTCTCTGCAGAGCTCCACATTTGGGTATCGGTCGTTATTCAGAACGGCATTCTTGTGTCGATGTATGACTATGTTTCCTTACAATTGAAGATAACTTTTTTCTTTTGCAGGTGTGTACATAAACGGCAAATTAATCACCAATCTCGTCCAGGAGAGCGGTGTGCAGAAGCAGGAAACTTACATCGGCGAGATCGGGGCTGTGTTCACCGGGCAGCGGCGCGGCAGCGCCCGGTACACTGTCAAGGTTAGGTTTACGCCCGCCCGCATTGTCGTCAACGCCAACCACACCATGCTGTGGGACGCCAAGAGCACCCTCCGCCTCGGGGAGGTCGGGGTCAAAGTGGACCGGCGAGCGGCCACTGTCTCGCTCAGGAAGGACGTGGAGTTCACGGTCGCGCGGTACACGGCCAATCGGGACAGGCCCGGCTTCCTGGGCTTCTACCTGAACGGCGGGGCGGAACTGTCGACCGGCGCAAAAGGACTCATTGGTAAATACACCGCCAATGACATTAATGTACTCTCAGTGCCATTAACTTATTACTGGTGTGGTCAGGTAAAGATCAGTAGAGTTGCTTTGCCGCTGAGTGGATGGAACTCAAACTTGGATCATCTCATTTGAGCAGGGATGTGGTTCTACAGACTTTCTTTCGGTAATAAAATCATGACTCTATCAGAGTTAAAGATATTTGATCTCGGAACTCTAAAGAGACCTGCGGATTTATGCATTTTCACAGATTGCAAGAAGCCTTAGATAGGGGAAAACTTCCAGTGCATGGACTAAATAAACCATACGGCACTCGTACCAGGCGGGACGTGAACCAGAGTGACAAATGAGGACAGCAAAATGCCCCAGAGGCCGAACTGGGTGTGACGTTGAATATCCTGACTCCCTCTGAAATAGTTACATTATTATAGTCTCAGAATCGTCACAAAACTCTCCGTATTTTCCTCCTTTATGACCCTTTGCAGTTTAATAAGTCGTTGCTTACTTTTTTATATCTCCAGGTCAGTTCCGACGAAGTGACTCGCAAATTTCCATAACCCACAACCGACCCGTCAGTGCTGACTCTCAGTCTTGCAGCGGGCAGGCAGAGCCAGCAACTGGAGGGCAGCCGGTCTTCAGTGAAGCCGGGAAGAAGAAGGTGCATTGTTGGGTAGCCGCGCAGATTGAAGCCGAGGAGGGCTTCATCGAAGGCCAGTACGGCCAGTATCTGACGTCGGATGTGTTTGGGGCGTTTTAGGCCCTCGACGCATTTGTGCACACAATAATTAATTTTCCTAAAGTTGGGCTTCTTCTCTCCAATTTTATCTCCACCAGTCTTTTGAGCAAGAATTAAAGGACTTGAATCATGACAGTATAGAGCCAGAGACGTAAGACAAAATAGTCAAGGTTTGAAGAAAAAAGTGCCAGAAACTGCAGACAATTATACGCCAGTGTAAAATATATACCTTGGCCTTTTGCCATGAAACGCAGGAAGGGTGTATGTTTTCCACTAATAGCTACATGTACATGTTTTGTCGAACAAAGCTGTCCTACATTATTAAGAGCCAACATGCAGTAGACCAGAAGTAACTTTTAAAATGCCGTTCAATCAAAATTCTGTTGACTGCAGATTGAAAGGAGAATTGCAGATCAACCACAACTATTCTTGTTTCAGTCTAGTTTGGGGATACTCAAGTGACAACAAAACTTTCGTAGCCCACATGGGATATACTGAAATAACTGGCCCTGTTTATAATGCATTTAGTGTCAACGTCACATTTCTTTTGCCAGTTTAGCCGGAATGAAACAACATAGACTAGTCTGATGACCAGAATTGGAAGCCACCAACTATGTGGAGGCTCAACGCTCATGGTCAGGTCGTACGCGCGCGTTACTTGCCTCTTTGACCAACTGGTTGCAGTGATTTGCCAAATGCGCACGCGCCACAAGTTAATCCACCGTAGTGATGGCGTCCCCTTAGATCAGTCTAGGGCATTCGGCAAAAATTGACCAGCGGTTGACAAAATAGTCTCCACTCGAACCTGCCCCTATATGTGACATAACCACGATTTGCGCCAGGCATTTTTAATGTAATACATCGTCTTGATGTGTTCCCTGTGGTGTGTTTTTATTTCCTGTCATTCCAAATTTTAGATGGTGTTTTCGTTTATACCATACATGTATTACAAGTCAGTATGTCGTTTTGTATGCCTAACTAAAGCAAGTTCTACCAGCGTTAGGTTGATATTTCGAGTTAAAGATTTTTTTGGCTTCATTTCTCTAGTGGTGAAGTGCCTTTTATTGGACTACATTCAGTTATCATTTCATGGATTTTTATCGTTCTGTGTTCAACTTTGCACAAAGCAGAGTTTCCTTAAAAATTGATGAATGGAATGCATCATGCATTTTATCACAGCGACAATAAAGCCTAGAGACCTCTGCCAGCCAGATACATGTAACAAGAATTAAAGAAGTCTCACCTTTTAGTACGGAATGAGAATACAGAAATGAATCGCTTGTTGTGAAATTATTGTTCACTGGCGTACTTTTTTATTTCCAAAACTCCAACCATTTTTTTTGGAGTTCAGCGGTGGTTCAGAGCAGTCCATGTGGAAAATAGAGTTCTTGGCAATAGAGCGTTTCTAACTATTGACACAACTCTGGGAAACTTTTCAAAGAAACCACATAGGGGAGAGTCGTCAGCTTACTTTGTTCGTTAATACGGTAACAACTTGAATACCTTGACAAAGAGAATCATTTCAGTTTTCTGAAATGATCTGTTGACACCACCGGGTCACGGTTACACTTGACTGGTGATTGATGAGATTTCACCTGCGGTCACAGCGCGGGAAAACAAAAAGCCCACCCCACATCTAAAGCCACAAAGACACTCCTCTGGGGGACCAGCGAAGGCTGAACAATGGTCTCGCGGCTGAACCTGTTGTTGGCCATTCATTTTCCCTACATGGTTGGCCGACTACCGGGTATTTCAGGTGTTAGGTGGACAATCAATTAATGGCAGTTGCTCCCTCTACATTCAACTGCGCAAGCACTCATTTCTGATTCAGAAACAATGAAGTAGTTTGAACGCTAACAGCATCAGCGGCAGAACTTTTATTGTTCTATTTTGTATCATAAAATAAAACCTGGTCGCCGATTCCATAAAAGAGTTCTTCAGCGGCAGCAGAAACTCCAGAGGGAGTGAAAACGCTTCCTGCAAAAGCCATTTTCACTTGAATTGGTCTTTGATGACACGCCGTTTCGTGCATTATGCACTTCGTGAAATGTAGCATTTTTGAGGTGTGAAATTGTCAAGACCTGTCATACCCGTGCAGAAATTGCACATTCTTTTAGCAGTAATCCATGAGGTCAGGAAGGGGACGGAATTACTTTATCGTCGCCCTCGTCGGCCGCTGTGACATATCGCGGATCCTGCCCAGCGAACGAGAAGGCGCTTATAACGCATTCAGATACTGTCTTGTTTGGCTTAAGAAGCTTAATCCCCATACGGTGAGTGGAGTCTTGCGTGTGTATAAACAGTGCACGCATGACAGGATTCAGTAACCCAGCTTAGGTTATTCTTCACTGTGAATGGACCGAGTCACAAGTACCGTAGAGCATTGACGTTTTGCTGCATCTCGATTACTGTGCCCCCCCATCGCTATACTGTAAAGAAACAGACAAAACGATCGTCTTCGCACACTTCCTTGGAGCGGTTTCACCTACAGTTCTTTGCCATCTTGATCGAGCCAGGACTGGGGGCCGTTAAGATGAGACGACTCGAGGATGCATCTGCCTTTGGAATAGTGGGAGTGTTCCTCCTCGTCCTAGCGCACGCAGTCCAGTTTGGTCTGTCTGCACCGTCGGGTAATAAGGAATGGACGGTCACTGCTAACCAGCACTCCAAGAAGTATCAGGTTGGTTGATGTCCATAGTTCCTATACAGTCCTTGTAGCGGTAACAAATTTCAAGGTCTTTCGACAGTGGACACAATGGATACACGTTGGGGAGGGATATGGATGGGAAAGGGTAGTAAGGCAACAGTATAACGTGGCCTATTTTCTTGTGAAGATATGCAGACGCACAGAGTTAGGTTGTTCATGTAAATTTCATAATTAAGCCATACCACGGACGAACTGAGGAATAGGCCCCACCAACACCTGCCTGTCTCAAAGACACTTGTCAAGCGAACCAGTCTGTATTCTTCGAAACCGTTGTCGTCCGTTCCGTAAAATGGTAAAATTAACATACGACAATATAAATGAAAATAAAAAATCGCGTCTATGCAAGCATTTGAAGTCTTGTTTAACCATCAAGAGTTGTTGTGTAGTGACCGAAGATCTTCACAGAAAAACAGGAAGGGTCTGTTGTCAGACCAATTTTCCTTCCATCTTTTGAAGAAGGGATCGATTGAGGTTTAATCTTCTCTCTCAAAAATCCTGCAAAAGTTTTAGAAAGTACACAGCGTGGTTATAGAAGATTTAAAATAGCAAACTGTGCATTGTTGCTTAATGATGAGCCTGTACCACATTTCAATTCGCGGCACAAGGTTCCCTTTGGCACTTTCAGACGAAGGGACAGTTGCCTTCCATCGCATAGAGTAGGCCTATATATACACAGTGGGGATTGTCATTTAGTGTCTAGCAATAACACGTTTGCATCAAGGGGACAAAATGCCCCTGGAGTTTGACCAATGGGCGAGCAATACAGTATAAAACCTCGTGTATGGAATCAGATTAAGAAAATACTTTTGGAATATATGGACATTTGTGCTCGCAACTTAGTCACAAGAAGTTTAAGTTCTTTTACACGAATATCAGACAAGGGGTTTGTACATTGTCGAGCACTTGCACCTTCGGCATTTATAAATGTGTAAAAAATGGATGTACAGTGCACTGATTCTAACAGCTTATTGTTGCCATTCATTGCCAAAATATCAGTTTTAATGTTAGGAATGAAATAAGGATGACTTCTGTGACCTTCAGAAATATCGTACTGAATTTGCAAACTGGTAGAAGAAATATATTGGAATGTAAAAAAAAACCACCCGTTTTGCTATAGACATTAGAACTCCCGTAAGATAATACGACTGAACTTCAGATTAAGTTACAAATCTCTAGAAAGACTGGTCTGCAAATCATGAGAGCATGCTCTGAGTTTGATTAACGACTTAAACGAAATCTGTAAGTGTAAGAATTTCAACAGGGCCTCATGTTGGCTTTTGTGACAACGACAACATTATCTACGGGGTTGAACACGGGGAGAAATCAGAAATGCTTTGTGGATGCGATAAAGGCCCTGAATTACATGTAAAGCGCCCCGGGATGTTTGTTCAGTTTATGTTCCCGTGAGTCACACGACAACTGCACAAAGACCATTAGTCCTTTATGGATGACTCGTGTGCAGTGTGACTGAGTGGCCATGACTAGATTATACCCCCTACCACTCCTTCAGATTCTAAGAACTTTAAAGTTGTGGGCTAGTCTATGCATGTAAAGTTCTATTATCAGAGATGGCGAATGGACTTCCGGGCGTATTTGCGGAATCGAACAGTGGTTTTTTTTGTTGTTTTTTTTGCATAAATATTGACAGAGCAAATATTTAAAAAGCAACCTTTACCGCACCAAGATTTTTTTAAACGTGTGCCCAACGGCAGTATTGCATGTATTTTCAACCCAGCTGAGTGGAGCAAGTTTCAATGCCTGATGCCGTACGGTATCAAACCTTCTTTTGTTTTGCAAATGGGAAAACCAAGCCTTATAAACTTCACGGCGCATTCCACCGCGTTATTATCATCAAGATCAACGAAATACCGGGCTTTAGTAAAATCAGTGTCATGGTGACTGGTTGAATGGCCGGGGATTATGAAAGTTTGGCCTTGGTGAATAAATTACTTTGTCACTCTGTCGAACGAAAGGGGGGGTGCCATTCTTGCTGACATCTACATCAATCACAATTCATTGTCAGCTTCTGACACTTGACTGAGTGGTTTGGCGTATGTAGTGTACAATGTACATGTACATGCGGCATTATGCGTTTATGCCATTATGGGTGCCACAGTTACCATGCAAGCGGGGCAAACATTTTGTCATTTCAAGGGAATTTTGGACATAGAAACGGTTACCTCGCAGCTGACTGTGATTTCATAAAGCAATGGTGTGGTTGACGGGATGCCACACTTTCCAAAATTCTTTTAAATTTTTACCTAAAATAACCGGCCGAAAGGACATTTGGCCTTTATATATTTGTCGCAGTATTCCGAACCGCTTAATCTGAATTGTTTGCATAGCAATCAGGAAACATCAGTCCCTTTCTCAGATATGAATTCAGTAAGTAGATTTTACGTTCTTAATTTAAGCTAAGGTAAACTCTTCCAAAATAAAATCATAACATCGATTAATTGAAATCCTTTTGAAGAATGCATGTGCTGGAATCTATTGCTTTGTGAGCTGTTTGGTTCTTTCCAGAATACCGGTAGCGAACCAAATAATTCTGACACAGCACCCCGTTACGTAAATGATATGCCATTTGTTTTACCAGCTTGCTACATCGTTGTATACTCTTCCACAGAAATTAACCTTTTTAGGCCACGATAAGTCAATTTGATATTTATATATGAATTTTCTAGTTATTGTAATTATAACCAACTTCATACAAATCGAAGGGCTGTAATGTTACTCATGTACACCTGTTGTTTTTGATAGGTGCTGCACTCGATTCGCGAGAGACGGCAGTCCGCGGTAAGATATACATAAGTGATATTGTGAAGAATAATTTTCAATTCCCAGACTCCATAATCGTCTCAATTAAGCTTCAGTTTCAAATAGCATTATGTTTAGAACTTATTGGTGAAAAAACTTTGGTAAAATGAATAAACAACACTTGCTAGTGGCTACGCCGTGATTTTGTTTAAACTTTGAAAGGTTTACATAAGAATTATGTTTCTTGGTTAAATTCTTGAGGTTTCCTTAGAATTGCAGATTTGCTCGGTAAAGTTTGGCAACAGCGTGCGAGGAGCCAATAACTTTCCAAACATGTGCCACTATCATGCCCTCACACAAATAATATTCTCTGAAAAGGGAGGAAGAGGGGTCGATGTACAGTTGTTCCAGGTGGAGACCAAGATAGCTGTCCGCTTCGCCAGCACCACCATTACCAGCCGTATCAACAACAAGGCTAGCGACTCCCAGCCGTTTGACTTCGTGATGCAGCTGCCGACCCGCGCTTACATCGCCAACTTCTCCATGTAAGATAGCGGAAAGAATGCAGTGACTCAGGGTAGTCCTAAATCTATTTTTTTGGAAGGGGGAGGGAACTCCAGTCTCAGTTTTTGTTAAGCTGGTGGGTTTATTAAAGCTGATGAAACTTTGCCAGGGGAGATGTAAATTTCAGTATCTGATTTTTATCACAGTTTGTGATACCTGGCTGCCTGGGCAATAGTGAATTCCAACCGGCCGGTTTAGTCAGGCAAGCCTGGTCGTCAAGTTAAGGTGTCGACACTAGCATGGAATTGGTCAGAAAGATATTCTTCTGAGTCACGCTTTGTTCAGGTCCCACCAGACCAAGCCTGTGATTTTCTCAAAAGCCGTGCTTTGGATAATGTTGGCGACCTGCAACAACCAAACAGCAAAAACAATTTGCTTTGACTTCGGAAATTTTGGAAGCTTCAAAATGCATGGTTGATTGACGCTTTTTGAGGTAGAAGGTTTTACTCAAATCTTTCCTTTTTAAACGGTACTTTATTTATGGTGCTACTCTGAGAAGGAACCACTTTGCTAGATTTTTTTTCCTTGTATTTTTTCTCAGGGAGGTGGACGGTGTGACATTCTACGGCAAAGTTAGAGATCAGTGTGAAGGAGAGGACGAGAACACGTTTGATGCGTCTGGCAGCCTGTCCACCGGTCGAATAACTGCGCTGTTAGTACCTCGAGTGTTACTTTCGCATATGCTTTATTATGATCTTTTTTAGACATTGATACAGGTTTTAAAAACAATAATAAGAATAATAATAATAACAACAACAAACACTTGTTAAGCGCCATCTATCTAGTAAACTATTCCAAGGTGCTGTATTATCATTATCCCTGCACACTGGGTTCACATCATCTAAACATTCCAGAAACCATCTCAGCTCCCTGGGGAGTATACAAGCCTGATGCTGCCATTTCGGCACAAACGACTAAACGTTACCGTGTCTGCCCAATTTTATCGAATTGGCAAACTTATCTTCCGAATCTATGGGACAAAGTAATTTCTAGTGTTATTTGTAAGCGATGGAGACATTTGAAAGAAAGCCAACGGTAAGTAAACAGATAAAAAGCCGACCATAAACATGAATGGAAACAATGTCAAAAGACACAGCATGACTTTGAAGACTATTTCCTTCTGATGCAGGGATCCTACCAGAAACACGTTCATAGTGACGATCAACGTGGCATCCGGGGACAGGGTGGGTGTCGTGGTGAACTACCAGGAACTACTGGAGAGGAGTCAGGGATGGTACACCCAGAAGATAAGCGTGAATCCCCAACAGGTAAGGACGGGTTAGGCATTATGAAACTCTGACCGTAGTACTAAACTAGTTGATTCGAAATCGGCGCTTTTTACCTCGTGTGTCATCCCAGGTTTGAAATGCGAAACAGGAGGAAAGTGGAATATATACAATATATGACTAATTGAAAAAAACATGCTGCAGACTAAAGGCGCATTTCCATATGAACGTTTTTGGGATGCGTTGCGAACGCGATACGTTTCACTTTCACGAACGCAAAAATCGACTCTATCAACTTAACACACATGTGCGATGTGTTCGGCCGTCAAAATTGTCCCAGGCGCGATTTTGGCGGACGCTTGGCGCAAGTGTTGATGCGCATATGGAAAGGCACCTTAATACTAGCATTTAAATGAACTGTCTTATTTTTAAAGTGACTTTTAGTCGAACGTAATCACTAGTTCAATCTCCATGCTATACATCATACATGGGAAATGAAGAATGATGGTATGAAAGTAATCCACACTGATAACTTGCACACACAAAAGAGCCTCAATTTGGTTTAGGAGTTAATATAGATTAATCATTACATTACTCTTGTCTCCTTTGCCTAATTGTGTAACTTAACCCAAATGGGGAATAAATTCAATTTTACAACAGGCCAACAAAACACTCGCTATATGCACGTGACAAGTTACAACACTGTTATAAAAATATGCAAGTATATAAGTAGTTTAGTAACATTGTGAGACTACCTGCGAAGAAGACTGCATTCATATGTCGCATGATATTTCGATTACAGACGGTTAGAGATTTCAGCATCAAGGCCTACATCACCGAACCGCAAGGGATCAGTAGATCAGAAGCCGGCATCATGCAGGTAACTGGAGGGGGCTCGGGCTCTGGCGGAGGACTGGGTACTCTGGCCGGCGCCGACACCACCTACCTCTCGCTGGACGAGTACCTCAGCAAGAGCGGCAAGTCGCAGGTCGGCCTGGAGTTCACGCCCAGTAGGCGGGAGCAGCAGAACTTCGCCGGCCAGCCCTCGGGACTAAACGGGGACTTCATCCTGAAATACGACGTGAGACACGAATTGGACGTTGGAGACGTGCAGGTAATTTGATTAAAAACAACAACAAAAACTAAAGTTGAACGAAAGTAAAAGACTAACGTAACAAATTATGATCACTGCATGATTATGATTTTTACGAATTTTAAGTTTTGAATTTTGAGTCATTTATGTGGAAGAAAATGACAATTTAGAGCAATGTTGATAAAATTGATATGCCATCTAAAACACATTTGGGAAGAACATTCTCAATTGTTCCTTTCTTGGTGGAGTTTCCTTAGTTCAAGAAGCCTCACGCAAATCCTTGAAAGAATGTTTTAGTCCAAGTGGCAGCAAAGGGGTGGTTCAAGAATCACATTTCTGAGAGGCACAACTTGTTGAGAGGGGGTAAAAATAATTTAAAATTTATTTAAGTACCGGAACCCTTAATGATCGTTCCGAGGGGACATATTGTAGCTTTTTATACGCTTTTGGAGTGAACGAAATAGACACCCCCATCACGTTTTCAATGTTTATTTAATCAGGCTCCTTTTGGGGGATTGCTCCGATTGGCCCCCCCAGATTCAAACTTGAGCGACAGAATTTCTCTTTGTTCTGTGCAATTTCATTCCGTTTATCTCGTAGTTTAAACTTGTAGTATAGTGTCCATTTGCTGGTTCTAATAATCATGGATACTCATGAAGAAACTGTGGAGTTATTCTTTATAGATGTGGAATGGTTCATTGTTATGACTTGGATATCGGAGGCAGCTCTTGAGAAGTACCTAATGATCTATCACACCTTCCCCTTAGACTCATTAACTGCTCCACTACATTGAAGGCATTCCCACAGAACCCGACACAGAGCTATTTATAGAGGGAGTGGCGATATAAGTGTCTCAGTTGTTGGAACCAAAATGGTGGATTATGCACCACTGCACGTGGACGATTAGCAAACTATAGCTGTATGCTAGAGTGCACACACAATGAACAGCCAATTAGGTTCCAAAGTCTGAAAGTGGCTCTACTCTCTCTATCTACAGCTCTGACCCGGCATGTCATGGGCGATTGATCTCCAGGTGCGACCTCATTGTTTTGAATGTGATAAATTTACAAAATGAGGAAACCAATGTCACACAATTTACAGGAAGTCAAACTTCGATGACGAGACCCTGAAATATGTAACACACTCTCCTCGATTTTCTATAATTGTAGACTTTTGGAGATGTCTTCGTCCATCACTTCTCCCCCGGCGGCCTCAGTCCCATTCGTAAGACCGTGGCATTCGTCATCGACGTCAGCGGGTCTATGTACGGTCTCAAGCTGAGACAAACCAAGGAGGGTCTGGCGACCATCATGGACCAGATGAGACCCAGCGATCGGTTCAATATCATCCCATTTTCAGATGAGGTCAGTCAAGCCAGTCCCTTTTTTTGGTCTCAGTACATGTATATCGTTATGTAACCGTCATGTAAAACATTGCCTCAAGTTAACTGTTTGGTACTTAACTTTTGGCTTGTTAAATAGGGGCAGATCATTTTATACATTAGGCTTTGCATAATGGGTACGCCGATCGACCTGTAAAGAAAACGTTGATGTGTGTATGAAATAAGCGATGAGTCAGAATGGCAAATCCACATGAATAGGTTTCTCTGAAAGTTAGTTCATCAGTTTCAGGTTTATTAATTAATACATGTAGGCCCATTGCCATTTTTAAAATGCTGATTCCTGTCTACAAAAATATGACCCGATTACCTTGTAACCAAAATCTTTTCAATGTCCGCATGAAAAAAAGGCTACAAATCAACTTAAACGGGTCTGCATATCACTGAATATGTCTTTTATTTTTCTTCACAAAGGTTTATTTCTGGAGGGAGGACGAAATGGTTGAGGCATCGTCCACAAATATCAACAAAGCCAAGGCTTACATCAGCGGTCTCGAATCGAAAACTGGTGAGAAGATCTGCCCATCCATCTTTAATTATTCAGCACAATGAATTGCGCTGACCTTAAATAAAACCTCCGAAATTTCAAGCCTGTAGGCTTATGAGGGACCATATTTACAGACCATTGGTTTGTGATGGTCGAGCCCTGATTTCCTGAATGTTAAGGTTTTTCTTCTACAGTTGCATTTCACAAGCATGTTTTGTCCTGTTTACATGCATGCAAGTCAAAGGGAACACCAGGGCACTGTTCAAAATCGGGACGGCAAAATGGATTATAAATGGAGAACTGTGGGATGGTTGAATATATCATAAAAACAAAATCACAAGAGTGTAAACTGGACGGTTACAGGTATTGGGTACTCGACACAACTATATTCCCAAATCGATTGTGACCTTACCGATGTTTCATATTGCTTAAGTTTGTTGGTTAGAAACTCTAAGCCATTGCATTCTACCACTCTGCACTCACGGTTACGCTACCAGTGTTAAACCCTTCCACCAAACTCGAAACTCGCAATAAATACCAAAGATCTAAACATGACAGGCCTACATGTTTTGAGAGTCAAGTCTATCAAATCCCTGCTGGCCAATCACAAGTCATTCAGTTTTAAGCCAAGTGGTCAGAAGCCATTTAATTAAACTGCAAGTGTTTCTTCGTTTTTTGTTTTGTTTTTTTTTGTTTTTTTTTCGCGGGACTTGTGACATCCTGCGAAAAAATTGTGATGAACTCGACTGCAACACTGCTGAAACTCTAATTATTCGCGTCCTCTTGGGACAAAGGTACGAACCTGAACGACGCCATGATGGACGGACTGAACCAGCTCCGTGTGGCCGGCGCCATGGACCCTATCTCGGCCAACAACCCGGGTATCTGCATCCTCTTTGTGCTGACAGACGGTGTACCGTCCAAGGGCGTGACCAACCCCCGCACCATCGAGCAGAACGTCCAGAGTAGCAACCAGGGCAAGTGCTCGGTGGTGACCCTGGGCTTCGGCGCCGATGTGGACGACAATTTCCTGGCCCGTCTGGCTCTTGGGAACTCCGGCGTAAACCGGAAAATTGTTGAAGATTCCGACGCTTCTGAGCAGCTCATTGGTAAACCATTCAAAAAATGCCGTAGCTATCCATTACAGAGCAGAATTTGGAAAAAAACATATTTATATCGTGAGTAAACTCTCCAAATAAACTCCAAATACTGCTCGATCATAATGACCCAGAATTTTGATTTGGATTTGCTTGACACTCTTTGGGATGAAAAAGAGCCCATTTAATTGTAAATGAGCTGGAAATGTCATTTTTGTCCTGGAGAAGAACTCCCCTTGACCTAGAAAATGACATAGTAAATCCGGATTCTTGATCAATCTAATCCGGCTGTTACTAAGTTTACTGGTGTAACACTTCAACCACAGCGATTGGCCTTCCTGGTGTATAACACGATTTTCCCCAGATTTGACAGTATAGTAAAGGGAATGATGAAGAGAACATCCATCGTGCCCATTTGGATGATGACACAAGTGATCACCAGAACATCTTAGCCGATCCGGGTTTTCTTGTGGTTTGCCACAGGCGTGTACGATGAGGTTGCCACGCCTCTCTTGGCCAACGTCGCCATTGAGTACATGGGCAATGTCGTCAGCGAGGAGTCGCTGACCCAGACCTTCTTCCAAAACTACTTCGAGGGCTCGGAGTTTGCCGTCAGCGGCCGCCTGGCCAACCTCCTGGCGGCAAACTTGCCCATCAGAATCACTGCTATCAGTGCCACCGGGGAGTTAACCATTGAGGAGTATGTGCCGATAGGTGACGTAAGTTTTTCATTGCTGCCTATTTATGTTTATACATGATTTGTTTGTGTATGTGGTTTCATGAGTACAATTATTTTATTAACAGTAGTTACATTTATTGAGAGCATCATACGGGTAGGCCATCAGATTTAGTGACAAGTTATCTGCGACTCTATTCATCTTGAGTCGCAAGCCATTTAAATAACCTGTAACAAGGTAGTCAGTGTTCACCAAAGGTCATGTGATGTTGACATTCGATGTTCACCTGACACATAGTTTGACTGATATGATATTGACTAGTTTACAACTCTATAAAGAGGTGTATACATCGTTCAGAATGCTGTGCCACCAGATGAGCTATAGAAAGTTAACATTCATTCATTTTCTCTCGTGCAAACATTTTTAAATACAACCCAACTATTATTGCATTATTTTATCTATGGCTTCTCCTTTACTCAAAGAATGAGAACCATAAATATGCTAGTTAACATGGTTAACCAAATAGTTGTTGTCGCAGGACATCAATCAAGTTTATTAAGAAGGCCTGGCCTAGTGATGCTGATACGGCCTTCAAAGTAACTGGAGTACATATGCTGACGATGCTGTTTGCAACGTGCGGTCTGACAGCCAGTATACCTTTTATATATAAGATTATGTCATGCAAAAGCCTGCAACATTAAAACTTGTAAAAACTCCCTTCACAGGGTACAACATTAATGTGCTTGCTCTTGTAGCATGCGTAGATGTTTTGCCTGAAAAGATTAGAACTAGAAGGTCGTTGCTTTGTTTATGAAACAAATGGCTCCTATTTTGGTTTGAAATGTGCTGGTAAATATTGATAGATCGATATCAGAATTACTTTTGTTAGACATTCCAACGCAACAACGCAACATTCCAACAGCATCCCAGAAACCACATAGTAGTGTCAATGTTTCGCCATAGAGCATGCCGCACTAAAGTTGTAACATTAAGTAGACTGTGGACTGTAATTTTGATGGATGCTTACGATTCCCGTTAACTTCTGTAAAGACAAAACCAGCGGTCCTGATTAACTCTGAGAACGTACCGGAGGGCTTTGCCGAGCGCACGGCCGCCTTCATTTCCCTGGCCCAGCTCTTCAACCAGTACACGGTGTCCAACGATGCCAACGAGCAGCGAGTGATCATAGCCAAGGCGCTGGAGTTGTCCCAACGGTACAACCTGCTGACTCCGCTCATGACCATGACATTCGTGGACTCGCCCCCAGCGGCAACGGGCGAGGACAGCGGCGGCAGCGGTGGCAACACCGTGGCCGTTCCACCGGGGCTGCAGTGGGGCATCCAAGGACCTGTGTACGGGCAGCGAGGCAAGAGCGACAGCACTTTTGGGATTGGTGGCAGCGCGTGTATTGATCCAAACACAGGCACAACTCCTGAGGTAAGTTTCTGGTCTTTGCGAAATCTCTTTGATAAAATAACTGAAACAAACCGGCGCAGCATTTACTCATTTCATATTTACAAAATAGAGGCAACACCTTTTAAAGATTAACTGTGAAAGATCTGAGGTGCAGATTCCGCGGCCTCTATCTACATTCTTTTCCAACGTCCTCGCAATTGACATTTTCCCTAAGCCGAGCTTCAAGGAGTTTTTCCAGTAAAGTTTTACACTTCATCGATGCCTTCATAATAAAAAAAACCTGCAGGATACAGGATAAGTTTTAAAAGTTCAGGCATGGGAATGTTAAGGTCTTGCCGTGGGATGGAATCGGCTCTGAGATGATAAAAAATTAAAACGGAAACCATTCTTTAAAAGGAAGTCTTGTTGAAGAAGTTCCTCCAACCCTCTGCTAGATCACTTTTTACTTGTCCACCCCTATGACCCTAAATAAGGGCGGAGCCTGTGACCTATAACTGGAATGACTTGACTCTTCCTCTTTTCCCAACATTTGTTTTACAAAAGATTTTAATAAACATCGGGAGACTACACATCAACTCTTTCATCACCGACCGGTATGCCAGGACCACTCTGAACGGTGCGGTAACCAACCGTGCAACCGATCGGCAAGACGTGCCCTTCACGCTCCACATTCCACCCGGTGCTTTCATTTCGGAATTCTCCCTGTAAGTAAAGTAGGGTCGATATCAATGTCCATGGATTCTGCTGAGGAACTTTCTCTTTAGTAGTCATCTGAACCTCAGTACATGTACAATGTACTTGTCAACTACATTGTAGGGCTGCCAACTCTCACACACTAACTGCGGGACACATTTCAGGTTCATTCCCACACTGTCACTCCCATGGGGATTCTCACACTGAAAAAACTCCGAAAACAATGAAAAACAATTCTCTCGGCACTTCGATTTGCCGTACATGCCTGTAAGCTTCCCTGTGGTGATTGAACACTGGATCAACCGTTAGAGGCGATCGGATATTTGCTTTGTGCGCGTATAGGAAATGTGCGACGGTGTCTCAAACTCAGATCCCAGGCGCCGGGACTAAAAGGTTACACTTAGACTTAACTTGCACTCAGTCTTGGCAGCCCTAAAATATTGTGGGATTTTTCACCGTAAACTCTGACTCAATCAGCACCGTAAGCGCCAGTCACAGTGACCCACACACTTCAGTAACGATGAACAACAGACCAGACTTCCACACATCGTCAGAGTAATCAGTAAAATTAATCTTTGTATTCACTTATTCTTTTCATTTTTAGAGAGCTGAATGGGAAGACTTACACCGGCAAAGTGGACGACATTCGGAACACAGATTGGCAATTGGCGTTTGCGTCCAACACAGACGGGCGACAGGTTGCGCTGGTGACTAAGCGGTAAATATAAAACAAACACAGTATTACACAACTCCTGAATAGATTTCCATGATATGTTGGTTGTTGAATTATTATTCATTTGTCACTGAATTATTCAGTACCACCGTATACCTTGATATAACGGAGTTTTCCATTTTCACTTTCAATTATGCCAAGTATTGTTTGATTTGTTGACTGTGCATGTACAGCTTACTTGTCCAAGATGTTTTTTATGCACAAAACTTCCTGCTCAGAATCTTCAATGCAAAAATGTACCGGTAACTACTCTCTTATGAAGTAACTTTGAAACCTTTCTGTCCTACTTGCACATTTTTCGGATGGGATTTGATGTACTTGTTTTCAAAGTGATTTGTAGATTGGATTGTGCAAAAATACCTTGTCCCAGCTTTAGTTTCTAAATCGTATATGAACACATCAGTTTACTTTCTGTTCGATTTTAGGCTATATTGTTTGACTGTCTCTATTTGTATTATGCGCGCAATAACATGACAACAGTAAATACCATTTTCGTGAAGTGACATTGATTCCACGGTGAATATATTATATTCCCAGAGACCCTACTAAGGACACCTTCACCATGCGTGTCTTGGGCGTGGCTCCCCAGACTACTGTGACCTTCATCCTGACTTATGACGAGCTGCTGGAGAGGAGGCGGGGCGTCTTCGAGCACCGGCTCAATCTCTGGCCGGGCCAGGCCGTGGAGGATCTCCAGTTGGACATCTACATCACCGAGCCCCAGGGAATCAGCGACATGGACCTCAAGTACGTCCCACGTGTGTCCGAAACCGACGAGGAAAATCTGCAGGTAAAACGGAGATTGTTCAGGTGAAAGGTGCTCTTCTTTAAACGTTGTAGAAAATTACGCACGAATGCAAATCATCAGTTTGGAAGATATTTTGTCATAAAAACAGGAACCATGCATTTCGCCTGACTTCGAAAAAAGGCCTCAGAACAAAGGACTTGAAAGGCAAAGTGATACCTTTCAATCTCTTAAGATTTAAGGGTGGTACTGAAATGGAAAAGAATTGAAAAGCAAAATATATCAAGGAGTCAAACGTTGGATGAAGGTACGACATACGCACTGCCGTGTTGCACTGTCCTAAATGTGCCGGTTCCAAAATGTTGATGATGTCTGTCTGCTTCGTAAAGAATTCTGTAAATAACGGAGTTTTTGTTTTAAGTGAAGAATATGCAACTTAAGTGTTCATATGCTGTTATCAGAGCTGTTAGTCCCAAATTTCCATCAATACGTTAGCACTGTTTATATTGACGCAGAGCTTGATTCGGCGTAGCAGTGACTACAGGGCCCACGCACACTTCGCCCCGTCGGTTGAGGATCAGGTAACATACACGCCTGACGGAATGGCCGGTGATGTGGTCTTGGAATATGACGTCATCCACACCAGAGAAGGAAGTTATATAGAGGTAGGCCTACGTACATCACACCCAAAGCATGCGAATTGAGTATTTTTTTTATTGCAATGCCCTAGGAAAATCAGGTATTCCAAATAATCGATATTGCTTCAATTTCTGTTGATCAAATTTATATACGTCTGAGCGCCTATTAATTTTGAATAAACCAGAAAGTGAAATCCTGCAAGAACTTCACAGCAATTGTCTAACAAATTCATTTTGAGGCAACACGGACACATAATCCTTTAAATAACTACAACATGCAAATTTAAAAACAAGTTGTAGATATTTATTCTTTAAATTAAATTTCCGTTTTTAGGATGAATCAAAAATCTGTGAAATTCATCTTTACGTGTAGGCCTATGCATGTAATTTGCTTTTATGAAATACTCGTGGAAAACTCAGAAGTTATTTAAGGCCAAAATGGAATGTTATGTTGCGTGATTGGTTGCATGTAGGTCCAAGACGGCTACTTCACCCATTTCTTCTCACCGACGACCCTCCAACATGCTGCAAAGCACGTCGTCTTCGTCATCGACGTGAGCGGTTCCATGGTCGGCACCAAGCTCCGCCAGGTCAAGGAGGCCCTCAAGATCATCCTGGACGATCTCGGCCCCAGGGATCGCTTCAACATCTTGGTCTTCTCTGATGCTGTGCAGTACTGGAGGCGCAACGTGCTGGTCCAGGCCACGCGGAGGAACATCAACGATGCCAAACTGTTTGTGGATGATCTGATAGACCAAGGAGGTAAATTAACACCAATTTTTCTTTATTCCGCTTTTGTTGTTTTCAAATGTATAAAAAAATCTATACCTCCATGAAAACTGCACTAAAAATGCTACCAAAAATGAGTAAACCAGGTGCCTTCAGGTTCTCTCCACTTGCATGCTTGTAAAGTATGTGAAAGGTGTAATGATGTTAGTTAGTATTACACTGTAATGGTAAAAATTGGCTTGAAAGTTACGGCACAATATTTCTGTAGTTACAATTGTGTTGCGTTGCATTTTAGTTACTCTTACAAAATAAACCTTATCCAATATTCAAGTAATTTCCTCATTAGTTTGTACTCAGTGATTTCCAAAATGTAACGTAATCCTTATAGTATTAGATTTGAATTGGACTCAGCTAGAGAAAAGGATTTGAAAGAGTCATAGGTCTTGATGTCTCAAAATGAATACATGTACTAGGTTGTTTCAATGTGTGTATATTATGTTAAGCATTTTCACCATTACCTTATAGAAACCAACCTTGGTGAGGCCATCATTCAAGCTGACAACCTCTTGGACCTGCAGTCAGGCTCCTTCGGCGAGGACCAAAATTATCTCTCCATGATGTATGTGTTGACTGATGGCCAGCCGACCATCGGTATCACGGATCCAGACAAGCTCGTCCGTGCTGTCAACGCGGCCCTGAACAGGGAGCACGCCCTGTTCTGCCTGGGCTTTGGCCGCAACGTCTCCTTCGACCTCCTGGTCCAGCTGGGGCTCCAGAACCGCGGCAACACCCGGCGGATCCACGAGACAGCCGACGCCAGCGAGCAGCTGCAGCGGTTTTATTTCGAGGTGTCCCGGCCTGTCATCTTCGACGTGGAGATGATGTACGAGTCTGGGGTGTCCAACCCGGACGACCTGACAATGTGGCGGTTCCCGTACTACTTTGACGGATCGGAGGTGTCCGTGTCTGGGAAACTCTACGAGAATCCGAGCTCAACTACACTTGAAGGCAATGTGCATGGACAGACTGCGACGGGAGAGTTGTATCGCAATACTAGAAAGGACATAAGGGTAAGATTGGATGAAAAGGTTAATAGCGACTCAGATTGACTAACACCACATGGAACTATATTCAGACCCAATTTTGTCATTTTATCGTGTCCCTTCGGTGCCCTGAATTCGGTTTCTTTATAGCATTTTTTGTGTTTCTTCAAGATGTTTAAAGTCTGAAGTCAATCACTTATGGTCTCCATATTGTTTTGTGAGCAATACTGTGAAACTATCAATACCATTTCGCATCCAGAGTTTTCAAAACTCTGTGTTGTCCAAATAATTTGTCTCCTTTGCAGTTTAGCCTTCTTGGCCCGATTCCTGCTATTTTAATTCTCTTGTCATGCAGCTACCGAGCTTTTGCTCAACGCCCTTTTTTTGAAAACGTTCAATGCCTGGTTTTGATGGCATATTTTTTGCAGTCATTATGCTCCAATATTTATGAAAATGGCTCAGCAGAACTAAACTTTCTGGTTCTTATAACTGTAAGTAATACAGGGACTACTATTTTTTTTGTTATAGATCACAGCCCCGGAACTCAGCCAGGACCATACCGTACCAAAGGTCGTGGAGCGCATCTGGGTGATGAAGACCATCCAGGACTTGATCAACCAGTACGCCATCACGGAGAACCCCGCCGCACGCCGGGCGCTGGCTGACAGAATCGCGCTTCTCGCTACAAGGTTTGAAGAAAGGCCGACAATATTTTCAACAACACTGATTTCTGTAGACGCCGCAACAATGATAGCTCTTTTAATACATGTATTGGCAAATTTCAAAATAATCCAGGCTTTACCTTACTTTTTATCTGAGTACTTTTAAAAGTTTAGGGCTAAATAAGCACAATATCTTAAAAAACGATAATGTTCAATTACCTTCACAAATTTTGTTTTAACACCACACAAGTGTGTATAGCCACACACGATTTTGTTGTCACGAGACTATACTAAAGACTAACATCGTTTGCCATAACTCTGTATATGAAAAACCACCTATTCCACAGAACATAATCATAGGCTGTAAAAAGCTTTCATTTTTACCAAAAAAGCGTTGGACTGAATTTAGCAAGGATATTTAGAAGCTCTGAACCAGCTGTGTCTGTGTGCTCTTTGTAGGTACAATTTTGTGACTCCACTCACCCCGATGTTATTGACGGACCCTGACGATGACCGGCCCATCACGGATAACAGCCTCCCCCCACCGTCCATCCTGCATACCGGCACCACAATGGATATCCTCCGCAGTCTGCTGGAAGATCTACCCGGTAGGCCGATTTTAAGAACACTAAATTTTCAAGTGGATTCATTGCACTTGCTTTGAACAACTTTCTCTTAAAACAGACATGGATGAAAACTGATTGTGCTGTGCTTTGTGTTTCGACTTAGGCCTACTATTATTGTTTTGCCCACGGTAGTATTGCATGTCAAAGAAATGAGGCTTTTTAAAGAAGGTGTCGAGATGTTCTTCTTTTACTTGTTTTCACAGGAAAGCAAACAATTCCGGGTGTTGACCCACGACCAGATAAATTCAGCATTGCCACCGAAAGTTCTGTAAGTATAAAGATATGAATCAACAACGTATTTTGATTTTGTTGCATGACAACAATGTAGCTTTTGTAATTGAAGTAACTGAAAGCCCGTCTCCCACTCATGACATCACAGACGGACTGTCAACGTCTGACTCATCGTTTTTGCTACAGCATTTTCATTGCTCAATAGCAACTTAGTGTGAAAACATATCACGTCTAGTATCGAATCCCTTCAAACTACTAGTGATCTCGATCATCATGACACAAGTTTTCATCGGTGGAATGGAAAAAAATGAACGGCATGATGCTACCGGTGATTGTAACATCGAATGGTCATATAAACTGAGGAAGTACGTGTGTTGTCCTGTCCCTTCTAGGATGACATTGACACCAAGAGCTTGACTGTCAACTCCCAGATCGTGCTGCGATTTGCCACAACCACCGTCAGTTCCACCATGGAGAACACGGGTAGCAAGGCAGGATGGGCCGTGTTCAAACAGAAGATTCCACATCAGGCATTCATCACCAACTTCACATTGTATGCATGTATCAACTGAAATACAGACAGAAGAGCAAATACTATACTGTGGTCTTCATTGACCAAGATGTAAAGACAGAGGTTTCCATGGTACATTATTTTCATCCATGTCATGGCTTCTTTTAATTGATGATAGACGTTCCCATCTCTATTGACACTTTGAAACAGGACTTCGAATGGTAGAAGTTATCAAGGAGTTGCTGATGAAAAGAGCCAGAATGTGACACTTCAGCAACGAGGTGATCTGGAATTTGCCCGCGGAGGTGGTTTTATTACCGAGCTGTAAGTGCAGTAAACATGATTATGAGAAAATGTTTTAACTTCCAACTTCATACACAAACAGATAACTCCACAACTAAATATTTTTACTGGGGAGACTACCAGAATTGTGATCAGTTCCTTTCTGAGTCCGACAGAAGACCGAAATAGAACATATGTCTAAAGGATTTGGAATTGCTTGCACAGCATTTGAACACAGATGTGAAAAATGCCCTAAATACTCAAGTATATGCATGTTCTAAATCCAAGACTGAATCTCCAACTACAAAGCATATAGTCCTTTTATTTGACATTTGAACTTTATTCAGATTACATAACAGAATTACAACAAAGTACGAGGCGTTGACATTTGACCCAATTTTTTTAATTTAACAATATAGTATAGTCGCCCCGGATTTCCCCAGGAGTTAGAGATACAATGTACATGCTTATAATATCCGAACCTTGTCCATTGCATATGCATGTAGACCTGGGTACCCTTTGTGGTCATAAGAGTTTCCCAGGCAACAATACATCGAAAGAAAACACCACTAAATCCTGCAATGCTCGATTGGAGGGAAAAAAAGAAAAAACGATCCATTCATTTCAGGACATTGTAAAGTCAGTGAAGCAAGAGACTTGACCCGGGCACTGTCCCCGCTTTTGTATATCCCAAACAGTAGCAACACGCTTTAACTTTGGTGTTTTCTTGTGTTTCAGAGACCCAGAGAGTAAAGTCTTCGTCACATCAGTTAACCTTCAGCCTAGCATTACGGCGGAGTTTTCACTCACTTATCAAATTCTGTTACCACGACGAAGGGGCATGTACAAGCAGCAACTTGGCTTGTATCCTGGACAGGTATTTCTCGTCAGATTTCACAGAAAGTGGAAAGAAGTCTTCAGAAATGGAACTCTCTTCACAAGTTCTCTGTGATCGTTTTGTTCTCATATTGGTAGCTTTTTTACGGGTTTTATGGCTACTTCAGGAGTTTTCCAATCGTGAGATCCAGATATCCTCACTGCAGCATTTTATAGGCTTTACGAAGAGAAGTTTGGTTTCCGAAGTGAGGTTAAAGTCCCTCTACAAACGTTCTTGGGGAATAACACGGATATTAAATGCCAAAACTATCCCTCAACAGGCTTTTAGCATGCGTTTGGAAACAGGGAAGCTGGAATCTTTGGTACTGTGTTTACAATTGTACTTACAGTGTATTTACAGTTGGCAGGGTTCAAAAACAGATTGATTTGAGAATAAGAATACTTGGAAAGCCCCCAGTGACATTGCGTATTAAGCACTTTATTAGTGTTGAACAGAATCTGGTCCTTGATTTTTCTTCTGGGTAGTTGGTGACATGATACTTCTGCCATCTCTAGGAGGGGGACTCTTGTGATCTTTTGTGTCTGATTCCCCTGTGCAGGTTGTTGACAACTTACAAGTGGACGTCAGCATCACCGAGCCCCAGGGCGTGCACGCCGCCAACGCCTACCTGAAGGACCGATCATTGGCGGACGGCCGCGCTCAACATTTACTGCAGCCCATGACACGGGTCGGCGACAGCAAGCAGCGGGTTGCGTACCGGCCGTCACGGCAGGACCAGCAGAAACTGAGCGGAGATGGCATCATGGGAGATTTTGTGGTTGAGTATGATGTCAATCACTCCAACAACGCTGGGGACATTAAGGTTGGTAGATGATTAAGATAAAATCTTTCATTTCATTCACAAGGGAAGTCTTGATTTTACTGTCTTTTTACAACCACATTCATCTGTTGCAGAGCATATAAACAAAATCAATAAGTCATAACTGAACAATAGAATATAAAAGATTATGAATGTAGAATTAAATATAGAACTTCCTGTAATGCAATTTATTAATTTATAATTTTATCTCACAAAATGAACTAAGTAATATTTGGACTTGAGAAAGACATACAGCTTGTTTTAACAGATCTAAAAGCAAGAAAAGTGTTTTGTTACTTTAATATGTGAGATTGCCTTTGTATATCCCTCTTCTTGCAAAGATGTCATGTAGTTTTAAAATCATCATGGATTCCATTTCCAAATCATCTTTAGAATGAGTGAACGACACAGTTACTATAAATAATAAGAAAAACATGTAGCGACTAAGTAGACTTCAAACTGACAGTCACACCTAGTCACGATTTTTTCCTTGCCCTAGGTCCTGAATGACTACTTTGTTCAGTTTTTCTCCCCGAGCGGCCTGTCCGTGCTCCGCAAGCACGTCATCTTCGTCATCGACACCAGCAGCTCCATGGAGGGCGTCAAGCTGGCGCAGGTCAAGGCGGCCCTCAAGACAATCCTGGACGAGATCTCCCCGGGAGACAAGTTCAACATCCTACCCTTCTCCAACCAGGTGGAGTTCCTGGACCGCTACCGGATGGTGGAGGCCTCCAAGGCCAACGTGGAGTATTCCAAGTCGTACGTCGATGACCTGCAAGAGGTGGATGGTAAGATCATCTCTTACCCTCGTAGATTTCTTGAATATCCTACAGGAGGCTGTAGAAGGTTTTGCCTAGATTGAAGTTTAAAGCATTTTGCCATCTGTGTCAGTACAGTGGAGGATATGGGAAGATTGAGAAAGATTTCCAGGAAAAAGTCTGTTTAGAATTCAGGGCGAACCGATTTTCAGAAAAATCAAAATAACTTGTAACGACTGCTGGTATTGCAAATTGTTATCTCTGGACTTTTGTTGGGAGCACAGTCACATTTCATGAATTTCTAAATTGCAGTCTTCGTTGCCAGCTTCATTGTTCGCACAGTTGTGCCAGGTGAGTTTAGAAGGAGTAATGAAATAGAGATAGTCAAGAGTTAATTGCTTATATTTTTATATACCGACATTAATTTAGACATTTTTAGAAAGTTGTAAATGTGAGTTCAAACTGATGTAAATTTTGTGCATGCGCTCTGTCTCTACACTAAACAATTGTTTGGAAACTACGGGCCCCAGATGTTATAACAGGCTGGCTAATTCTTGTTAAAACAGCGAATATTAATGCAGGTATATGAAGACAGACCAGATATGTACTTGTGATGGAGTTTTTTTTAATTAATCGGTATTTGCTTTCGTAATCACCCGAGGTGTGAACCAGCTTTTAAAGTATTTTATGTTTTTGTGTACTCATTACATATAGCCACCAACTTGAACCGAGCCATCCTAGAAGGTGTCAACATGCTAAGACGGGAGGGTGAGAAGCTACGTGGGGAGGAGAAAGTCATCTCCATGCTGATCGTGCTGACGGACGGTGAGCCCACCTACGGCGAGACGGACACCCAGGAGATCGAACGCAACGTCCAGGACGCCATCAACGGCGACTACTCGCTATTCTGCCTGGCCTTTGGCGAGGATGCCGACTTCGCGTTCCTGAACCGGCTGGCCCTCAACAACCACGGCGTGGCCCGCCGGATACCGGAGAGGGCGGATACCAGCATCCTCCTTCAGGGCTTCTACGACGAGGTGGCCACGCCCCTTCTATATGATGTCCAGTTCTACTACTCGGAGGGTGTGGTCCCGAACACGCTTAGTGAGCGGTTCTTCCCTAACTACTTCAACGGGTCAGAGATTGTTGTGGTGGGAAAATTGGACGAAACACGGCTGTCCAGTCACGTCCTTCGGTCTTTTGTTTACGGGAAGACAGCAAGCGAGGAAATCTCTCTCGCTTCAGATACGAACACGATTGTGAGTAAAATCTAATGCCTCTGAATTGTATCCATTTCCTATAATTTAACACCTGAAAAACACCTTAAATCACTTGATCATTTTTCAGAATTACCAAATTTGTAAATAGATAAAAACAGAACGAGCAAACAACAAAAGCAACAATCGAGGGCATCTGTTTCTTCTTCAAGCTTGCAAGGGGGACGTAGTACCCAGGGCAAAACAACTGCAAATGCGAAGTCCGTAACGACGTGGGGTCCACGCTCCTTGAATCGTGATTTTTTGGGGGATGTGCTGTGGTGTAATCCGAGGCGATTTTGGACCACTTTACCCATGTTTTTAGCATTTTCAGACATCGTTTTAATGTTATAAGCATTTAATTAGCTGTTATGAGGTGTAGACTGAAATGTAAGCCTGCAGGGTCTATTTGGTAAAAAACAAGTGGGAGGGGGCTACCGATTGACGCCCAAGTCAATGATGTTAAATTTCCATGTTTTTTTTTTAAATGAGCACAGTGGTGCATGTCGGTGCATTAAAATACCGGAGTACAGAACCCTGCTTGCTCCATACTATTTCTGAATTGTAATGAATTTAGATCGCCCATTAATGAACACAGTATTTCATGGAAGAAAGTGTTGACCAATTTCGTCTTTGCAAACAAAGATTTAACACAGTAACATTTGACAAAATGTACAACATATGGAATATTTTGTACAGGTGGACATAGTTTGATTTAGAGCGACAAACTACTGGGCATTTTATCAGAGATTGCAAGTGGTACGATAAAAGCTGGGGGTATTTTTCAATCATTTGCATTGTTTTGTTTCAACTCAATAGGTCCCCTCGCGCGTTCTGTTGGACCCATCCATCCCCAGGGATCTGATCGAGCGCATCTGGGCCTACATCATGATTCAGACCCTCCAGCGCAAGCGGGCCCTCACCGAGACCCCCAGCCCGGGCATCCAGCGCGACCTGACCGACACGTCCCTCCGCTACGCCTATCTCAACCCGTACACACGGATGACCGTCGGGGAGGTGCACGGAGCTGCCCGGGGCCCGCCGGCCATGCGGGTCTGGGACCGGTCGCTGCCGTCTGAGGTCCAAGACAAGCTGAGCGTGGAGCTGAGCCCGCTGCCCAAGCCCGTCGAGCCGGAGCAGCCTACCACTCCCAAGGGAACTGGCGACGGAGGAAACGGTACAACAGGTGTTGGTGCGTATTCAGTTTGATTTGTATGAGCAACAACTTTAACATTTGGACAGATACGTATTCTCTTTGTAGCCTGCTTCCTATGTTAACATCAATTAAGTCATATAGGTTTGTTTCTCCAAAGAATTAGATAAGTGAAAAATTCAGCCACCGTCCATTCACCCGCTTATTTTTAATAGTCTTAACTGTGTTTCATCGTCCAAATCATAACTACGAATGTCATACACGTACACTTATTTGCCAGTGAGTTGGGACTGTACTAGACCCACTGAGCTCCTACAGGACGCATGCAAACAGAGTTACACGTCATTATACTGTGGGTCCATAACATTTGCTGATACAATGCCCATGCTTGAAAACATTACTACAATGGGGTCAGCGACACACTTTCAAGGAACGCCAAGCCGATCCTTTGATATACATACGATGCTCTATAGTTCACTCCACTTCGAGACCTTGCTGATAAGGTGTGGTATCCACAACAGCACTGTGTGTGTGTGGAAAGATGTATCTGGCTGATTGGTCCTAAAATGACTAATACAATTCACCTTGGAAGATGAAAAATATTAAATCAACTTGGGCTTTTACAAAGCCGCCTCTACTGTTTCATCACATTTCAATATTGGAAAGTCTGCCATTACTTTCTTCTTCCACAGATGGAGACCCCCACTTTGTTATTAACCTCCCAAAAAGCAACCTATCGTTATGCTTTGACATTAACGGTGAGGCCGGTGATGTATTCAGCTTAATCAAGGACAAAAGAAGAGGTACAAATGGAACACATTTTTAACCTGTTAATTTTTTCACTGTTATATTACATAATTATTTACTGTTTTGCTAGTACACGGATATAATGATACAATTTGAACGGAGATGGAAGAAGCGACTCGTTTAGGTGAAATGCTATTTTTTAAGTACAATTATGAAATATGTCTTTTTGGTGAAGTTGCGTTCTTTTACGGACTTTAAATTGTTTGGCACAGGACGGAAAAAGTTTGTAGATTAAGTGAAGCAATCATAGAAACAGTGGTCAATACTATATGAGCCCGATTCCAATTTTTGTTATAGGAATGCATTTTTAGTGTATGGGAATATTCTCACCCCGCCAAAGAGGAAAACACACTTCATACTCATCATAGTCTTTAAACCAATTTCATTTTCCTGCGTAGGTTTGTTCATCAATGGTAGAATTATTGCTAAGCCCCCTCCAAAGAAAGGAAAGCAGCAACAGCAGAAAAAACTAAAGACACGAACCTACATCGGCGAGATAGGCGGCGTCTACTCGCCACCGCAGGGAGGTAGCGAGTACGAGATGTGGTTCAACCCCACCGCTATCACCGTCAACGCAAACCACACGCTGCCGTGGGGCAGCAAGCGCACCCTGCAGCTGGGCCCGCTCCGCGTCAAGCTGAACGGCCGGCTGGCCGTCGTCGCGCTGAGGAAGGGGATCGAGTTCACCGTGATTCGGCACAAGATGCCACCAACCAACACAGAGAAGCCCAGCTTCATGGGCTTCTTCCTGAACGACGGCCGTGGGTTGTCGGACGGAGCTCAGGGACTCATCGGTAAGGGTAAAGATTGGGTTTAGATCAAAGCAAGCAAAAGCTATCCAAAGGAAACTAAGATAAATTCCTCGAATGGATTACTGAGTCCCTTGAATGGCACATCATAATTTTATGAATATCAAATGAAACACTGCCACCTTTTCTCTTCTCAAATGATCAGTTTGATCTATTAGGCATGTACAGTAGGTTTTATATTTGTTCCTGGAAAACCCGCTTTTCACCAAAGTGCCCCTCGTATTAAATGCTGACCCTACTTACCCTCACTCAATAGAAAAAAATCAACGGAAAAATATGAGGTTGAGAAAGAAGTAAAATTTCACAAGAACACCCACAAGTGCATGTTGAGGGATAATGATTACCAGCCAACCAGTCATTACTCTCAGACCAACTATAGTCAACCAGGCAATTCCCTTAGAATCACTATCGTCAGCATTCAACTCTCGGTACTTTTTGTCTACTCAGGACAGTTTCAACACGCCAAAGTACATTTATCAGCAACCGACAGCGGCCGGGGTAGCAGCGGGAGTAGGAGGGGACAGCCGGCGGGCCGGCAGGGTGAGATCACGATCCGCGGGCGGCGCATCAGCGTTCACGCTGGGTCGCGGAACAACGACGTCCGCAAGCGGCGCGTGGACTGCTGGATGGCGGCACACGACAGTGCCGAGGGCATCATCAAAGGCCACTACACAGATTACCTCATGTCTGATCTGTTTGGGACCATGTAAGGCCACCTTTTCGTACGCACCTGTTTGGTCCGTTCCGTATCTGCATTCGTTTGCAGCATTTCACTATCCCCCCATGTAATTTCAGTGAACTTTGTCTGCAACTTGTTCACACAGACAGGAGGTACACTGAAAATGCATAAAATTGAAAATGTGCCTTAAGCTGGCAGACTTGATGCTGTTTTAAGTGGGCAGAATACAAGAGGGTTCCAGTTTCTTTGTTTTTGAAAACGAAAGATACAGAACCCCACATACACATGTACACCCAATCGCTTGTGGAGCTGGGCTTGAGTACATGTATCATGAATTGTTAAGTGGGTGGGTGGGTGGGGGGATTCCGGTCCTATACCCCATGACAAAGCCTGGGTGCGCCACAGATGTCAGACGTCCTTGTGCTGTAAGCTGTACTGAACTTATTTTTAATTGAACTGTGACCAAGTAATGTAATTCTTGTTAAATATGTATACCTACATGCTTTTATTTTTATGAACTTCTTTGATCTGGATATTTACGCAATACCTTACCAATCAAGTTTAAATGTGGATCATTCTATAAATTTGGGGTGCTTTTATTTCACATATGTCCCGGTGCTTATCCCAACCCATCAGAGAGTACATCTGCGTAGAAAACCGTGTATCTTGCATGTATAATACAGTTAGCAGATCTTTCACGTCAACATCTGGTAGTTTAATGCACATGTACACTGAACATTTTTTTATACAAATAAATGTAAATTTTTATATATTTTTGTACTGGTGATGATTTTTACATTTAGAGTTTTAAGCGACCAAACTTTCTGCAACATCTTTCATTCTAACTTTTCTTATACGCTATTACTCCTGTACAGAGAACAATGTACATACGATCATAAGCCCGAGTGACATTGGTGATTGGTGACGAAAAAATCACAGAATCTCCCGAACTAACCATGTTAAATTTGAAAATTTAAAACTGCATACTTTCAAGATATACATGTAAGATGTCAAACTCCAAAGTAGTATTTGTTAAATGCAAATAGCATACTCTTGTGACCTTATACGCTCGCAGACATTAAGGACTCCATGTTACTATCAGGTTAAGGTCGGAAAAAGACCAATAAAATGTTGCACAATGGACGAAAAAATTGTCTCAGTGTTACTTTATTACTACATACACATGGGAAAATGACTATAGTTTTAATATATTTTACTTATAAAAAAAAGATGTAGATATAAAGAATCCATTTGATAAATTCAACATTGATTCTATTTTGGAAGCAGTGCACAAACACTTGTTCTTTTACCACAATGAAATATTTGTACAGTGTACAAGTAGTCGGAATTGACATTTGAATCTCCTGATCAAGGGACAAAATGTTGTAGCTAGTCCCCGCTGGTCTTGTCCAATCTTTCGCGATATTCAAATGAAATACACAGGGAATATTTTGGTACATTTACACAGACTGCAATTTGCCTCGAGCAGAAGCACCCCTTCATCGACTGAAGAGCCATGTTGGTTGGGTGTGCGCTGCCAACAAAAAAAAGCACTCGAGTGCTCATTTGTTTGGCACTGATGCGACCGTAAGGCATGCATTTCATAATCATTTGTGAACCTGCAAAGTTCAGTTTCGACCACAGGAGCCTCCATTGCTAAGAAAATTGCGCCCTCTCTTGGTCCAGCCCCCCCAACTCACAGCTGCCAAAGACTGTATGTGGTGTGTAATAAATACATAGTGTGCTGCATTGAATCTAAACCGCAGCATGGCATTACGGTTCCGGTCAGGCAAATTTTAAATGGCCTAAAGTTCAGCTAAATGCATATTCTGGGGGGCCACAGAGGCAATGTGGCCCGGTGCTTACGGTTCATGATTCATGATGAGAGGGTACGAGGTTCAACTCCACCTGCTGGCCTTTACTGTGTGGCCATGGGCAAGCCACTTCACCCCTACTTGCCCCCCTCCACTCATTTATGCCAGAATGTATAGTCCTTCGTGTGAGTGCCAAGTGCATGCAAGAGCTAAGCTGAAAAACTTCTCACCAGCTTGTTTCTCTTTGGCTGGTAAAGGTGCATTTCAATTCGAGGCAGACAGAGAGGAAACCGGAGACATAAAGCATACGCCTGTTGAACCACAGAGGCTCAGAACTGACTGAGAGTTACTCACTAACCGACTTAGGATCATAGTCCACAATTTAAAACATATGTATTCACTATTTAGTGACAATGGCAACAGACAGCGGAAACATTGCTGTGCAATGCCAAGTCATGCATTCACAACAGTTTTTAATGAGAAAAAAACAGAAATTATACAGCATTGATAGAAACTGAATTACAAGTACTCTTGGCTCAAGTGATTAGGACTTTTGAATTGACAACAGCAGTAAATGCTCTTCTTGATTACAAGTGCAACATCCCAGTTAATAGGAGATCTAATAACCTGCTCTTGGTTTGGACTGTGTTGATTCCGTAAACTACTTATACCTTCAGATACTAACTGAAGTACTCCAGGCTGAGTTTTGCTTTTTCCATCTCATGTAGGAAGGAGTAAAACTGCGGCAAGGAAAGCTCTGGAAAGACAAAAAAGGAAACAAGAATTCATGTTTCATGACAATTTGTATGACTTTGCTGAATCTTGGCATCCGTTTCTTTTCCTGGAGCTGATAAGCTAGCGCATCCACGTAATATGAAATAGGCCAGTTAGAGAGTAGTACATACCATTAACAGTTTTGAACACTTTTGTGTTTTAGTAGGAACTAAGTGAATTTGTGGTGGTCACGTAGATTTGGATTAAATTTAAAAAGTGTTTAATTACACGTTTCAAGACTTTTATATATTCCAGGCAACCATTCTGTCTCTATAACTGATCAATCAAGCCATCTACGGTGCTGTAGTGCTTTCTTCTAAGAATCTTGCATTGTAGAATTCTCAACATTTTCATCAAATAAATTGCCTGTTTTCATAAAAATAACCAACTTGATGATACATCAGAAACAGTTCATATTGTTCTTTCTAATGCCAATTTTAAACAGTGGTCGTCAGACTCGTTTTGTGGGATCCAGTCACCAGTATGTCATCTCCACTGCTCAAGACACAGACTTTAACGTTGACAGGTTGTGCTTGCTTTTCTGCAAAACCTGAGATGACTTTGTGCTTACCCATATATACATTTTCTGTCTTATTTCCCTTGTTGACAACCAGCTTCATCTGGAGAGGTAAAATAATAGTACAAAGATATCAGCTTTACAGCAGGACTTGGCATCGCCGTGTAATGCTGCCTGTGCTAAAAGCAAAACATCATTTGCCAATGACTACAGGTGTTCAAGTTTCACAGCTTGCAAAGTACATGTCTACATAGTTGAATTTTATACCTTTGTTTTTGTTTCTGTAATAGTCAACACAATTTGGAGTTCTGCCACTTACACTGGAACTGGAGTTTAAAAAAAAAGACTAGGAAGCGGTCCTTTGGGGCTGATGAGCATGTTCAGTATTGCAACAGAGCATGCTCAGAATGAAACCTGTCATTGGTCAATTCAAGAATATCACTGTGCGCAGGTCAGCCCCATCAACGTCCATGTACGCTGGCTCACACACATTGAACATGGCCAAACTGGCCTTGGCATCAGGTGCGTTGTTCTTTGATGACGTTGCTTGTTTGACAAATAGATTTGGCTAATTCTGTGACAGCATTTATAATGAAGTCCAAAATCATTTATCCGAAGTCCACTCCCAGTTCAATGTTCTAAAATGTGCCCAGGGAGGGGAATATTGCAGGAGAGAAGGAACGGTTCTGGACATTAAGACTGACCTGGAGGAAAGTACTGCCAACTTGCTGGAGCTCACTACTAGCTGCTGTCACTGTCAATGAATCAATACAGAAATCAACTGTAGAACCACACTTGCATTCACTACTGCAAGACACAGTCAGAAAAGAGTTCCATATACGAATGCCACTTAACATCCGTGCACAAACCCTATGAGACTGGACTTAAATATTCTAAGTGTTTTCTAAGTAAACAACTTGTTTTTTCCCCTCCTAAAGTAAACTTTTCTGGACATGGTTTTGCTTTTTAAAGGCTAATAGGTCATTGCAGGGAATAAGTACTGGCGTCCATATGTGCAACTCTTCCCCACGTTCATCAACTATCCAAACAGTGTGCAGAACTATATTTCATCAGGGTTCAACATGTTCAACCAAAAATATTGCCTTTCCTGAGTGAAGTCAGCATCACACAATCATAACATATAGGCCTATTTTTAACCCAATTTCTGTATAGACCAATTGTGTCCGCTAATGTTATGTGACCTATAGTGGGTGATACATATCAACAAACACGGCGTCCACCAAAAGGAAGTGTTTCATAAGTTTCATTTCCCAAAAATAAAGCAAATGGTAAGCACTATACTTCAAAGTGCTGGGCACTATACTTTAACCACTTCATGCCAGGGCATTTTTCAATGTTGATGATGCTGGGCAGGCATGATTATCATTTTTTCCGTTTTCAAAATCCTTCAAAAATTCATCATTAAATTTAACGGTCACTTATATCTGCACAAAGTAATCTTTAGGCACTACTCTAAGTTGACAGGTGACCTTCATTAATGCCCGAGTATTTCAGCCAGGCCTGCAGCCTTGTAAAAAGAGCCCAGATCGTGCGGTGCTAAGTAACTTTCTTTTGTTCACGAACCTGGCTCAGTGCACTGCTGACCTCTTTCAATAGGGGCCAGATTAGTGTGCAGCGGTGCTGTGTGGCTCATTGCTGCGGTGGTGGAGAGCTTTTGTCCCCAGTGGTAATCCGCTCGCTCTCAATGCCCCAAACACTGGTATACGGTTTCAAAACAAGGCTGGATTATCACCACTTTTGAGAGTGAAAAATGTTGGTAATGCCCAGCAGCCTGGTCTTTTGTTTGGAGTACGGTCTTTTGTTACAGGGCCCTGTTTCTTTGTCCGAGTTCGGAGACCCCGGCCACACATATAAATCATACGTCTCCGATTCCGGAGTCCCCGGCAGGAAGTGGTTAACTTGGCTGTATTGTTTGTAAACAACACTCAACAACGTACATTGCAATGGGATTGATACTCACTGTAGGTCATGTTATTTAGCGGGCACAATCAGTCTATTTCAGGATATTAAGAAAAGACAGATCTCATCACTGCTACTTACATCCCATTTGGAAATAAAGGCTAAATGAAAAATTCTTCAAACATTTCAGAGTGCCATAAACTTAACTCCACGATTGAAAGTACAAAGGCATTCAGCAACAATACATGAGTATATACATGTATACATGCACAACGCACATTTTCTGATCCACGTTAGGCACTGCACGGCCCCTGCTTGCTGTAAACACTATGCTGCTTTTGTAAACTTGGCTGCCCTCCATGTGCCTGCCTCACACATTCCTCTGGCTGACATGATCCCCCAAAAGTGCGCACAGTGGAGCATTTTTTGTGAGAATTTGAGTAGTTTGATGTTCCCCGCAGGGAATGAGTGATTTACTGTTTCAAGACTTAAAAGGCCAATGATGCTGAGAAGTCACAAGCTATTGAACAGGCTGGTCAAAGAGAGAGCTCTGCAAGGGCAATAAATTATAACCAATGCTAAGCCTGTGCCGGGGACAAGGGCACCCACCCGTCGAGACCAAAACTTCGTTTCTTTTTGGGGGCCCAGGTACCCGTAAACAATACCACGTATAAAATGTATGTGAACTTTAAACAGTGAAGGGCAGAATTGCTGAAAAATCATTGATCCAATGGAAAACCCAGTCCCACAGTCATAACTCCAATTCAGAGATTGACGGGGCTACTGTACTTTTGTTACAAACTGAAGCTAACAGTTTCGTTTAATAAAACAGTGGGGGAGATTCCTACCATTTAGAACTGTTACTCCCTATGCACAAAAAAAGAGCCCAGTTTCAGGCGCATGGTCCACTGGAATTGCACACATTGCCATCTGTTTAAAGTTTTCTTTACATTTTAAGGGTACATGGGTACCCGGTATTGACATAAAACGGGTACCCAGTTCCAAGATTACCCGCAAACGCACATCCCTGATCAATGCACCATATTTACCTCCAAATTTCCACTCCATGTCCACTAGCTGGTTGATCATCAGTGTCTGCCCCACTGCTGTCCTTGACAGACCAATCAGATTCGACTTCCACTTTATCAAGTAAAAAAATAAATAATCATAATTAAAATATATATGTAAATAAGAATAGCTGTAATGAATAATCAGTAGAATAATACATTTAACAGATGGAATGGGTCACCACCACTATTGCTACATTATATCAAATCACATTTTCTTCATAGCTGTGTCATATATACCGATATATATGTCATCCAAACCCACTCACATGTCATCAAGTTTGTGGCTGATATTAGTGCATTAAATCACAATCATATTTATTGACAGTAACTAATGAAAGATGATGCTCAAAGAAAATTCTGCAAATTTGATCAAAACGAGATTGAATTTTCCATATTACATGTATATCAATTATGCAACCATCCTGGTGTTTCTTTACGTGGCACACTATACGCAGATACAGGAGCCATCCTAAAGGGGCATGCTTCTGAAACTTGAAAATCAAGATTTCTACTATGAGTGTACATGTAGGCCACGCATACATTGTACAGGGCAAGTTTAGCTATTCCTCAAGACGGTTTTGAACACAGATTTTCCCAGTAACTACTGTTTAAGTTCTCAGTGAAATTATCAAGGCGTTATTGTCAGTTGTGGTGAATTAGGCACAGTGCGCACACTGTGGCCTAAATATGAATGACCTATTTAGTATTTTGTACCTGATTTGCGAGATGAGTTGCTCTCTCTTCAGACAGGCCTGCACAGGTATTAAAAGAATTAACATCACCATGAGTTATGTGCCAAGACAGATACTGCTAGGAACACGATGAGTGATGAAAGAACTGGACAGAATGTGGGAATCAAAGAAGCCTATCCCACAATGCATATCAACTTCCTATTTACATAACCTGCCTGACACCAGGTCAAATGACTTGATGAATAAGACCGCCGTCTCTGTATGGCATATTTTGTGTACAGCATAAGGACACTCCAAGACGTGGTTCCATGCAACTGTTTACACTCATTACTACAATCTACAGTGAAGTACACATACAGGGCTCTCCAAAGGTCATGGAAAATCCTGGAAAAAAATCCTGGGAGAAAAAAAGATGTCCTGGAATGTCACAGAAATTTCATGAAAAAATTGGGGAAAAAATCGGGTGTTCTACAATGGTTCTGTCAGAAGAAAAATATTGACAGTGTCATTAAATCCAGATCGGGGCATTGTATTTTTGATGGGAAAATGATGAATTTATAAGCTATATCCTTGTCAGTCTAAAGTCGTGGTGGCAGTTTTCCAGTTATAATTACGAACAACTTTTCTCGGTAAAATGATGTTAAAATCTTTATTGTTACATTCAAACTTTAGTGAGGGAGGGTTGAGGATTGAGTTTAGTTTGACTTTTAAAGCTCTTCAGAGGGGTTGCCTCTATGAACCATCAAGCTACAACATCAACACCTGGCCTACATATTCATAAATATTTCTTGGCCACAACACAAATCTAACAGTTCTCCACTTACCCAGACTGACTAGATCTTCTTCCAGCTGCGTTGGGGTCATGTTTCTTCTTACTGCATCTGAACAGAGATACACGACGGTTCACCTTACACGCTGATTCAAAAATGTGTCAAATAGTTAAGTTTTTGTGCTTTGAAACCTAGTGTTTTTTTGGGGGGGGGAGACCAACGATACAAAAACATGTAGCTTGAGAGGCTCCCAAAAAAACTAGCATCCTTGACAGCACTTTCCTCTCCAGTGTATAGCATGGATGAAGTGCCAAGCATATACCAAAGCATAAAAATGAACTCCGAATTGTACAATGTAGTTGCCTAAAGCCTTCTGGGACCAACAAAAGTAATCCACTGAACAGGAAACAAATGACATATTCACTTTTGATCTTCCTGTTCAAGACACAAGGATCAAGGAATGCTACTTTGGAGATATTGTCTCAAGACTGAGTATCATGTGAGTAAGCTCTGTTCTGTTCTGTTTTGCTGCTGCTTTGCACCATGGTGATGAGTTGGGCTGGGTAGTGTTGGGTAACGTGGGTTCTGCTTTGATTGGTTTGGTTTTGTTTGTTGTTTCAGGGTACGGGGTTGTTCTGTTCAGAAAGAAAATTCCATAAGCCTTAGTTATGCCTGTTATTGCAAAGGTATGCCATATCACCAGTATTTTTTGCATGGTGACTTTGGGTGTGATCCCCTGCTTTCAATGCATTTCTTTCCTTCTATCCGGACATCCCCAAACAAAGACAAAGATCAATTGGCAGATAGCTGAACAGCCAGTCATCAGCACGGTGCCATTCTGCTTGAATTCTAGTGGTACAAAGTGCACTTTGGTCCATTTTCCTTTTCTACGTGCCAGTCACTCTGAGTGACCTACTCACTATTGAGGATTGTGATGAGGCTTCGCACGATGTTCCTCAGTGGGGCGACGCTGACCCCCTGGTCCCTGGCAAAATCATCTAGCTGGCTGATCAACTGGTTGGACTAGAAAAATAAGATCGGACAAACAGGACAATGAATAACAGCAGCACTGGGCTCTAAAGACAACCTCCCACAGGTTGGAAGTTACATGTATAAATTAAACATGGATTGACATGAGATTCTCTGTGTCAATTTTAATTTGCACTCCATGTGAGATTTGTTCCCACTCCCACACACAAGAACACCCCAAAAGCACCAAGTAGGATATTCACATGTTGCTTTTAAAATGTTTCAAATAACAATTGAAATTATCCCCTCACAAAGTGAAAAAACCACCATTTGAAGAGATCAATCCACTATTGGCTGCATTAAGCTAGTACCAGATTCATACATCATTCAAGCATTTCAAAATAACTATCAGCAGTTTTCAACAATGACTCCAGGGTCCAGTATCTTGACTTGTCTTCTCTGAAAATTACTCTAGACCTACTAATGTATGAATCTCAACTTTCTCGGTTCCCTTACGGGTAGGCATTTAAGTCTTTACAGTTCTTTTTTGTCTTTTTATTTTTGTTTTTTTTCCAATACATGCAGTTATTCATATTTTATTGGTGTAATTTTCTAAAATGTTATATTTTTCATAACAGCAACAGTCTGGAAAATTGTTACAGCACAATTATTGTTTTCTTAAACAAGATGAGATCAACTAACTGATCCAAACTGGTCCAGTAACTGACATTAATGAACAAGTATGTGTATAGGATATATGAAAAATAACTTAAGGCCTCTTCACATGACAGCCTCTCAACCCAGGTTGAACTCAACCATGAACCAATGACCATCTAGGTTGAAAATTTGATTTTTCAACACTTGTTTTGTGCAAACTGAGATTATCAGGGTGAATTCAACCTGGAGACAAATACGGACAATTTCAAACCCTGGTTTAAAAATCTCAACCCTGCTCTGCAGCAGGGTTTAATTCAACCCGGGTTAAAGTCAATCTCAGAGTTAGCGCAAAGTTGAAAATTTTCAGGTGTGAATCATTGCCAGTTGTCAACCCTGTATCAACCCCAGGTTTGTCAAGTGTGAAAAAGCTTATGTAATACGCAAGGCAATCCTTACCTTGTCAGGTTCCAAGAGGAAGGCAATAACAATGGAAACTATCTCACTAAATTGCTGTGAATAAACAACACAACAGTAAGTGATACTGTGCAAAGCAATGTTCAGGACAAATTGCCCACAAGAAGATCACTGACACAAGTTTTTCATACAGTTGAGATTTCTTTTTTGAAAGTCTGAATTTCTCTGTTTACATCTGTGGTGAAGCATAATACCATGGGAGGGCCACATGGACAACTTAACCTACCAGGAAATTTCATTTTCTGATGACTGATACACCTCTTCAGCATGTTCAGGTAAAAATTAATGATTACAGGCCATGTGGAAGTCTTGCCTAGGCAGATATGGGTACAAGATATTCAGCAGTCATACATGTTATGAAAGTCCTCTTTGAAAACTAACTTGAGACCTCCAACTTGGCTGAATACTTCAAGTAAAACTTGAGAAGTTATTAAACTTCCGAAGTCTCTCAACACTTCAAATTTATGTTGGCTTAGGACAACTACATGCCTCCCCCAAAATAGGGTCGGTAGGTCTGAAAATGTTTCTTTGGGGGATCAATTTTTTTGTGCTGATTGAATGTCATGAATGGGGATGAAAGCTATCAAAAATTACTGAAAAAGGGATAAAAACTTGCCTAAATCTATGTAAAAATGTCTACAGTCAACAATTTTTAAGAATTACCGACAATTTACACCACTATACACAACACTTGTCAGGTAATGAGGGTGGCAAACTGGCCAATAATGTCTGTGTATCGCTCGGTATGCATCCTTGATGCATTCAGACGGGTGGGCAATAAACCTTGTGCTGCGGCAGGAAATTTTGCAGAAGTACATGTATGCTTGCTTCAAGTATGAGCAAAACAAACTCAAATTTAACTCGTCAACTTAGAAAATGCACACACACAGACAACAGACTAAGTTCTGTGAATTAATGTGCAGAAATCGTCTTGCAACATCGAAGTTTTTTGACAAACAGCTGTAGGGTTGCATGCGTGTATGGCCGGAGTAGTGTAACGACACCATTAGTATAGACTGGTTGCCACATTTCCATCCGGCATTCTTTACATGGGTGTGGTGCGGCAGGAACCAGGGCAGCATTGCTTTAATGAATTGAGCTTTGCACACGTTTTCTCACCACTGCGACAGGGAAACACGAAGGGAACTCCTGAAAGTAACAGAAGTTTCTTTTCAAAATTGAAAATGTAAGTAGGAAAACATATAAATAAAAACGTTTTAATGTGAAAAAAGGGTTATTTAGAGGTGATTTGCAATAAACAGGATTTATTTACTAATTTAATTATTATTTATCAAATTTATTTTTCCAACTTGCCAATAAAAATTTTATTTTTTTATTTATAAAATTTCTTGGGTCGCCAAGAAATTTGGGTCGGTCAGGAAACCGAAAACAGAATTTTTTTTTTGGCCTAGCCTAGGCCGAAATAGTGTGAGTAAAGTTGGCATAATTTTTTTGTCTGCACTCGCTATGTGCCTCCTTACATTATACATAAATACATGTAGGCTCGTCTTCACGTCCCATCATCATGAGCATGCCATGGTCAACCACGGACTTCTAACCTACATGATTTATAGTAATAATACTTATAGTAATAGGCTAAAGTAACGGGCCTACACACTTCCACAAATGATAGAGGCTTCCACTGACTTCAGTATATTATTATTATTAACTTAAGTAGGGTGAGTATGAGTGTCGTGAGGCTACACCGACCGCGACATGACCGATTTTGTTATTTTGACTCTCTACGCTGGTAACATTCCATCCAACCTAGAGGAGAACATTCACTAGTTTGGTACATTCCCTTTCCATCTTACCTCTTCGTTAAACTTATTCAACGTTTGGATCTCAGAAAACATAGAATCAGGAGGCGTTTCCGCCGCAAAATGAAATGTTGCTGCCATTTTGCAGAGACTGACTGGACTTAGGCCTAGGTGTCTTTTTACTAAACGACGACGGGGTACCCGTCTGTGGGTACCGGGTGCAGACCACTAATTCAAGTGAGAATTTCTGACCAACTCATTAACATTAAAAGTGCCCCCGCAGTATCTTTTGAAAAAGGAGATTGTTTGGCCCCTAAAATGGTGAGATTGTGTAAATCGTCGCCAGGATCAACTCCCTGGGTCTTTGAGCTTTCATATGAGGGCAGAAGGGCTGAAAACTACGGTTGAAAAATGGTCCTGAGTGCCCGAGAAAGTTGAGGGCTGCCACTTGAAAAATCACTTTTTGG